CATCCGAGCAAACGGTGGAGCGAAATTCACTACCATTAGAATGTTCACGATGTGTTTCGCTATCAATGTAATGGTGATTTGCGAGCACTACCACTGAACCACCTCCATTTGCTGCTCTCGATCATTTGGACACCATGAGAATGTTAATTGAGTACAATTATCCTACTGCTAATATACATATTGCCTAAAGTATGCCGCTCGTGACCCGTGTGAAGCCTGAACTCTCCACGTACATCGACGGTGACCTTTAACGTGTGCCTAAATATATAAAAGTGAGGCCGGATATTCTGGTGACGGTAACGTACACGGAGGTGTAGCACAGCTGGGAGACCGAATGCTCCTGTTGCAAAGGAGGGTGAGATGAATAGGCGGCAGCGAGAAATAGAGCGAGGGCCAGTCATTAGAAAAACTCAAAATGTCTACCCTGTGCTACAATGGCAAGCCGAAGGATGTCTTGTTAGCAAAGACTATGGAGAAGCAAAAGACAGAAAGAGACACACCTTTGTGCCTACAAATATTCTCACTGTTTCCAGTCTGCTCAATCAGAGTGTTATGGGCTCGCTGATATTGACGCTCTTCGTGATGTGGTGTAACTTGTCATCCTAGTGTGAGTGGATACTTATGTAGTAGAATGTGTGAACTTTTCGAGGGGGGCCGCGACATCAACGACGACACCGACGACGACGACGACGACGACGACATGGACATAGCCTTGACTAGCCGGTGAGGTGGTGGTACAGAGCAAAGAGCTACTTTGACTGACTTTGCATCACGAACGAAGCTCATAGCCGCCAATGACATCATAACTCCACACCGCTGCCACACGCCACAACAGCCCCCAAAAACAATCTTCGCGTAACAGCTCGTGGATTTCACTCCCATCCTCTTGAAGCTCTATGGGAAGCGAAACAAGTTTCGCTGCAAATTCAGCGAACGATGAATTTCACCGCTCGTGATATTGAAATCCACCCCCCTTCGGTCACACAGTGAACGCAAGACCTGCTCCCATTAGGGACCAGGAACTGTACTGAATCTACCCATAACGCCGGAGCTCAAGGGCCCCCATTTTCGAAGCAAAGCCTCGAGTTTACCTGCGTATCGGAATGAAGGAAAAGTTTGTGTCAAGCACAAATCCAGGCGACATCTTGCTTATTCTTTGGGGACGCTTACGACTCTCGCAGACAGGCTCCCACCACAGAAGCGGTTTCGTTACCATCTCTTCCTAACGAGATTTTGCACAAAGTCGTGCTGTACTTCGCCCCGTCTTTACACGCGCGCGCTGGAAAACGTTCAAAATGCCACTGGGCCTTCGAAAGCACTCTGCGTAGCCTTTGTCGCGTTAATCGCCGCCTCCGAGCCATCAGCCAGCCCGTACTCTACCGCGATGTAGAAATCATGCTTGATGCCGGAACCTCGAAAGACGAACGAGCATATATTTAGAAGACCATTCTCGCTCACAAGGAGATAACAGGCCTTGTCAGGTATGGTGTTCGCCTATGGAGCTAGCGCTCGACCTTATTCACCAACGACCCACAGGTCTGTGTACTTCACTAGCCGTGACTTCTCTTTCTGGACACCTCGAGATGAGGCCGAAGAGAAACTATGGAAGAGCCACCTTCTTCTCGCCATTGAAGATACCATTACCTCAATGCCCAATCTCCAATCGTTGGAGATAGACTACGTTACCCTGGACCTCTATCTTTCTCTGAATCTTCTTCTCGCCATCAGCCAACATTCTTCTCTCGAGGCCGTCAAAATAACGTCGTTAACGCAACTCGTCCATATACCAACAGACACCATATCACGTTCACCGGAACTCCTCAACCGTATCTGCTGCCGTGAACTCAAACTCTATTTCTCTGGCGCCAAGAGAGATGTCCCGAAAGAATTCTTCGAAGGCCTCTTCTGCGCGGGTCGCGGTGTCCGTCTCGAAGTGCTCCATCTATCTGGTCACATTCCGAGGCATCTACAAACAATCTATTTCCATGGACTCCAGTCAGTGACGATCCTATGCTCCCCACGGATGCAATTTCCCGACCTTCAAGGGATCGCGCTCCCGGCTCGGCACCCATCGTTGACCAATATCACTGTAAAACCCCGGAGCTTCACCTTTCCGCCTTTTCAGACACTAGCCTGCTTGCCATGTATAGATGATCTGTATGCGGCTGCGGTCAAGGAGGGTTTGGGAGGGTCGCTCTGGCTGAATGAAGAGCTTCAGTTAGTCAAGGTATTGCCGCGTACCGATGGCCCATCGCACGCTTTCGATGCTCTTCGTGTTTCGAGCAGTTGGGGCATAGCAAAGGCGACCCTCATTCTTATCAAGGACGGTGTTCGGCCCCTTTCCTTATTCATGAAGTTCGCTTGTCCTTTGAGATATATAACCGTGGAGGCGAACTTCGATGATGAGGGTAACCCGACAATGGTAAATGTATCCCTGCCGTCCCTTCCCTTCGCCTTATTATATTTCTTTTTCTCTTGGCTCTCTTTCTGACGGTGGCCCATTCGCTACAGCCAGAGGTTTTTGCCGCTCTGTCGGCCTATCCACAAAATCTTCAAAATCTACAACAGATCAAGCTCGTGCTCTTCCCACTCTGGGAAAGCGAGGCCGATCACTACGGACCAGCGGCGAGCGTCTGCTTCCACGCCGACAACTTCCGCTATACCCCCCACGGCCTCGGATTCGAGGTGTATAGAAGCGCCCTCAGGGAACATGCTTGGTGGATCATCCAGGAACGACTCGGGTTCTACGTGGAATATCATACCCCGCTGATTGAGGAGTTGGGGAAGCTGTGTCCATCACTTGAGAGGGTGATCATTTATTGCTCGAACGAGCGTGATGGCACGAGTGCTCATTTTGAGTATACATTTAAAGTCGACAAGAATGGTGCTCCGAACGGTGATCGCGTTTTTGGTGCAGTAGTATGTCCGGTCAGTGCATTCGTCGTCGTTTTGAAGATTCAGACATTGAATCTATTTGTGGCTCTCCAGGTGGCGTAGGACCTTATGCATTATCCGCCTTCATTGAATCCACCCTCGATGGGCTTGTATTAACAAGTCGCTCTGGTGGTATGACATCCTGTGTTTTTTTTCCCCTTGTAGTCTATATGATAATGTGAATGGTTTCAAACCTGTCGAGCCTGGAAGCCCTTTCAGACAGTGCCATCTTGCCGTCGTGTCAGATGTCATGTCAACTCAGCACCTAAGACCGTGCCGGCACTGCTCATTATGATCGACCGCTGATCTCAGTCCTTACTATTGAATGGTCAATTAAAGGTCTGCCTGTTGAGGGCTAATCCGTGCCGAATATTGTGGCGGAGTTATGTAATGTTGCATCGGAATAACGATTGATCTAAGTGTCCATGGGATTAGGCGTTTCATTCTATATGGCCCTTTTCGCCGCAGTCGCGCTACAGGGCAACGGCCAAAACCAGCGGACAATGGCCATTTAGACAGGGCTCATTTAGTACGCCAACCTTCGTTGCAACGCGACAGAAAAGCAAGACAATGAAGCTTCGATCATCGCTTACCCTGAAGATGGCGCCCGCCGTTGGCACGGATCGCACAGTCCGCAAAAGGTCACAAAGTCCATCTCGTTCTATATAAGAGCAATGAAGTAGCGTAGGGAAAGACAATCAGCGCTAGCGCAACCCATTCCCCTCTCCTTTCCACTCCCCTAATATAGCTCCCATAATAACCGGTTCTCCAAAGGCCACGCACTCCATAACATGTCCCTGATGCATAGAAACCCCGCAACTCACTCGCGTCTCTATATGGCTCTCTACATCCCCACCGGCCAATCCCTCGCCTACTCCTCCGCCCTCCTCCTCATCCCCGCCAAAGATGCCCACTCATGGCCTAGCCGTCCCTCAAACTCGAAGTCCTCCAACCCCACTGGCAGCGGATTCTTTAGGATTAAGACGACACAGGCCTCTGGGCAAGGTCTACCTGCAGGCACCGTCCGATACAACGTCGAGAAAAAGCTAACATGGGCATTCAAGGCCGAATCTTCGCAGGCGAAGATAAAATCGAACTTGGTCGCGCTTGTGTTTCTAGGCGATATGTTTGTCCAGGAAGATGAGGTGAGAAGGACGGTGGAAGAGGTGAATGTCGGGTTCTCGCGGGCTTATAAGAGCTATGATTGGGTTTGGGACGCAATACGGGTCAGTTTCTTCCCCTCTAAAATCTGCGTTTTCGTCGGGGAGAACTGACCACTCACTGGGTTGTATTGCGACGGATCAGCATTTGATCAAGAAAGGTGTAATAAGTTCGCTAGTCGAAGCTCCAGAAGACATCTGGAACAGAGCCGAGCGTATCGCCCGTAACAACGACGATCTCGTGCCGAACGAGCTAGTGCCAACCTACAATGTCTGGGGTGAACGAATTGCTTCGGTTATGGAGGAGTAAGTAAACACATGGTAGTCGCGTGTGCACAGGTGTACCGCAGTCATATATTGTATCGATACCACTATTCCTTTCTTGTCAATATCTTTGTCGGGTTCCAGAACTTGGGTCTACACGTGGGCACCGCTTCGGGGAGATTGGCACAAAGAACTGTCCTAAAAAGGAAATGTGTATGAACGGCACGTCTACAGTCAGATATAGGGCCATGATTAACCGGTGGACTATTGAGTAAATATGAGAAATCATTGCAAATTATGCTCCCTCACCTAATTTGTAATGCCGTCCAGTCAAAGATCCTCGAGGGATATAAAGCGTCGCCACAAGAAGCATCCAGCCCAGAAACCGCATGACCCCCTCCACTCAATCTGCTTTTCTGCTCCTACCCCCGCTGTTTCTCTTTGCCAAACGTATCTGCTCAAACATGTGTACCGTCCTCGGCCTTCCCAAACACAACAAACCCCGGCTCTACATGGCCCTCTACCACCGCCCCGATCACGACCTAGAGCCCCCGAACTGGAAACTCACATTCGACCCCGCGCTCAAGGCGGACCCTGCCCTGCGATACGAGACCTCTGTCCTACTCCTCCCCAAGACCTTCGATCCTAGCTCGTCCGAACACGTTGGGATGAGGTATTATATCGACCAAGAGCTGCCCATGGACTCAAGCCCAGGATTGGTGTGGAAATTCCACGCAAGGACGACGCGTGCGAGACCGAATAGATTGTGCGCGCTGATGTATTTGGGGAAGGTGGAGGAAGATGAGGAGATGTTGAGAGAGGTGGTGGAGAGGGTGGCGCTGCCGTTGGATCTTCCGGATGAGGTGAGGGAGGCGTCGAAGACGAGGTCGAGGGGTTGGGCTTTGGATGTGATCATGGTGAGTTTGATCCCAATTCATTTGTGAGCCAGCGTACTGATGCGGCAATGCCATCGAACGATGACTGAAGTGCCTGAGCCGAGCTCGAATCATCGATCCCCTGCCACAAAACGAGGACGGCCTCGTAGATCCGATGCTCATCTGGGAATCTCTAGTCAAGCTCGCGGACGATGACAAGCTTTCTATCGATCTAGGCAGACCCACGCCCACCTGTGCAACTGACGGTACGAAGATCAAGTCCATCATGGATCAGGAAGACCAAGTTTGTCCATGAGTCCCTCCGAGGTCGTCCAGAAGTGGCGATCATCGCGTGAACCAGCGTACAATCTGCGTGCCATTATTTGTACTAGCATGTGCCCGTGCGTCCGCACGGCTGCTTGACAATATTTTGATAGATAACGAAATGTCTGAGTGTGATAATTTTACGCTACCACAAACCATGCCCGAAGGCTTTTGGCTCCCCGTCTTTCATCTGCAATATATACAGAGATTGAAATTATTTTGAGGCCCGAGTCTTGGAGCCACACTGGAGGCACAGCAATGTTCGCCACACAGTTACTTGTTTGGACATAAACCGCCACGTTTCCGCCACGTGGTTTGTCTCCACGTGGTTTGTCTCGAGACAACTGCCTCCCCATTAAGTATTAGATTTCCTATATCTAGTCGAGTGTATATCAGCAAACAAACTTTGTGATTCCGTTCAGAACGACTGAGTTTAATGCAAGAACCTCATAGTGGGAGCATCGAGAGAGTCCGGAGCAAAGAATGATTTCGGCGAGCCTGCTCAGGCCTGCTCGCCGTTGGCTCGCCGCTCGAAAAACGAACATCGAAAGCACGTGACCATGCCACAGTGGCCCAACTATTCAGTCTTCTTCAACCAAACGTCTCAATACTTACTCATTCCCTTCCACGACGTCATATCGTTTCCTGAAACCGAAAACTCGTCCGGCAGTACCACCAACAATACAAGACAAAATAGATGTCCTTGTTAAACTCACACCAATCCTCCGAGCTGGACTCGAACCAGCATTTCTGGGCTAAGAGTCAAAACCAACTAGTTATACTACGGTGCTCCCTATAGGCACCCAGCGCTCTACCACTTGAGCTATCGGAGGATACAATGTCTCAATCGTACCGCATGAAGGCCTTTTTCTGAACAAAGGAGGGGCGAAGCTTGCAAGAAGGTCGGGTGAACGCGGTCAGAAGAACAAAGGGGTAGGAACTTCTAGGAAGCAAGGACGTTGAAGAAATGGTGCATGCGTGAGTCAATGATGACCCGAGTCGCTTGAGTGTTGGTCTGTAGTACTCACCTACGGCGGGAAGAAAAAGGAGAAAGAGAAAGAAAAAAAAGCATGAGCAGGGAAAAATAGTGTGCCTTGCTGGTTGACTACAGCAACCTCCGAGCCAGACTCGAACCAGCATCTCTGGGCTATGCGTCAATAACGACGACACGTTCTAAAACAAAATATGGGCACCCAGCGCTCTACCACTTGAGCTATCGGAAGATATTATGTATCAGTTATAGCTGCCTAAGGGTCTTTTTCTGAACAAAGGATGGGGAGAAGGCCGGGTGACGCGGTTAGAAGAAGAAAGCGATCAAGGAAGGATCGGCGCGTGGGCGAGGCAGCTGTACCCCTAACTTCCCAAGAAAACAATATGCGATCTGGCTGACATCCTCCGAGCTGGACTCGAACCAGCATCTCTGGGCTACGCATCAATCAATATGCAGCCTATAAAATCACCCAGTGCTCTACCGCTCGAGCTATCGGAGGATACAATGTCTCAGTGATAGCTGCCTAATATTCCTTTCCTGAACAAAGGAAGGTGAAAAGGGCCACTCCGTCCGGGTGAACGCAGTTAGAGTCTTACCGAGTCGCTTGAGCTTCGATTCTGCAGTGCTCAACTATAGCAGAAATAAATAAAGAAAATTTATAGTCGTGACAGGATGTTGTCCAGACTGTCTATTCTCCGAGCTGGAATCGAACCAGCATCTCTAGGCAATGCGTCGATGTCGACGAAACTCATACTACAGATTCTAATAGACACCCAGCGCTCTACCACTTGAGCTATCGGCGGATATGAGGTCTTGGTCATAGCGGCCTGAAAGGCCTGTCCTCAACAAAAGAGGGGGTGGGTGAAAGCAGTTGCGAGAACAAAGGTGAACGAGGGAGAAAGGATTGTCAGTGTACGATGGAGGCAGTACCGATCCGAGTGGCCTGAGAGATGATTTATTAGTACTGGAATACACAAAAAGAGAAGAAAGAAAAATTAGTCATGACCAGAAATAGATATCCCTGGCCATCCTCCGAGCTGGACTCGAACCAGCATCTCTGGGCTAGGCGTCAATCGCACTCCTATAAGCACCCAACGCTCTACCACTTGAGCTATCGGAGGGTATGAGCTCTCCCTTATAGCTGCGTGAAGGCCCTGTCCTGAACAAAGGATGGGGAGAAGGTGCTACTCCGGCCGTGTGAACGCAGTTGGAATCTTGAAAAACAAAGGGGAAGGAAGGAATGCCAGCGCGTGAGGGAGGCAGTAACGATCCGAGTCGCTTAAGTGTTGATTCTGTAGCGCTCACCTGCAGCAGAAAGAAAGATAGAAAAATTAGTCATGACGAGAAATAGATATCCCTGGCCATCCTCCGAGCTGGACTCGAACCAGCATCTCTGGGCTAGGCGTCAATCGCACTCCTATAAGCACCCAACGCTCTACCACTTAAGCTATCGGAGGGTATGAGCTCTCCCTTATAGCTGCGTGAAGGCCCTGTCCTGAACAAAGGAGTGGGAGAAGGCGCTACTCCGGCCGGGTGAACGCAGTTAGAGAAAGGAAGGGGGGATGTTAACTGTACCCACGACCGCCCAAGAAAAAATGACGTCGATAGGCACTCATCCTCCGAGCTGGAATCGAACCAGCATCTCTGGGCTACTTATACGTCAAACTTGTGAACTATTCTGGCAACAATGTCTATAGTCGCCCAGCGCTCTACCACTTGAGCTATCGGAGGATGTACTGTCTCCGTTATAGCTTCGTGAATGTCCTTTCCTGAACAAAGGAGGGAAGGAAGGAATGGTGCGTCAGTGGGCCAGTGACGATCCGAGTCTTCTGGACGATGAGGCAATAGTACTCACCTACAACATAAAAAAGTAAGAAGGAAAAGTATGAGAAGAAAAGATATTGTGCCTTTCTCATAGATTACACAAACCTCCGAGCTGGACTCGAACCAGCATCTCTGGGCAATACACTATCACTAACTCTGATTGCGCGAGACACATACATATCTACCCAGCGCTCTATCCGTTGAGCTATCGGAGGTTGGATTGTTTTGGATGTATATGAGTGAAGGGCTTGAAGTTGAACAAAGGAGGGAAGAGGGCCACGGTTTCGGCTTTGTCTGAACAAAGGAAAAAGATATGAGCGGAGAGGAAGGAAAGGAAGGTGAGGTGGCGTGGCGTGGCGTGGCGTGTGATCGGAGAGTACGATGTGGCGATCACAATGGAGAATGCGCACTACGGTGTCGAAGGATTTGAAGTAGTTGAGCGGCCTGCGCTAGATGACCGCCTTCTTCTCCCTCTTGCCGCCGTATTCGCTTTCCCCGCCGCCGCCCATGAACTCTGTTTAGTCTTTCAATCTATCGGTCTGAGAGTGCATAACCACTTAGCAGCAGACATATATTCGCACGGGGAACTTGAAAGACCTACAGTTAACGCAGTGCCAGAGAACAGCCTGAAAGCGAAGAACGAGGAAATGATAAGTATATTTCTGACACAGGAATTGACCTTTCAGGATATTATACATACAGACGAGGCGGGTCTAGACGCAACTACTACAAGGAGAGAAGGGGGATGTGGAGGTATGATAGCGCGATAGGGGATGAGGACGGGACCGGGACATAGACAAGGAAGAATGAAAGAAATGTGGCGCTCGGAATACATATGACACAGGACCAAGATGACCGAGAAAAATACCGAGGACTAACACACCAGAGGAAGGATGACGACAAGACACTGACCACGACGAGTGGCAATGCAGCCGAAGACACGCCAGACATATCGCTACCGACTCACTCGCCACCAACGAACAAACGATCCACATCCCCCACCTCAACAAGCCTAACCCCCGCCTCCTCCAGCTCCTCCTCAATCTCAGCCTGTACAACCCCCGCTTCCGTTTTCTCCAGTGCCATACCGCCTCTCATCAATCCTCTATCCATCGCCCTCTTCACCCCGACCTCCAGCGGCACGTCCAACCTATCGAACGTCCCATGCGCGCCTCTCACGAGCCATACCTCGTTGCCCCTGCTCAGAGCCTCACCACAGGTTGCCCTGATACAAAAGTCGGTCTGGCATCCTACTATGATGAGGAGCGTAGAAGGACCAGGAGGGATGTATGATGCGAGGGTCGAGTTTACGAATGCGTTGTTTTTCGGAGTCGAGAGGATGGGCTCGTAGGCGAGAGGTGAGAGCGGGAGGTTTGGTTCAAGTGAAAGCGGGGACGGAGATGATGGAAGGGAGACGTGGGAGACGTGATATGGCTGAGCATGAGTTGGGAGAGGATGCAAGAGAGTAGGCGGGGAGGGTGTTATTGACGATAGGGCGGATTCTGAGAGCGGTGAAGCTGACGAGGACGATAGTGGGCTGGGTGAAGGGGAATCGCTGGCACGTGAGGAGGCTGGTCGTAATATCGGTCCGGGAGATGTACGCATGTGAGGCGAAGGACTAGCAGGATAACCTGCATAGTTCAACTTCCCGCTTCCTATCCCATCTTGGTCTCTGGACCTGCCCCTTCCAGCAAGCGAAACCGAGAGTACCGCCGCGGCGGGGCTCAAACTCAATGGGGAAGAAAAGAGTTCGGGCGGACAACGAGTGTGGATGATGAGTGGCGGGTCGCACGCGGAGCGGGCTTGGGAAAGGATGTGGTGGAGAGTTGGGAGGAGGGTCGGACCGGAGGGGATACCGTGCGGCGGGGGTAGGAAGTTGGAGGATTGTGCATCGATTATTAGGAGGATTTTATGGGTGTAGACTGTGTCGTCAGAAGGGCTGAGAGTCGAGGTGGCGGGTGGCGGCGACATTAGAGGGTGGCGAGGGTATTGTGTGGTTGCGTTATATTTCTGTTCGTGTTAGTCGTGACTTGTTCTGTTCGTCCCGCCGGTCGTCGTCGTCGTAGTCCAGCGCAGAGTTAACATTCATCCAGCCCAGTTGCGCCGTAAATCTGAGCCCAGGGTAACGGGCTCTCGACGCATCCCAGATTCTAGCCTCTCGCCCCAGCGTCGCATCATCATCATGCGTGTGTCGATTGCCCGCCGAGCGCGTCAGTGTGCTCCCAGAAATCACAGGAGTTGTCCGCGTTTGTGAATCCAAGTGCAGGGTTCAGAGATGTGCTTTGTGATGTGATTCTTTACATAGACGGCCCATAGATAGATGATCTGGACCATTTCATCGAGAAACATACCAAAACTTAGAGTTCTGAACCAGTCTAAACTCAAGACTTGAGTCCAGTCCATGACTCGTGACGAGCGGTGAGCCAACGGCTGCCAACGGTAGGCAGACGAAGTTGATTGAGGAGAGGACGGAGAAAGCGGAGGCTTTTCCCGTCGATCTTTGCGCCTCGTCACTCCGGAAAACTCCGAGTCCGGCTCGTCGTTTGACCCTCACATTCCTCCACGATCGAAACTCTGTGTTTTCTGCCTCTGACTCTACGTTTGTGCTTGCCGACTCTCAAGAGGCCTTTACCAGATAAAACCTCACGTTTCGTCGATTTATGTCGTCTCAACACTGCCTTTCCGATTGCTCTCTCATCCATGGCCCAACATCCGGAATCACTACACATCCTCCGATAGCTCAACGGAAGAGTCCTGGACTGACTCTATATGATCTCGATGAGCCCATGAAACAATGCCCATCGCTGGTTCGACTCCAGTTCGGAGGCTGTTGTCATTGCCGTACTCACATCTTTTTTGTTCGTATCTTCCCGGCTAACGAAACCTGACCACGCCTGTTGATTCGCAGTCATCGGAATCCTCATGTCTTGCAAGCCGGCGTAGAGTAGACGGTATCACATCTAAAGTTCTGACCTTGAGCCACTGATCCCCGTTGCAAATTTCCGATCGGAGTAAGTAGACAAAGGACAAGACATCGACGCAGAACAAAGGTGAGCAATTCTCAGCCCCAAACATCTCGGACCTGCTATGACCTCTGATAGCTCAAACGGTAGAGCGCTCAGTAACTGTGCCAGTGCATGACCCGCTAAAATCTCAGAGATGCTGGTTCGGGTCCAGCTCAGAGGATGCAAATTTTCCACAGTACTCTTTTCTTTGTCTCTGCTAAGGGTCCATGGCCACGCCTCTTGATGAGCAGTGACCAGACGCATCCCTGTATGATGCAGATCAGTGTACATAGAAGAGATGCCGTCCATGGATCTTATCGAAACTTTGAGCCAGTTGCGACTTGCTAATGGAGTCGACAAAGGACTCGGCGCGAGACAAAGGTGAAAACCGGATAAGGCCACAATCCTCTCTTCCTTGCTATGACCTCCGATAGCTCGATTGGTAGAGCGCTAAGCAGCCGTTGTTAGTCTCCAAATGGCAATTAGAAGCTCAGAGATGCTGGTTCGAATCCAGCTTGGAGGATGGAGTTGGTGTTCCGTCAGAATTCTTTTGTTTGTGTCTTCTCGGCTAAGGAACCTTGACCACGCCTCTTGATGAGCAGTGACCAGACTTTTTCTATTATTCAGGTCAGTATAGACGAGGCATATCCCCGGTTTTGAAACTGAGCCACTGCTACCCGTTCTGGCTTGCCAATAAAGTCAACAAAGGACACGGTACAAGACAAAGGTGAGCAACTCACAAATGCCCGGACAAGTCCGCAAAGTTCTCTGTCTTGCTATGACCTCCGATAGCTCAATTGGTAGAGCGCTCAGTTACTCTAATTGTCGTTCAGGTAGATAATATCTAAGAGATGCTGGTTCGAATCCAGCTCGGAGGATGGACAATCTGAGACAGAACTATTTTTCGTGTATCTTCTCGGCTAAGCACCGTGATATATATGGACAGTGACGAGTCCTTGCATCATGCAAGTCAGCGTAGACTAGTCCACGTCTTCGGTTCTCAGTCTACGTGAGCCACTGGAGCCCGTTGCGACTTGCCAATGGAATCGACAAAGGACACGGCGCGAGATAAAGGTGGAAACCGGATAAGGCCACAATCTTCTCTTCTTTGCTATGACCTCCGAAAGCTCAATTGGTAGAGCGCTAAGCTACCGTTGTTAGTGTCCAAATGGCAATTAGAAGCTCAGAGATGCTGGTTCGAATCCAGCTCGGAGGATAGAGGAGACATCAATGTTTTTCATGTATCTCCTCGGCTAAGGAACCGTGACCACGTCTCTAGATGAACATTGGCCAGAGTTCTTGTATTATGTGGGCCAGCATCGGTACATAGTATGCCATCTGCTGTTTTGGCCTCCACCAGTACCCGTTTCGACTTGCCAATGACGTTTGCGCCGACAATGGACCATGCGCAACACAAAGGTGATCAACTCTCAAAAGCGCGGACAAGGCCGCAAACATATCCACCTTGCTATGACCTCCGATAGCTCAATTGGTAGAGCGCTCAGTTACTGTGCTTTGTGTCAAAGATATCAGTTCATAGCCAAGATATGCTGGTTCGAATCCAGCTCGGAGGATAAATGCCTCCCTATGCTTTTCTTTTGTTTTGATCCATCTGAACGCGCACAGTTCCAAGCAGGTTTCAGGCCTTTTAGCAACTCAAGCAAGATTCTTATGAAGGAATTGTATGCTCATCATGTAAAAATCTGACCCCAACGGAACACCACAAGAGTTCGAATAAATTGAATGCTCACTGATCACTGGTCAAGGTTCATTCGGTATGTCAATTGTGGCGGTGGCGACCACAAGGAACGACGCGGAGATTTCCGTTACGCCACCGACGAACAAAGGAGTAGACAGAGGAGGACATCCTGACGACCAAGTAGTCCATACATATAACTCTCTGATAGCTCAACGGTAGAGCTCTCAATGTACAGTATGTCGATGACAGTATCTACACAGTCGAGAGATGTTGGTTCGACTCCAACTCGGAGAACTAATTTGCCCTCATAGCTTTGGCAATGTTTTTGCATGGTTATATGGTTATACAGCCTTCGCAGCTACCATCTTTTGCCACCGGGCGTGCGCGATTGATAGTAGAAAAAGCAAAGAGGCCGAGTAGCGATAGTGCGGATCAAAGCTGGACATCACGCCGGTCACCGCCAATAGCTCATAAAAGAGCGCAGACACTAACAAAGGACTACCAACAACCATCCCCTACATACAATCCTCCGATAGCTCAACGGTAGAGCGGTGCACAATTATACATCGTAATTGTTGAGCGAGGATCTTCGAAACATGCATAAAGATGCTGGTTCGATTCCAGCTCGGAGGACTGGGACTGGATAGTAGTTTTTTGTTATTTATTTGGTGCAAGGTGATGACGATCTGTCTGTAGTAAAAGGGTTGTTTTTCTTCCCGTCATCGACGATATATCTGTGCTGACAAGCAACCGCCTCGGGCGAGCGAGTGCGCCAGTGGCAGTCACGACGATCCGAGTCGTGTCGATGTGCCAGGTGACTCCATTCGCCGAAACAAAGCAAGCCACGAACAATGAAACCCATATGCGCAGCAGTCAGGCAACACAAAGCGGGTGAGCCTCACCTCCTCCAAATCAGCGCATGAAGCAGTCCAAGTAAGCTTCCGATAGCTCAACGGTAGAGCAGTGCATCATTATAACATCGTACTGGACACAGGATCTTCGACACATGCACAACGATGCTGGTTCGACTCCAGCTCGGAGGAATGCATATTCATCTCGTGCTATTTTGTTTTTGATGTATAGTCAGTAATATTTTTTTTTCATCTCTGAAGGGTCGCTTCACCTCCCATCGTAGACGATTGGTATGTGCTAACAAGCTATCGCCTCGGACGAGCGAGTGAGCGAGTGAGTCCCAGTCGATGTCCCGGTAGACTCCAGTCACAGGAACAAAGCAAGCCACGAGCAATGAAAAACGTATGCTCAGCAGTCAGGCAACGCAAAGCATGTGAGCCTCACCTGCTCCAAATCAACGCATGAAGCAGTCCAAGTAAGCTTCCGATAGCTCAACGGTAGAGCAGTGCATCATTATAACATCGTACTGGACACAGGATCTTCAACACATGCACAAAGATGCTGGTTCGACTCCAGCTCGGAGGGCTGATAGAGTATGGTGTCATTTTGTGACTTTTTGGTTTTTGATGCAAGGCCAATGCTACTCTTTTTATCGCCAATATGTCGCTTCTCTTCCCGTGGTCTGAATCGACGATGAATATGTGTCGACAAGCTGTCGTCTCGGATAAGTGAGCGAGCCGGTGACAGCCAACTCTACCCAGACAGACTCCAATCCCCGAGACAAAGCAAGCCACGAATAATGAAAACCGCACCGGCCATGTAACGAAAGACATGTGAGCCTCACCTCCTCTAGATAAACGCATGAAAGAGTCAGAGAAAGCCTCCGATAGCTCAATGGTAGAGCGCCTGATGTATGTTGGCTGAGCGACCGTATCTACACATGTACAGTCGAGAGATGTTGGTTCGATTCCAACTCGGAGGACTAGGATGGAATTCATCCCCCTTTTACATATTTTACACCTTGACAATGCATCATTGTTTTGCAGGCTAACGCACAGCAAGGAGGTAAGCCATGGGTGAGATGATTGAGTCCGGACATGGGATGAACGAGTATAAACCATGATCATAGACTCGTTTCATATCTCCTTATTCCGAGTCGCCTGTTGTCCGATACACACAGCTAAAACGCAAAGACGCACCGATATGATTCGGAGCTCCGATAGCTCAACAGGAAGAGTGACTGAGAATATATCTCGTGGGAGCCCTACGTAGGGTGTCTTCTTAGTGACGCAGGTTCGAATCCCGCTCGGAGCCTGGGAAGTAGTAAAAAACCCCTTTTTGACGTCCTTAAGGATATGTCAGCAATATAACAAAGGAGATTCAGCAGCCACAGCAGCCACAGCAGTAAAGAGACATATGATACGCAGGAGTTCAGAGTTCGTTTTGACCCGCGTTGATTGGTCCGAGTTGTTGAGAGAACCACAGCATCTGCGCCTGACGCGAAAGAGCTCTGCGAACACGAGCCTAAATTGCCTAGTATCTCAGCTAGTGTACAAATGAAGAGACTTCTGTAGCAGCAGTCCGCTGTAGGTTGGTGTAAGTAGTATGCCCTTCAAGCAGCAAGGTGGAAGTCTGAAGCAAAGAGTGGTTCCGGCGAAGAGGCTCGAGGGGTGCGGGATGATCGATGAACCGTGAGCCGAAAGTCTGGCGCAGTAGACGATGGGTTGCGCTACTATCAGTGGCCCAAGCCAATCTACCCGTCGTTCTTTGCTCACCCAGCCCAGGATTGTTCATGAGACTAGACTCTAAACACGGTTCCGGATATGATACACCTTTAAAATACGAGACATCGTCTACCCATCAACCCATCAAGCCTCCTCACAACCTCACAACACATCTAATCTAAACCTTCTTCCCATCCAAATCCGTATAAAACTCGTACCCAAAGCTCTTCGACGGATCATTAAACCTCAACTTCTTATCCAGCCCATCAATCTTCTTGATCTCTTCAGGCTCAAGCTTGAAATCGCCGGCGAGGTTCGCTGCGAGACGTTCGGGCGATTTGGATTTGGGGATGACGACGTGGCCTTTGGCGATGGACCATGCTGATGAGAGGACATGCGTAAGCATCAATTTTTGTTCGTAGTGAAAGGACATGGATGCAAGGCGAAGGCAAAGTCGAGGGAAAAGAGGGTAGGTGGAGGCAAGGCAAAGGACGTACCAAGGGCCGTTTGTGCGCCATTCTTCCCATACTTCTTTCCGATCTCGACGAGCACGGGCTCGTCCATCAATTTCCCCATATTCTTGCCCTTGTCGTAGATCTCGTTTTGGTTCCCGAAGGGCGAGTAGCAGGTGACGATTATGCCTTTGGATTGGTTGTACTTGCTAAACTCATTCTGTTGCAGCCTAATACACCAACATACGCGCAATCGTGATTAAGAATCGGGACAAGAGGATGGCCACAGGGAGGACATTGAGACAGATGAGAAGGAACGAACCATGGGTGAAGCTCGAACTGATGTGCGGCGGGAACGACGTCACATTCGTTCAAAATACGGTCGAGCTCTTTCTTCGAGAAGTTAGAGATACCGATGGCTTTGGCCTTGCCGGTCTTGAGAAGGGCTTCCATTGCCTTATAGGTCTGCAGAGGCGGTCAACATCAACATCATCGCGAGCTAGACAATAGGGACAGAAGAGGAGGACGAACGTCGACATAGTCTGTCTTCTCAGTCAGCATCTTGCCATTCGAATCCTTCGGCATCAGGGAGTCGCCACTCTTAAACGCTGAGGGCCTACATACATCATATTCACATTCAATTAAGTACGGGCTGCTCGCAATAGCGAAAGACAAAGACAGTTTGCGCACCAGTGCATGAGGTATAAGTCAACATAGTCGACCCTAAGGTCTTTCAGCGAAGCATCAAGCGCAGGCTCGACATCCTTCGGCGCATGCGAGTTGTTCCATAGCTTCGTGGTGATGAAGAGTTCTTCCCTCGGGATCTTGGACTCACGGATGGCTTTGCCAATCGCAGGCTCCGTACCGTAAATGCGAGCCGTATCGATATGACGATATCCCGCCTACATTTGTCGAGAAACGCGTCAACGAAAGTTCACTGCCAATGTGGAACACGAATAGGAGTAGAGACGTACCTTAAGAGCGGCCAACACCGCCTGCTCCTGCGCGTCCACGTCTTGCCATGTCCCGAAGCCAACAGCAGGAATCGTCGCTCCGGTGTTCAACTTGTAGGTCGTATGCTGAGTCGCCATATTGAGAGCTCTGGAGAATGAAAAGTTCGGTAGTCGATTTCTTCGTGGATACGAGTGTAGATGAGAACAGGTATTAGTAAGAGACGTTCTCGATAAAAGTCGGGAGGATTGTGTGATTCGGAGAGTCGAGCTGGCCATGTTTGGGGTTTATATAGTGTAGGATAGGGACTGCGTCAGCGTTTGTCTGGACGTCGTCACTGTTAATGCTGGAGCATTCGCCAGAGAAATACTGTTTCCCCGTGGGTGGTTATGATGTCAGGTGCTCCGTCAGGCTTCGGGGAGGCGAGGGGGCCGATGGTCCGTCGCGTCGCCGAGCTCGTCATGCATAAACAACGAGTAAAAATTATTGCAGAATATTGAGTGAAGATCCAAAAACAATGGGACTTTCTCTGGATACAGAATTGAACAGATCACGCAGAGGTTCGACGCGACGTTGAAAGGATCTCAACAGGATGCGCGACTTCCCCGATGACGTCACGCGTCATCGGCGGTGCCACCCAGGAGCGCTACCCAAGTGTCGCCACATCAATGCCTCCACCATCGTTCATCCATTTTGTTGCTCTCATCTATCAGATCCTTTCCGAAACCCCTCTTGTCACACACGGACCGCTCATATATAAACGAAGGCTCAAAATCTTCCGGTATAAGCACTCAGGAGTATAAATTGAAGGCGGACTTCGAGAAAGGACCGTGAACCGGATAGCATTTGGATAGCATGGACGTCCACAGGTAAGTCAATATCCCAAAAAAGTCCATCAAACTGCATGGCTCAGACAGAAAGCACCCTATAATTATGGAACAGTATGCAACTTGTTCTTTACCTCGTTCTCCTGCAGGGCAATCAGCGTAGTCTCTCTTCAAGTGCCACGAAAATATCCTCGGTAGAATTGAGTATATTCACTCGAAATCAATACCACTGCCAGGGGGTCCTGTGAGCTCCGCGTCGTTTCTAATGTCCAAGGTCCCTGTAAGTTAAGGGATAAACAGATGTCAGCAAAGATCGGAAAGCCCGTAAACTTCTGAAACAATTAGACGAACCACCGGGCCCCGAGGACTCGAGTCTCTTGAAATCAAATATAGGCGGTCCTATGAGCTTCGCATCGTCTCTATCTGCTATGTTCGAGATATCTATATGGTTGGAAACAAACAGATATCAGCCACACAGGGGAAAGTTCATAACTTTCAGAAACACGAACCACTCCTCTCGGACTCCGAGTCGAGCCGCTTGAAATCGAACGTAGGTGGGCCATTGGTCTCCGCCTCGTTCCTATCAGAGATGGCCGGAGGGCCTGCAGTTTGGAGAGCAAACGTATGTCAACCGAGGTCTGAATTCATGGCTCTTAGAAGTGACAGGACAGACCTGACGGTGTGGGCGTAAAGGAAAGTGGAAGGCGAATAGTTGCGGCGTGTGCCATCTGCATCACAGCCGCACAGGAGATCAGGACCAAGAGGAACCGGGATTGCATTTGAGTTATGAGAAGCGTGTGTAGGAAACCTTGAGCAAGAAAGGTGATCGGGAGGATGCCAAGGGTATGAAGAGCGAGAGGATGCCAGTAAAGAGGGTGATGAAGTGCCTGCTGTATGCGTCTATTATCTTTCTTATATGCTAGAGCGTTGGTGGGTCGGGTTTCCGCTCAGGATGGCGGTGTCAACAACGACGACGGTGTATTGTTACGGACCCTCGGGCGGCCACTGGATCTCTGCTGGACAAAGACGCGGATCAGTGGGACGTACCTAAGTATACCGAAACATCACTGGAATAAAGCTCACCAATAAATATGATGTCCGACCGGTCCACTGATGGTCAGCATTGAATTAGATCAGACAACCCGTTCTGTGCTTGGCAGGTCGAAGGAGAAACAGTCGGTGAGCAAGAGGGCATCCAGGATCAGGAATAGAAATTCGAGAGGAAAAGGACGATCATCGGACAGCCTAACGGAGAGAAAGAATGCAGGGGTGGGTCCAGGTGAACAGGAAGTTCCTCACGAAACAGCCGCAGTGCCGCAAAGTATTCCAGAGATTGTAGTAGCCCGCTGTAACTGAACAATAAACAGCGCCACACACACTTATTCGGACAGACCACTGGCAGTAAAAGAGTAGAAAATCGTCAATAAGATGTCCAAACAAAAATACAATGTCCAAGTCCATCACAGTTCACCCCGACCATAGTCCCATGAATAGCTGGAAATCTGCGACCTCATACAGCTCAGATATCAATCCACTGCCCCGTCCTCTTCCCTGCAACACGCGAACGAATATACCTCTTCACCGGCGCCCTAACAGTAGCCTTCCCCTTCGCCGTTTTCGAACCGACGGTTGCCGCATCAATACTAGCAGTCGCGGAGGAGGACGCCAAGTTCGACGAAGAAGCAGGGTCTGCGATCGATGAGTCGGTAGTATTACCCCCCGTCGAGGATTCTGTGGTACCCGTTGAAGTCGAAGTAGAGGCGGAGGAAGCGGCGCTCGAGTCAGTGGCAGCTGTTTCCGTCGCGGTGGCAGTCGAGTTGGTACCAGCCGCGCCAGTATCGGTCGTCCCCGCTGCCGTCGTAGAGTTGGAATCCGTTGTGCCAGTGGATGTCGTACTGGAGGCTGTGGAGTTGCCAGAGTCCGTGTTGCCGACCGCCACACAGGAACCGAAAGGGCCTGCATTAGCATCATTCCTGCATCGGACGAGACATGCGTCGCCGTTGGGTCCTCCGGTGCAGTTCACGCCTCTGTGAACAGGATACGTATCACCATATTAGTCACAAATACGGGCCAGGAGGGACAAGGTATGATGAAAATTGGGGGAATGGTGTGAAAGGGAAGAAAATCTCACGCGGGCATCTGCGCCACAAGCGCGAAATCCGTCGCCTTCGCCTTCGAACGGCTCTTGGTACCTGGTACGTTTGTCGTGACTTCCATGTTGACAAAATCAGCGCCGGTTCCGTCGGCGGAGCATTCACATGTGTAGGGACTAAAAGTGAAGCGAGAGGGTCATGTTGAGTTGAGAGAGGTCACGACGAATATACCATAATATGAAAGGGACGGAAGGCGCGACGTACCCAGCACCATCACCGTTAACCTGATGGAGCGTCATGCTCACGGATCCATTTGCAGCGGGAGTGGGCAGACCAGAGGTGGCCGCAGCTACCGACACCATCACAGGTCGTGCAACATTGTCAGTACATGTATAACCAGTCACCGTAAAAAAGGATGTGGAACAGAAAAGACCTACCAGCAAGCTGCGTCGCAACGTCGTTGTTCCCACCAGCCTTCGTCCTCCCACAAACGTCCGCCTTGCCGCTATCGATCTCGTTATCCCGGATGATACTCGTGTCTTGTTCAAAAGGTTTTGGCGTCGAGCCATCCCTAGGGGTGGAGGATATAACTCCGAATCTACACAGCACACAATAAAACAGCGTCGGGCATCAGCGGTTTGTCAGGAAAAGGGACGGCATAGTGTACGAAAATAGGATGTTGCGAAGGGAACATACCCTTGTGAATTGACACCGTTAGCACCAGCGATGGCGGTGATGGTACCGTGTGCCAAAGTAGGCGCCACAAGAGAGGAAGCGAGAGCGACGAGGGCAACAAATGATTTTGAGAAAAACATGGCGATTTCTCTGTGGTATAAAGTCACGGCAGAGGGATTGCGAGGTGACGAAGAGGGTATAACTGAGATGAACGATGGGTGAAGGATGAAGGACGAAGGACCGTGAATGAATAGACCAGCTGCAAAAAGAGGAAAGGGAACCTGTCCCAAGAAAAATGTGAATGGGGGAGCGAAGGAGGAAGAGGGCTCTGGAGTATGAGCTGAGGAAAAAAAAACGAACGTGAAGTGGCCAGATGTTTTTATATGTTTCATATATTCATGCTCGTCCCTGGAATGAAGTCCAAGGCTGCAATACCGCGCTGTACATCAGCACCCGCTCGCGTTCGATGCTTCTGAGCAGAATGTCAGGTTAGGACGGTAAAGAAGAAGGTCTCGGGAGTTTCGGCGAAGGCCAGCTCTCGAAAAGTCTAAACATCGCGGACGTTGCCATGGGTATCAGGACTGGGTGCATTCATGCAATGGGTTGAAACGACTTGAGGTCGAAAGAAGTCGCTCAACTAAGAGTGATCTTCTCCGTCATCGTCAGAATCATCGACCTTCAGAGGGTGATCACATTACGTAAAAGAAAAAAACCTGTGAGAATCAGCGGTACGACAACACATGCAATTATAATGCGACGCACCATGGTACATAGGCTTCAAGTGAGAGGCTACGATCACGAAGCCTGATTTCAGCACTGTCGGGACCCAGAGGAACTTCAAGCTAAAGCGGTGAATGGAGGTTGAACCTTGAAACCAGGGCCACGGGTCAGTGCTTCCTTCTCACACCGGATGCAGTCGATATCTAGGATTTGTGCGAAGAATGGCCCGCATGCAATGGTCGTCGACAACTTCCTTGCTGTTGGCGTTCGATTCAGCCGTCATGATACTGGAGTTGATCTTCAGTAGTCATACCATAGACAAGGAATGTTGTAGCAGGAACGCACCTTCGCACACGGGTTCGAGACCACCGCATCTCGTTCGTCAAGTTTCATTTCGCCCTGTCTCCTAGTAGTGAGGTCTGCACCCGAATTCAGTAGCGTACACCGCCTTGTCGTCAATGATACTTGTTCGCCCGTGATGCATGTTCATACAGAGAGAATGACCATGCATCGTCTGAGATCCGAGAACACCATCGCGGGTGATGAGATGGAGGGGTATCATCGTGAACTGTCATTATCAATGGATCGTCAATATAGTACAATGTAAGCTATATAGCTCTTCCTTATGTGTCAGTACATCTATCAATCTGAGTCAAGTCCGAGGCATTTAATCTATACATCGCTAGGCTGTGACTCTCGGCGGGTGCTTCTGCGATGCAGATACAAGGCAGCAGCCATACAGACGCAGGGAACGCTATCCGTAATCTGCACGACCAAACGACAGATATCAGTAAACAAAGAGCGAATAACCACAGCTGCTAAATGGTAGATCACTTACGGATGCAAACACAATGCCCCTCCACCACACATAATCTGCGCCCAAGATGGCGCCACATATTGGAGGACCGACAAGACAAGCAATGCCCACGGGTACAATAGCCATTCCCATCCGCATCCTATGTATAACATAACAAAAGGAGAGATGAGGGCGTGTTAGCCGTGAGGATGATAGGAGCATTAGGGGGGGGGACGCACCCGTTCTTGTCGCGAAGAGAAGGAGGAGTGAGAAGGTCGATACTTGGTAGATAGAGGGCCACGCTGGCTCCGAAGAAAAAGCCATAACTAGAGGACGAGATGCGGTCAGTCGAGACCATAAGACGGCAATGAACACAACTCACAGGATAACGAAGATCACAAGTCCAGCAGATGTTGTACTTCCCAACATCGCAAAGCCCACAAGACCTGCAACCGAAAGAGAGGGTACATTAATTTCACACGTTCCATGTCCAATCACAACCCGATCAACTTACCTCCCAGGGTCGCACACGGCACGAATACTTCTAGCTTCCCCCACTTATCCGCCGCCCAGTTTGGCAAGACCCTCCCGAACACACTAGCCGCGTTCATGATCGCAAGCGAGTAGAACGATAAATTGGCCTCGAGGCCGTGCGTGCGCGCAAACAGTTGGATGTAGAAAGCGGGGAAGTACATTCCGAGGGATGCAACGAAGCCCCAGATCAGGAGGAGGATGTATGGCAGATCTGATCGAATCGAGTGCTTTTGGGAAGTCTCCATTTCTGATGTCGAGGTGGACTTTTCGTTGGATGTTGGGGCAGCGGGAGATTGAGGCAGTGTGGATGGGACGAAGACGAGGAGATTTCCAACAATGAAGAAGAAGAGAGTCACGAAAGCGCAGATCCGCACAGCCCACGCGAATCCGACCGAGCTGTGTATGAGGGAGTTCAACATGACTGTAAAAGGTTTTCATGAGCTGAACCCGCGGCCAGATGCGACATGCTGTGCTTACTCGAGAGAAATATTCCTCCAATGGCAGTCCCTGAATCGACCAGACCCTAATATCACTCATTAGTTGACGGATGTGGGTGATGATTCAGAGGAGTTACAAACAGTCGCTAATGCCCTTCGTGTATGGAAGTGATGGAACACTACTGTTGAGGCGGGGATGTACAGGATGCCGATACCTGCTCCCATACCGATGCCTTGTGCGAGGAAGACCTGTGTACCATATGTCAACGACTACCGGCAAAGAGCGTCGACAAAACCTACCTGGTAGTACTTGCCAGGTTCTGCGAGTGAGAGTAGAAAGAAGCTGAAGGAGGATAGAGTCAATGCCCAAACCTGCTGGCTAGGGACAACTAGTAGAATTCGACTGACCTCAATGTGAACAACGAACAGCCGGCGATATTGGCGGCTCGAATGTAACCGTGGTCATTCCTAAAACCTTTTCGTAAGCCAGTGTATAGACTTCCTCGAGGGATGTACGTACAGCCATCCACCAATTGGGCCTAATATCAACTCGAGGAAGATCTGAACCCCTCCGATCCAGCTGATGGCGGAGGCAGAGGAGTTGGGCATGTATGTGGAAGTATAGTAGTCCTGGAAGACACCGAAGGCTGATGTCTGTGAAGGAGGATGGTGAGAACCGTGCTTGCTATGGAAGATGAAGATATGCTTACCATACCAACAGAGCACGATAGGATCATCCATGCTCCAATTACTGAGGGGTGGAAGGGTCAGTACGCCGCACACGACGAGTAAGAAGAGTAGACCGACCAGTAGACCATGCTCTCCAACGACCCACAGGATAATCCTGCTCTGAACTAGATGTAGAGCGAGGTAGTGATGATCGAGGAATGAGAGGTGGAAGGTGGAAATCGTCGCTTTCATAGACAGAGTGAGAGGCGACGGAAGCTTTGTCCATGATGTTAGAGTCCATCGGAGTGTGAGTGGGGGGTGCTGGAGATACAGACAGGGGGGTAAGACGTTCGACTTTATAAAGTGTTCTCGACGCTCAGACGCTGTCATCGCGCTCAGGTACTCCGCGGAAGTCAGTAAACTGGTACAAATACTCGTAAAGGACAAGATCCGTGTATAGCAATTGGTTACTCGACAGTACACATGGCTCACAATACGAACGACCTTCCATTCCGTAGTAAGTCCACTGTTAACCTCTTTGAGCATGCGGCAAAGTATGCACAGGCGCTGGGGAATGTCTGCGGTAGTTGAAGGAGTCTATCAGGCCAAGGAACACAGGAAAGACGCGAGAGAAGGCGACATAGCCCTTGCGGTTAACGCTGGCCACCGACGGTTTTAGCGCCCTCGACGTTGGGCGCTTCGCATGGTCAGTCAGGCTCAGGATGTAGACTGCCCTGGAGGTTCAACAAGGCGGATTTCCCCCAGCTAACAAATCAAGTTTCTGGACCTGAAGATAAAAAACCTGAGCCAGGCCAAGACATGATAGATATATTGACAATACTCGCCCAAAACACCTTCGGTCAAAGGCCCGAGCACAGTGCGTGAACAATAAAAAGCCATGGAGAATGAGCGCCTAGCACAATACAACGACGCTACAATAAACGCACATATTGTCGCGTGCATGAACGGCGATCCAATGGAGGCAGTTGAACAGTCATAAATTGACCGACTGTCGGCGACCATGAGAGTTAGCGCTCACGCTTCGACATGCACTTCGAGATTACTCTTTGTCGTGAGAAGATACAACTCCATGGTCGTCCACAAAGAAAAGAAGGGCAATGGTATGCCAATCTAGAGGTTAGGTGACTGGCGCTTGGGCGGCAGGAATTCCACGAAAGCGCCCCGTGCGAAGACGAGGCACCTGTACTGGTCATTATTGTAGTACAATACATAGGTAGCGTGCTCCATGATTGTTCTCGTACCTATAGGTTCTTGTACAACGTACAATTGTAGTTGATGTCGAGTCGGTGGCTAACAACGATGTTCGCTTCTGTATACAATTGTAGTTGCATTGTTGTACATGACTTGTGCGAGCTATTATTGTTGACTCGTTGTGATACAACTGTTATCGGTGCCTTCGGAGGTTGTACAACGTTGTTGTCCAAATCTTCTACAATTGTAAGTGCTGGTTGTCAACAATGGTGTTTGCCTTCGTGCTCCTTATACAATTGTATAAGGCCTGTCCCGGGCGTTGTTCTACAATTGAAGTCGACGGCCTTCACTGTTGTTAAACAATGTTGCGTGGACGTTCTACAATGGTACGATTGTATTCAACGACTTTCACTGTTGTACAATACATAACGTGACTGAATCTCTGTACAATTGTAATTGGCGGGTCATGCCTTCGTACGTCCTACTTCTACAATTGCATATGAACAGTCCGGGGCATTATTGTTTTACAATTGTAGTCGACGACTTTTGCTGTTGTACAACCTTGTCGCTCTAACCTTCTATGATTAGTCGCGTGCAGGTTTCGCTGGAAGCGCTAGTGGAAATTCACGGGTGAACCTGACCCTGACATCATCAGGCTGACATATAGAGAGCTTGGGAGTTGCTTGTGAGCCCATGCTTTGCAGGTATACGATCACTCCGTCGTAGGCGAAGGATGGAAAACTTTGGGTGACTATTTAGCTGCGGAACTGCACTTTTCATTTTGTGGGCTACTAAACGATCTGGTTCAGGTTGTTCAGCATCTGATCATACGTCCAGGACAATACTTCAGCTCTGGGTTGTGGTAGGATTGTCAAATATTTTAGGAATCATGAGATGTTGAGAGTCCACAACTTATCAGTGGATTCAATAGCGTCAATATTTGGATATGGATGACAGGTGTAGCGTAGGAATTCAAGATGTAAATACTGCCTCTAAGCGGAGTTTGAAATCCGTCCCCGGAGCTGTGGGGGAGAATGCTCCCCCACAGTTCCGGGGACAAAGCCACATGGCAGGCACGTGTGCTGTTCCGCTGTGGCGAACGACTCTGACGAAGCCAGGCATGCCACATCTTGGTCACATCCGCTGACTTTCCGAGCCTGAGGACGCTCTGTAGAGAACATTTGTCTTCGGAGATCATTTTGTTCGTAAAGCGATGAACTGCAACGACTTACACTCTGTCATGGATACTGGTCAGCTACGACTGGCCTGCTTCCCTTTAGGCTCTGCCGGACCAGAACCTCAGAACTTATGTCGACTGATCTCTCCAGTGCCTCGTTTATGAATTACTTTGTACTCTACTGATGAATGTATGGCACTACAACTATGGCTGCCTGCTTTATATAATACCCTATTCAACGTTGCTCAAGTTACTCAGTGGGTCTGTCTTCCGTCTGGGCCACAAATCAGTCAGCTAGCGCTCGGAACAAGAAGGTGGCGTACACTGACCTTTTTGGTTCGTTTTCCCCCGCTTCCACCGACGCGACGCGCTTCCCTGGATTCTCAGGCGCCACGCTCGATCCCCCACCTTCCCCACCTTCGGCTTCCCCAGCCTCTTCTATGATACCCACCGCTGATTTCTTCAGTTCATTCACCATCTGCTCTAGGACCCATTCAACATCGACCATCATCTCCTCGCACTTCGCCCACTGCCCCGGTTCGAACGCCACCTTGGACCACCACACCAGCGAGATCAACACAAGCACAAAACCGTTTGGCCCACCTTTCATCAAGCTCGCCCAGCGTTCACCCTCTTCGTTTCGGCGTTTTAATGGCCAAAATTTACCACGCGGTATCCTCCACATTGGCTGCATTCCACTCCACCATTCTTTGAACGACTGCTCGAATGCATCAACATCTTTAATCGGTGGGATCGTACCCCAAGCGCGACGGCGTCCAAACCATACGGATATTTGGGACGGACGTTTATGAACTCCAAGTTTATTCGTGGGGTCCTGTCAAAGAGAGTGAGTGTTTGATGCGTCTCCTTGATGTTTTGTAGCGAAACTTACTGTAGGTTTGGTCGGATGGTTTAGCAGACCATCATGCTCCCTGAAAAGGTCAATCACTCGTGCCCATCGATCTCCCGGAATCCCCACCAGCAGAAAGTTCTCCATCGCATCCTCCAACCAATCTCCCTTCACCTTCTCAACCGTCTTTGACTTCTTCCGAACCTTTTGCGCCACCGCCACCTCTGCTTCTTTCCCTCTAGCATCCGGCAATATCGTCTCCTCAGCATCTGTGGATGACGCCCCCACTTGAGAAGACCTCTCGTTAACCCCTATGCTTGTGGCCCCATCCCCCCGGTCGTCGATCGTATTGGCGTCTACGTCGGGCGTTGTTTTGACTGTTGCTGCGGCGATCGTAGGCTCCGTGGCGGGATTGATGGGAGCGGTGTGGCCAGGCACGATATTGAACAACGACGCGGTACCGTTTTCGTGAGCTGTGGGCGGAGGAGCGGCCGATGAGTGAGGTCCTGGGTCTTTCGTAGGAAGGTGGAGCAATGGAGGGTCTATGAATTCTGAGACGAGTTCATGCCCTGCAGATGTGATACGTGATGCGACAGATGGCTCGGAGATGGGCTTCTCGGTTTGCGACAAACCAGCGGCATGGTACTCTGGCTGAGAGGGTTCGTCGGTAGGAGCGGTAGAAGGAGAAGAGGGTTCAACGATAGGCGTTCGGGAAGATTCAACGTTAGTTGGCGGTGAGTGTAAGGGTTCGAAGACAAGTGGTCGAGAAGGCTCGACGATAGTGGATTGGGAGAGCTCGATGATCGGCGGTTGAGGACGTTCGTCAGTGCGTGGTAGGGGCTTGACGACAGATGTTTCGGTGCGTAAGGGACCATTGGGAGTCTGCTCATTGGGCGAGATAGTGTTGCTGACCAAATTGATAGGAGATGAGGGCGGTTCGCTTTGGATATTTGGAGCATGTCCAGCTGCGCTTCCCGTAGCTGATTGCCCGCTCGCATCGATCTGACCCATCATTAGTTCCTTATCCCCCTCCGCACCATCCTCTCTCGTTTTATCTTCGCTGGTAGCAGCACTCCCCTCGCTGTAACGAAGTTAGCTTACACCCTCAGATTCTCGTCGAACTACAAGCGAAGACTTACCGATGGCCCAAGCGTGCACTACGCCGGATCTCCTCCTCGCTCGATGGCTTCCGAAACACAGGGACCGGCTTTGGAACAGGCTTCACCTTCGGCTTAGGAAGAAGTCCGGCCGCCTCCACGCGCTCGAGTTCTTCACCTGCCGACTTGGCCAACGCAGACACCTCCCACCGTGCCAGGTCTCCGATCAGCGCCATCTCCTTCTTCATCTTCAAAATTCTGTCGCGGCGTTCGCGTTCGTACGGTGTCGCATTCGGTCCCAGGAATGGAAAGCCTGGAATCATCTCGCTGTCTTTAGCAAGCGTCATGCCACCAGTACCAGCGCCAACACCGCCTGTGCCTCCCTCGCCCTCGTCTTCAAAGTTCACATCATACTTCTCCCAATCAATACGCGATCCTGCGTCACTGTCGCTCTCATCTTCCCCTTCGACGTCTTTTCCTCCGCGACTGGTCGCCTTACCCTCAGCGCGTTTGGCGGTTCCGCTCTCGGTAGGTGGCTGAGACGGGATTGTAGTGATCACGGGATTAACGGCGGATGGTTGGCCGGATGTCGGTGTGGTCGAGGCTGGGCAGGAGAGATTATGGCTCGCAGAGGGGTCAGGATCCGGAGTGTTGGACGTAGAAGGCCCGGGAGCCGGGGCAGCTGTCGATTTGGTCAACGATGGCATCGAATTAGGTTTTAAGGTCCATTTTGATCGTACTTGGGGCGCTACGTTCGTGACAATAACGGTGAGATATGTATGTTCATCTCAAAAGGGTACGAAAAACTTACTGTATACGTCCTGTAGAAACTTCACCCATGGGCCTTCGACGTGACCTTTCCAGTCGGGATGGAATCTCTCGAAATCCACGTCAGACCTATCCTCTGCAGCCGTTCCCCAGCTATTACGCCTGTAAGTCTTGGGTGTTGCGTAGGAGAAAGATGGAGACTCACATATACGATTCTATTTTACCATCTCTGGCAGGTACGGGACCACCGAATGCGATGGTAAACTGCCATCCTGTCTGCATGGCCAGCGAGCGAACCCACTCGGTGATCGTGGGCTTCAGCTTCTCTATCGCCCTGGGTCGGTACGTCAACAAAGTTCCTTCGAGAAGACTAGAACTGCAACTTACTTTTGATAGTCCCTCATCTTCTTCTCCGAAAAATCCAGCTCTTCCTCGTCGTCGATATCTCCAGAGGCCCTCCACGCATCCTCAATCTCTTTCTGAACGTCTGCGGTCTCCTTCGCCAACTCGCCCCTCAATTCCTCCTGTAGAAACGTCACCCAGAGTTTCTTCGACTCAGGATTCTCTTCCTGGTACCTCTTCCATCTCCCGGTGATCATCTCCTCCAATTTCGTTTCCCAATAACGCTCCTTATAGACGTAGTGACGTGCTTGCCGTTTCTTTTCCGTCTTTACTGTCAAGAGCTTCCCCGACCCACCACCGGCAGTACCACGGGCTTTGTTCCGAAACACCCATTTTATCGACTACATGGGATACATTACTCTTCCACCATGGAATTAAAAAATAGGGGTACGTACAGTCATGAGGGTTTTCTCCTCGTCTTTGTTCGCTGCGGGCCATTTTTTGAAAAACTCGGGCCGCACGATCTCGTCAAAGAAGCGTGCCGTGGTTCTGGTAGCCTGAGAGTCCTTGAATTCAGGGAAAAGATTTGAGAAATAGGCTTGCTGGTCATCGGTCCATGAGCTGGCTTTAGGCATGACTCCTGAGCAAACGTAGAGGGGCGCGACTCAAGATGGACAAAGAAAATGACAATGACTGCGGCTGTTTGACTCGAAGGCTCGGCTTTTCCTTATTCGGCAGTCTAGGATGAGTGCCGCGGACGTTCTACAATGATCTACAGTGCGGACTATCGGACTCTGGAACCTCGTGCTGCCGATCGTGAGTGCATGCACCCGCCGGCTGGAATTTATCAGGCATTGTCCGGCTTTCTTCCTCTGGCATGCCCATCCATCGTCCCCTTTTCTCTCTCCTCATGAGATAGGGTTTCTCCGTACACGACCGTCTACTCTTTTATTAACGTTCTACAAGTACACATCGCCACATGTTGTTGGGGAGTCATTGGTAAGATTTGTGAGTAATTCGGCTGCTATTTTATCGAGCGATCATCAAGGGCTGATCTCTGCCACCTATACATTCTATGTGTCCTTTACTCCATGAATTACATGGATGTTTCAGTCACGGTGCCACACCTTCCGGAACTCGTGAGGAGATGGGATAAGCTCGGGCAAAGCTCGTGTCGTAGTTCGGACTGAGTCGGGGGATCAGTATGGTGGCGCAATCTCAAGGTATGTCACCAGACCATGTAATCATTCTCATCCGAACTTATATTACTTTACTTTGACTGTATCAGGTTATCAATGATGCCGCTGTCGCAGACGCACTCTGTTCGATTTGTACCTTGTCCCCCCGTTGTACTCATGTGCCGCAATGACAACAATTCGGGTATGACATTTGTGAGTGGCGTTGAGGATTGTGGCGTCAGTGAAGATCTGAATGTGGTTGCGGGCACCGCTTTGGCTTCCAAGCCTAAGCCTTTCCACGGGAACAGTTCCAAACGTACCACAGCTGACGCACCCTCATTCAGTACGTTCTGACTAGTATTGGGGTTGTTTGGTCAGGTTGAATTTGTTATCGCTATGGTGGGTGCAAGGTGGATGCAAGGTGGACGCCTCCAAGGCTCCTCATCGAGGCGTGCACGTTCGTACACAGCCATGGAGATCGTTCAAGGCTTATTGGTGAGTTACTGGAAGATGGTAATCTGTCTGTCCTGTGGAACGTATGTGTACGGTAGCCTCGAATATAAAAACATGCTTGACTTTGATCTCCATGTCTGCGTGACATTCCCAAAGTCGTGGCGTCATGGTCGTGGTGTGTATGTTCCTTGCCGCAATGGAAGCATAAACTTTGTGGTTTCGCTCACCCCTTCTATTGAGTGAGGAGAGGTATGTTGCTCACATGCCACAAAAAAGAATATGTACACTTGAAAGGAAAGGCTTCCTGAGATCTGAAGATGTCGTCTACATTACTACTAGTCGCCTTCCCAGATAATGATCTACAGTGATACTTCTCGCTCCTTCAAGTGATTTACACTCACCACTCTCAACTATGCAAACCCCTGAGCCTCCCAATTTGGAAAAATCTGAAATGCTGCTTCGCAAACTACACGCACAGTCATATCCGACCGCGACCATGATGCGACACCGAGTACCAAACATATTGTACGGTGCATGTAGATTTTTCATCAGTAGGTAAATATCTGCAAAAATCGTAGAAAGACTCCTTGTCCATGCCCAAACACATACATACCTTTTGATAGGGAGATGTGTTGAAGCCTTGATTCGAAGTCCTCAACAGGCCATTAAACAACGAGTTGAGAATGAACCTCTTACGCGCTTCGTATGCAGTTGCCGGACATTTCGAGTCTCAACATGCTAAGAGATCCAAAACATGCCACAATTTTATGCATATAGATATATACACACCTCTTGAATGTATCTGCCTACTCAGAATGTTTTCGCAAGGAGTTGTAGAGTATATAATGAGGAAGTGAATCCATGAGATTGCGTAAAGTCCGTTTTGCGAGCGTACGGCTGGAAGCGCGCCAAACCCCGGGAACATACGGCAGAGCTGGTTGGCGCTTGTTATCGTTCTTTTCTGTCCTCCTCTCTCGACCAATCCACATTGTAAGGGTGAGTTCCTTTGTCTGCTCAGATCTTTAACTGACACTTATCAGGATGGGTAGTGAAGGGGAGAAATCCAAACCTGCTTTGCCGGTGAAGGCTGTGAAAAAGGAGTCGAAGGCGGAGAAGCGTCATCGTGCATATATACGGTGTGTCCCATGTTCTCAGCTTCACAGGTCATGTTCTAACGTGAATTACAGGAATAGAGAGAAGAATGTAGCATACCAGAAAGCCTGGAACGCACTTCATCGTGGGCCTGGCACTCGCCGCAAGGTTGCGAAGGATCAGCGTATCGTTGGACTGGGTCGGGTGCTCCCTCCATCCCCTGTGCCAGATTGCGCTCCTTCCGAATCACCACCGCCTTTTCTACCTGATCATAGGAGCTTTGGTCTTCAAGCTCGCCCACAAAAAGTGGGCGGTTGGCCGGCGGAATGGAGTCAAGAGGATCGGGATTTTTATCTTCAGTAGTACGTCCCATTCACTGTCTCGTCGGTTGTCCACTAGTCTCATAGTACTTGCAATAGTGCGGATATCATTGGTCCGCTCTGATTGTGTAGGTTCACTGTATGTCGCATATTTCTGTACCATGTATGCAATCCCAATATCGTGAATATCCCCGAGTCGTTGTGTGGCCCAACTAGGCAATATTATATAAGCCAGCTCTTGTTCTGGCCACACGCAAGTTTCAGCTCGGAGTCGCAGCGTTTACTTGCTCTGCCGTAGCTCTGAGTACTCGTTGTAGGCAATGTCATCTGTCCCTTTCCAAAGAAAAAAACGAAAGTCTTCCATCCCTGAGCATGACGATGCAATCAGACACTCTAGTTCTACTATCTCCCGTTCCCGCAAAAAGCGAACAGTGCGGACAAGGACCACCCACCATAATTTAGCTGGACCTTCGGGGACTACTTCTGCGGTTACCACTCTCCCCCCCGCCATTGATACATCCTCAGATTACACTCCTTACCTGCCCGAGGACGATCCATCCAATCCAGCCAACCATGTCCATATTGGAGAGGAGGATGGCCGCCAGCGTAAGCGACGAAGAGGTGGACGCTCAGGAAATCGTCAGCGTAAACGAAGGGTGTGTTGACTGTCTTTCTTTTCTTCTCATCTCAGTCGCACCTCCACTTTTGCGCATTCTGACAGACTTTAAGGTCCATCATCTCCAAGAGTGGTTGCAAGAGCGGGATACCTTTCTTGCGGAGGGGATCCGCCGCGAAGGCCTTCGCCACGAAGTTTATCCGTCCACTTGTTCAACGTGCCATACCGGCGCTGCCAATCTTATCTGTACTGAGTGCACGGGTAGCCGACTTCTGTGTTCACCATGTATGCGCGAGAAGCACAAGAACCAACCTACCCATCGCATCAAGGTCACTAGTCACCTACGTTACTATGATGAAAGATGATGCTTATACTCCACTTTTCGGCCATTTTTTGTAGCGATGGAATGGGACATTTTACGAGCGTCATAGTCTATGTGACACCGACTTGGTCGTTCCACTCGGCCACGATGGCTGTGATTGTCCAAATGCCGGCTCTACGCCTCTGTCGACCACCCTCACTGTCATTGACCTAAACGGTATTCATCAAGTTCGCGTCCACTTCTGTACATGCACCGGCGCTCCTCGGCGATGGGTCCAGCTCTTCCGCGCCGACTGGTGGCCTTGTACTCTGGACCGGCCTAAGACTGTTGTTACCATGCGATGCCTGAATCTCTACCACGCCATCTCGCTCCAGGCAAAGACCAACGCAACCGATTTTTACAACTCCCTTGAGCGTATGACGGATTCAAGTGGTCTACACCCACCTCCGGTACAGTTCATGGCGCTTGTTCACCCCTAGACTTGTTGGCTGACATTTCTTTCTAGCCTCGAAGAGAAGAGTTCGGATTATCGGCGCGATTATATCGCAATTATCGCATGGCAAAGCGTGCCGGGAGGGCGCACGACTCCGAAGGCTTTCTCGGCAGTACAGAAGGGGAGTGGACCATTGAATGTCCAGCTTGTCCTCATCCGGATCGAAATTGTCCGGAGAACCTTGATGATATCCCTGAAGACCAACGGTGAGTATCTTCCCGTTCCTGTCCGTCAGTATTTACTTATATGACGCTGTTTCAAGTTGGTTGTACTCCTCACATTTTGCTGTCGATGCCAACTTCAAGCTCAAACAAAAGAATCACGGCTACAAAGATCTCGAGCTTTCGCCCGGCTACGCGTACTTTGTAGCGCCAGATACTTACACGGAGTTTGCCAAGGATTTCAAGTCCGAAGTCGAGGTTCGTACAGCCCTTTCCTCATTCGATCACCATTCGTTGTATACTGAACGTGTTTGCATTAGATCAAGGCATGCGACTCTCATTTCTCCGCTATCGACCATGCAAATACCCCGAGCGCCGCTAGATTTTCTGTCAATGGGGTGGGTGCTGTTGTCTGTGCTCGACATTCGTTCTTTCAACCGCACGGAGTCGGAGATCTGGAGCGAGGCGAACGGTAAGTTTGTGTGGCCCGTTCATCGCCACCTGCACCAAGTATGCTAATGCATACCGTGATAGTTACTGCAACATGGGCTATATGCTACTCTCCGTAATCCGGCTGACCTGCGCTGACTTTCGACGCCTCATCATCTCATACGACATCGCCTGCCAGTTTTCCAAGAACTTTGCAAAACGTATGGCCGACTTTCCGGTGGATTTTCGAATCGATGTTACAGAGAAGGAGATCATAATGGTCGTTCCGAAATTTCACCTGGCTGGGCACGGGAGACCATGTCAAGTTATATATTCATTAAACTACACAACAGGTGTAGGGCGAACTTATGGGGAGGGAATCGAGGCTAACTGGAGTGAGACTAATACAGTATCCCTTGCATCCCGAGAGATGCCCGCCGGCGCTCGCCACGAGTTTCTGAACGATATCTTCGGTGCTATCAACTGGCGAAAGCTGACAACGCTAGGTACGGACTATCTGTTCCACAGATACTCTCATGAATACTTCTAACTAATCGTGACGTAGGTGACCAGCTGGATAGATCGCTTCGGGACGCAGTAAAAGGCCTCGCAAAGAAGAAGCCGGAGTATGAAGAACTGAGGCGAACCTTCAGGGAGACGGTAGTTGCAGAGTGGGACCAAAAGATAGAGGAGTGGCACGGTGACCGCAAGAAGGAGAATCCATACGATGAGGTTGTACACGGTAAGTTTTGATTAACTGTTGAGCAAGCGATATCATACTCAGCATTGCTCCTAGAGGTGACGTTGAAGGACGTACAGTTAGCCTTGGCTCAAGAGGAGGCCGCTGACATCGGGAGGGGTAATCTGGCGCCACACGAAACCAGTGCAAGCAAGTTTTTAAGCGTCGGCATCGACCTTCAGGAGCAGCAGTGAGCGCCATTGCATAATCATATTGTCTGACTTTTTCTGATTATTTTCGTATGGGAAGACGCGCTCTCAAGCGTCGTTCGGGTTCAACGGGCACAACTTCGGCCAAGCTCTCAATTCAGAACACACGAAATGCTTTGGATCATCGACTGAAGCTGTTCCGAGGTGTCCAAGCGGTATACATGCCCGTCGTCAGCTCGCTCATCGCACAGGCCGAGGCTGCGTCCACAGACACGTCACAAGCATATAAGCCAGAGCTCGCGACAATTTGGATGCCGTCCGAGGTTCCACAAGGTCATTGGGTGACAGGGTTAGCGGTTGGGCTCGCAGAGAAGGAGAAACGCCTTCGGGAGGCGGAGGCAGATGATGCGTTACATCAGGTGAGTCTTAGGCATTATTTATTCTCAGTCAGGATCGCACGGACCCTAACCAGGAACCAAGGTCCGCCGCACACTCCGCATGGAGATGGGCCTTTTGCACTATAAAATTATGCAGGTCCATGGTCAGGGAAATGTGAAGAATACACGCGCGCAGAAGATCCTCAGCAACCTCGCAGAAAAGCGGCAGAAACATGTAATGCGTTACCGACACGCACGAAATGCTCTCGCCACTCTGGACCCCGATGGGACATGGAAGAGTCGCCTCCTACCGCTTCACGACTCCGATATCAAGACTCCATTGGACGACGAAATAGCAGAGGAGAGGAAACGGCGCGCAGAGAAACGAGGTCAGAAGAAAACAAAGGACGGAGCGAGTCGGCTGGGTGAAGGGGCACGAGAGGTACCATGGATATGGAGGACGACTGCTCACACGGCAGACGATATGCCAAACCTCGATGGTGCGGCAACAGACGATGATGCTTACCAAGGTATGCCTTGATATTCTTCACCAGCTCTCCGGCCGATCTTGGTCACATCTAGCACCGTCACTGAGTCTGCCCTCTGTGACCTACAACATGAGCTGATTATATGTCTAGGTATGCTTCCGGTTTATGCGAGGGCAAAAGCACGTTACAAGCGTTGGGAAGAGGAGATTCAGTGGCTACGAGAAGAGATGAGGCGGAGCGTGGAGTTTCTGAAATGGAAGGGCGCATGGTGGGCTTCTCGGGCGTATGTTTGGAGGCGAGAATCGGAGGATCTGGAATCTGGTGCAGTTGCCTATGCTCTTCGCCAGAGCCAGGTATATATCGGGCTCGCCGATGCGTTCAAAGTCAAGTGGTCCAAGACCCTCGACGCCCACAATTTGAGCAACGGCATCGAGTGGTGCGAGTTTCATACATGTGCGCCACAGCCACTCGACGCCACACGGGCAAACACGGTTCCCGCCGATTCCACGTTGGCACTTCGTCACACACCAGACAATACCGAGGAGGAACCGGACTTTGAGAGCGGTAATGAAGGGGTTCCACCGGAGGCAGAGGATAATAATGAGGAAAATGAAGGGTATGAGGAGGGTGGAGGCTCAGACGATGATGCACATAGCGCGAGATCGTCAGATCTTTCTGATTAGTATGTACTCATAATAAATGGATTGATTTTGTATATGAAAATTTGGTGAAGCATAGAGCAGAACAAAAATTCAAATGAGTAAGTAGTGTGAATCAAAAAAGTCGAGCATTGCCAGCGGCGGATCCAAACAGGCAAGTAGGAACAATGATGATGATTAACCAAAAAAAGGATTTATTTGCACTATGAAGCGCGACTGTTTGCTATTCCAACAAGTAGTGCGCACAAGGCGCAGTAAGTTTGAACAAGAGAGCGGTGTGTATTACAATAAGTAGTAAGTAGCTCTCAATGATATGTCAATATGAATGGTCCAATCAGGCCAAAACGAAATAGCGGCCAAGATTTTATCAGGCCAACCGAGCATCAATCCGCCGGTGTACAACCGTGAACAGCGAGTCATATCCAAGTCAAGCAATTGTAGAACAACGAGCACCGAGCTGTTGTAAAACACCAATCACGAATCTGCGGTGTAAGCATTGTATAACAACGGATATCCCGCCATTGTACACTGACAGTGGGCATTGATCCGTCGTTGTACAACCGTGGGCAGCAAGCCGTATCCAGCAATTGTATAACCATGAGCACTGAGCTGTTGTACAACACCGGCCATTGATCTGCGGTCGTACAACTTCCGCGTCATTGTACAACAGCGAGCACTGATCCACCATTGTACAACCACGGAGTACGCTGCCGGTATCAAATTGCTGCACAACAACGAGCACCGAGCCATTGTACAACAGCGCGTACCAAGCCATGAGCGACAAGCTGTTGTACAATGGTGAGCATCCGCCGTTGTACAACAGTGGCAGCAAGCCGTACTAAGCCATTAGAAGTCATTGTATAACAATGACACAGAGCTGTTGTGCAACACAAGCCACGAGCACCAGGCCATTGTACAACAAAAAGCATCAAGGCATTGTACAACAGCGGCCACTGAACCATTTTACAACCAGAGTCGTTGTACAATAGTGAGCCGTTGTACAACCATGGGCAGCAAACTATATAACAACGAGCCCAGAGCCGTTGTACAACAGTCAAACAACGGTGCACCGAGCCAGCTTACAACCGCGAGCACAGAGTCGTTGTACAACAGCTAACTGTTGTACAACCATAGGTGGCAAACTGTCAGCACCAAGTCATTGTGTAACAACGAACACAGAGCCGTTGTATAACAGCGAGCGCCAAACCACGAGTAACATCCGTATTGTAATACAATACAACGCCCTAGGTAGGTGCGCAATGTAAATTATAGCTACACCCCCTGTATTGTTACAACGTTGACCAGTACGGCTCAGACGAGGAGGGCGCTCAGACGCCCAGGCATGATGTGCGGGCGGGTATACGCGTCAAGTGAGGAAAAGTTGACGCCGAGTAAGACGCAAAAGGCAACACCAAGGGGATAGTATGACGGGTATTGAGGAGACAACATTTCGTGTCGAGAGAAACAAACCGATGATCACCGTACCACAGCCATTGAGAGGGATCTGGTTAGGTATCACGAGGCCTGCAAAGCACATGCAGACGAGGATCATAAAAGCCAACGATCTCATGACACAAGGACAGACAAGGACATGAACGAGATGGAGAAACAGCTGCCGTGCTTGTACAAAGAAGTATATCCATGAAGTGATGTGAGTTGATGATGCAGATATTGAAAAAGTACGAGAGCTTACTTGTGTTGGGATCCCCAATGAAGAAGCTATGCCACTTTCATTCGGTAAAGACGCGTCCACGCTAAAGGCGTCTAAACCTGGCGTGTTCCTCAAGTCCAGAAGTTCCCTCAAGGCAAACCGGCTACTTCACCCACGTCGTAACTTTGGCGACTCCGGTGTGCACCAGGCTGAGGAAGCTGGATTCAAGTCGGTCGACCAAGTTCTAAAAATACTAGCCTCGCCGGAAGCTTGATAAGTGATAACAGTTGAGGTCGAGAAGCTAGCCTGAGAGTCGAATAGATGCTGCAAGAAAGGTTGTCGATCGAAAATGTCAAGAAGTGTCGTCGTGGCCTGTCGTGGCGAACAACAATGCTTTGTTTGCGGGTATTTGGTCTAGTGACGCCACTGTGGCGGCGTTTGAGTGGTTCCCACCTCGAATCGGCCTTCGAACAAGCCTCGAGCGTCCTTTGGGCGAGAAGACAAGTAATTCATGCATGAATAGTTGACCAACTCTCAGTCTTCCAATTATCTAGCTACACCAATCCTCAGACATGCCTAACTTACATAGGTGAGCCAACCCCTGATGCCTCTCGCCGCCACCCTTGTCAACAAATACGCATACGCATACAGCTTAGCCGATCAATATCAATGGCCGTTACACGATACAATATGCAGATATACCAGAAGGAATAATTCAAAATATTAAAGAGAGTGAAGCGTTCCATAAGAAACTGATCATCAGGAGCTCGTGCGCAAACGACCTCCGTCATATGAGTATATCTTCAAGCCGAAGCAGATGCAGACGAGGTCGCACTCGTGGACGCATCGCTCGAGCTACCTTGTGCATGGCTGATAATAACGACAGACCCCATCGACTCGCTCGAGCCACCCCACTCCATCTCAAGCCCGCCATCACCCCTCCCGTCCTCTCTCACAATCGATAATGTCGCAGTCGTCCTCTTATCCCTGTTCCTCCCCCTCTCCGCCGGCGAAGGCTGCACTGTCGCCTCATCATCACCGTCCAAAACCAACGGCGTCGTAATCATGGTCGGCGCATTGAAACCCAACCTACTATCCACACTCGCCCTCCTCATCTCCCTCTTCTCCTTCATCCTCACCAAACTCCTCCTCCTACTCTCCATCCACGCCGCCTCCTCCTCCGCACTAACGAACCACAGCCCCGACCCTCTACTCGTCGGACTCGGCAACGGCGTCCCGAACCCGGCCTTCGCCAACACCATCCTCACATCCGCATGCCCACTCTTCGTCAACATCCTATGCGCGTAGGCGCACGTCCGATCCTTATCAGGTCCAAACACAAACTCTCCGCCGAGTTGAGCCGCGTCGCCGCCCTTTTCCCAGACTGGCATCCCGACCTTGAGGGCCCGACGGACGACCATGGCGAATGCGCCTACGGATTTATGTTTCACGTAGCGCGCGCCGCCGCCTTGATGTGTCGGGTGCATGTGCGTGGCGAGGTGGCTAGGGATTGAGCGTTCTTCGGTCATGTGAAGGCCGAGCGCACGATAGAGCTGTTGTGACGAGTCCGTGTAGATCGGGTAAGGCAAGTCAAATATATCTAGGGAGAATTGTCGGGTGTCAGTGTTCCGTTTGGGGCAAAGTACGGGAGCAGAGTGCATAAACGATGATGAGGGAAAGAGACGCACGACGATAAGATTTGATGAGACCGTAAGAGCCACATCCTACGAGTACGAGCTTTACACCCGAGCGCGACAGGGCATCATGGTCCACATCGTGCATGATGGAAGACACATAGTCCTGACAGTTCGGACACCTACAGTAGATCATTCAAGCATCAGTACACGGAACACCACGCCACAAACCCAAAAGCCCAATAGAGGGACGCCTTCCATTGTGGCACCAAGCGCGGGAAAGATGCTCACCAAAAGTGCCTCAAGAAGACCACCACGGTACTAGTGCGGGTCAACACTGGCGGCTTTCCGGAGTGCGTCCCAAGGTCCCACCCAAGGACTTCACCGAACTGCACCCTCGCACCATTCTCAGCCGTCACCTCCATCCTCGATACCCTCTCCAACACACTTTTACTCGGCGCATCATCACCCGCCATCTCTTCCATCCCCAAAGCTAAAGAGCTGCCCGAAGCCCTCGTAGAAGGTGACTGCCCGATGAAGCTAGTATGCATCTGGAGCGCTGGCGACATTGGAGGTGAAGCGAGAGACGTCGAGACGTATAGATCTTCGTCAGGCTGAGGCATACTGATCCCTACAGACCGAGACGTCGTCGCCGCTTTGACTGGAACTGGCACCCTAATCTCCGGCCGTACTATTCCATCACCAATCGGACCAGGCGCAGCACTCGCTGCAGATCCCTTCCTCGATCTCTTCCTCAAAACACTGCCATCTCTCCCTCTCAGCGCTGGCATCTCCGGCTCATGCTCAGAGACCGACCGTGTATCACGTCTAACGCTGACACCACTATCACGATCCTCCGATCCCGATCCTTTCTTTCCCTTCCAAAATGCTGGAATACCACGCCTGAACGCCTCGATGCTCCGACTTCTGGGCTTTGAAGTGCTAGTGCTTGGCGTGGGGCTAAGCACTCGTGATGGAAGGGTAGTTGAGCTCGTCATGTGCGACATGGGGAGCGAAGTGGAGTGCAAGGTATCAGTGGCACGGGGCATGGTTGATGGGGCGATGAAGTTTCCATCATATGATCGCGGAAGTGATGTCTCGGAATGGCCATTACGCATAGAGATCCTGAACGGAAAAGAGGTAGGAGGCTTGCTGTGGAAGACCGACTGGTGGGGAGAAGGAGAGGAAGGTGTGGACAGAGAGGAAGTCCCAATGCGAGAAGAGGTCTTCGACTGCGAAGAGCCTTTGGCGGTCGATTGAGGTAGTGGAAGGCGCTCGGGTTGCGTGTGAGACTTTGGGCGACGCTTATTGGGCGTCGATTGAGAGGCCTGAGGCTGAGCGCGAGACTTGAACAAGGGAGGCATCGAGATGGACGAAGATATGGACTGGCGAGACAATCGTGAAGATGAGCGAGGTGAAGCAGTGAATGGGATAGGAATGGGAGGGGGTGAGGGTGAGCGACCCGAATAGAGAGGAATATCGACTTCAAGTATGCGCATTCGTGATGGTGATGGTGATCTTAGTGGGGTGATTATTTCAGGAGAAGAAGTGAGAACGACTGAAACTGATTGAGATATGGATGCCGCGGTGTACGAAGTTGATGTCGAAACCATACCATCCTCGTCAGAGGCGGTGGACGCGCTCGATACAGACGTAAAGGGAGATTCATGATGATGCGGAGGGAAGAAAGACAAGTGGGCGTCAGTTCGCTTGAGACGCCTTGATGGACCCGAAAGGGAAGGATAGGAAGCGCTCGATGACGACAAGTCAGAGTCGCTGCCGGCATGATTGTCGTTTGTAGTCGAAGGAAATTGAACCGCGTCAAAGAATTGTTCTTGTACGGACGTTCTCCGACTTTCAGAGGGCGTAAGCGGCGGAGTGGGCGAATAATCGCAAAGCGGCGGAAGCGGCGGGGGGGCAGTGAAGACGTCGACTGGGGAAGAGGCACCCGAGCGCGGACCAAATTCTGATTGTGAACGCCTTCGGGAATGAGACTCGGAATGCAGTAAGGAAGGAGGATTATACGAGTCTTGGGAAGCACGTTTCCGAGCCTGTGTCACATGGTTGGGGTAAGCTGTCTGCTGTTCGTATATCAACGGCCATGAAGGACATACCTTCTCCGCAAAAGATTTGTTAGAAAGCTCGTTGTATTCCTTCGACAGTCTCAGCATGTCACCTTGCCACGGTGTCTGACCCTTGACCGCCACACCACCTGCGGCCGGTGGCGAAGCCGACAGCACCAAGCCTGAGCGATGCTTATTTCGTGAGATGGAAGAACGAGGTGTGAGAAGAGATGTCGAAGATGACTTGACGGATATAGAGTCGGGGTCACGAGAGGTCTTCGAGTTTGTGCTGGCGTGAGTAGGCCGGTCACGAAGCTCTGACATAGATGCTAATGGGTCCTTCAGATCTGGTGCTGGGTAGCGAGGGCCATACATGATCTTTGGCGGAGGTTTTCTCTTGATACGATGAGTAGTTTGAGATGTAGTGTCGAGGAAAGAGTGGGGAGCAGGAAGTGCCATAGACGAGTCGGCGAGACGCGTCGTAGAGGTCATGGTTAAATTAGAGACGATAAATGAGAATAATATATAAGATAGAAGATCAGTCAACTATAGACGATGTTCGCGTCGAAATCAGAGTAGACAGCAGAAACTAGAGGCCGCCCTAGGTTGATAGACTCGTTGCCCAGGTAAGGAATGCCAGCAAACAGAGATGCCAGCGAAGAGGGGCCTTAGCGGGAGGGGGGTCAGAAACGGTGATACGGGCGCATGGCTTATCCGTGCTTTATATGCATGCCAACGCTTTGATGCTGTATACCACGGATACATGCCAACGACTCTCCAATGCGTGGTTGTCGACGCTGACCATGCTGTTACAGCGATTGCACAGCAGGACCGGGAATAAACCGCTTCTTCCAGCTTATTCCCCTTTCGTGTCCGGTTCAGGCTCCGCCGCCGTAGCAGATTCGCCTGAGGGTTCACAATGCGGACTCTTTTCTCTTGCCACGTATCGATACGTGCGACCGAATTCATCCTCGCAAGCTTCGTTTCTCATACTCACGTTCATCGTACCAATGTCTCATTGACGTCTCATGTCCGCGCAGCTAAATAAAACCTCGAGTTTTTCTCTCTTGTTTCCGTTCGCCCTGTCTGCCGGCGCTCCCCGCATCTCCGCCGGCCACCATCATTTGTAACATGCGCGTACTCCTCATCAAGCACGCTAAGCGCATCAAAAACATCAATGGCTCACATTGCATTCCAGAGGATGAACTGAGAAAGCATCTGGCTAATTTACTAGACGCGATTGATAGCGTTACCGACCTCGCGCCACATCTACAGAATCCATCCGCAAACGACTCGGATAGGTTCGTCTTCCCAGAGATACGCAGTCAAAAGAGACACCATCTCAGCGGTGTTTTTGAATACGGTATTGATGCATCACGAAAGTTAGTCGAGTCGCTAGTAGGTCTCCTCGCTGGCACCACTATTCTCCACCTTTGAATCTAACTTCTAACTCCCCTGCTATGGCTCGCCTCCGCTCTTGCATATGCACGAGTATTCTGGGGGGAGGGCCGGGAGGCGATGAACAGACGTGGCCGTGTCTGGTTTGAACGGCTCAAACACTAGAACATATCCGGCTCGTTTCGTTGAAGTGTGCAGCGGTGTGCCGACGAGTCGCATAACGACCGGTGGTGCAGCTAAAGCTGGACAAAGCGCTCGAGATGTAAGAGTTCAAATGTATCACTCCTCAGTTGACTCAGTCTTTCGCGCCACTTCTCCTCCAGAACTGACCGCTATCACAATCATGACGAGACACCCGAGAAAGTGACCGTCGATTCAGACGAGCGCGGTGAGTCTGTGACTATTCCATCGTCAGCACGCTCGCCGAATTGAAACATACGCATAGCTCTCCAGCCCACTCGTGTCAGCGATCGCGAGAATGAAACATGTCATCGGACTCGGTATCCTTAAACTCGTAGCTCACCGCCTTACTTACCCCGATTATGCCAGTGTCAACGCCTCCCGAACTTTGCATATGCAATACGCCCACTTTCGATGGCAGTCCTGCTCCAACTTCATCGTATCAGCCACCGAATCTTCGATCGTTAGCCCTCACAAGGAGATCCATAGGTTCAACTCCGTCAGGACCTCAGATTGGAGGTGCAGTTCCAATTCAAAATACTCCGAAGAGCCATGATGCATGATATCTCGGCGAGTCCGTGTCAATCAGACAGATATCACAGTTCAGTACTCATCATGTCCTCCCACCTCGCGATCTCGTGGACAGGAAGTCTCGAGCGACGAGGCTCGGAGTCGAAGAACGCCAGCTCAGGCTGGCACTATACAGAATCGATATGAACCCCGTAATGACCGTTCATTAGACCGGCGGCGTTATCGTGACTTTGCTCCGTATGTCCACCACATTACTTGGCTCCGATGAAGCTCCCTTTCTTCTGAACAACCATACTTATGCATGTGAATGTCTTTTTTTTTTCTTGAGCAGAAGTGAGCAGACCCACCCAATCGTAAGATAAGCATAGCCGCGAATTGCGTATTCGAGAGAACGCCACAGTTGATGATGGAGTGATTGGAGAACGAAACAAACATACCTAGGTTCCTTTGAGTTAGTAGTCTAGACGTTTGATGGACTGATGTCCGATCAAAGAGGCATTGCTGCCTTCGAGGACCACTTGGCTTGTAAAGGAGGTAAAAGCATTTAGAGATTCAGTAGCCAACCAGTAGCACTAGATCGGAATACCGTATCGAAATATCGTCGCGCTGTCGATAGCAGTCGTCTCGACGATCGCGTGAACTAAATAAACCAAACCAACAAATGAATTGCGTCGCGTTATATACGATGAGTAGTCAACGGATGAAACTATGCAAGTATCGAGTCTGAGTACTGAGTCTGAAACCGACACACTAAGTATTCGAACACGTTAGGATATCGATGCGAGAAACGGATTACTGCAAGCAAGCGCATAGTACATATGCAAGGAACCGGAACTGTGAACACATATGCACAAAGCCGAGACACATATGCAAGAAGCCAAAAGGCGAGAAAAAAAGAACTAGCAACAACAGCCCAAAGAGCAGATTAAAGCGATGAGAAACGATACGCTACTCTCTACATACTCACCTCTATTTGGTTTTCTATCGTTTATCCCCGAACTGATCGCAAGACACTGTCCTCCTTCACCCATCCTCAGGGCCATAGATATCATCCCGAACCTTCAGCGATCAAGACCGCATTGTGACTGCGAGTCGGTCATCTCCATCATGCACCATAGACATCCCCCCTCCGATGAACAACACCCTCTGACCACCTCATTCTCGTCCCTTAATCCCAACTTGAGTCCCGAGGTACACAAGCCCGTGCTTCAGACGTTCAACCATCAACTCAGAGCGGAGGTGGCGTTCCACACACAAGGGGCGGTGGAGGTGCTTCCGGTGTAGCCATCAACTAAAAATACGGGAACGAAAGCGCAAATGATCAGTACCCCATTCCATTCCACCCAGATCAAGGACACGTCATAGGACAAGCCAAGGATTGATATCGATGTGTGGGGCAGAAAAAGGTCCAGTGATAGGCGAAGTGATGATTTCAAAAATGTCGGCGGACGAAGGTAGCACGAGCAAAGAAGAGGGGGAAAGCAGAGAAAGTGGATGGTGATGCAATATAGACGAAATAAACGCACCAGAACGGTTTGCACCGTCGTATATGCCGCGGCTACCATGCCAAACACCATGAGCGCGATATCTGCCGCCTTCTGTTTCCGGGTGCGGGCACAGGCCTTGTAGTGGAGCATCGCTGGGTAGACGTAGCAGAGCGGAACACTGTAGGTATCAAGTGTTGCCATACACCAGCCCAAAGAAACATAAACCGAATTTCTGTCAGCGAAATCGAGCGCGACAATAGAAGGAATGTCTGAAAAGGAGAAGAAGAGAAAAAAAAAACGCACCATGCAAAACTCCCCACAAACGACACGAACTTATCCAAATCGTTCGCGCCCACCCAACTCAAGAACGTACAAAACATAACGACCAAAAACCTAAACCCGTTCTTCTCCCACTTCACCTTCCCATCGACCTTCCCGCTGATCGCACTCCCAAAGATCCCGTTCTCCATGATCCTCACGGCGGGGAACAGCTGCAACGGCACGCTCAACATGATCGCGAGCGAGTAGAGGAACTGAACGGCCTGGGTAAGGCGGGACGAGGTGTCGAGGTTGACGAGGACGACGGTTTGGGTTGCGGGGCCGAAGGTGAGGTAGGAGAGCGCGCCGGCGCCGCCGAAGAGGACGAGGAGGAAGATCATCACGCCGGAGAGGACGGGTGGGAATTTGTGTGGTTCGCGCATTGAGTCAGTGATGGGAATGACGAGACCGATACCCTCGAACGAGAACACGGCCGTTCTGTTCCAAGGTCAGCCAGGAGGAATCTACGTGGCGAGAACGAAGGCTTACCCAATGAACAGCGCGAAATCCTTGGGGTTGAACAATTCCACCTTGGCGATACCCCTCTCCTTGATCATGCCCAGCTCGCTCCCAAATATGTATATCAGCCCAGCAACGATGAATACATCCGCCACCAGAGCTGCCGTGCTCAACTTTGCGAGATTCCGAATGAGCGACATCGGAATGAACACCACGATCTGCATGAGGATAAGGTACGACACTGGGATAAGATGCACACATTTCGTTGCTGAATAGATGAATGATTGGAGATTCTCCGCGACGAAGATGATGTAAGCGGACACGAAGCCGAGTTGGGAGACGGCTATGGAGCTGAGGATCAGGTAGCGCATCCATGGTCCGTAGAGCTTGCCGCCGAGATCTGTAAATTAGATAGTCAGTGGATGCTCGTCTTGAAGAGAAGAATGAAGAAGAGCGTACCACCGAAACTGCCGGACACGACAAATTTGGTCTTCACAAGCAGTAGGAAAGAGTAAAGCGATACGAGGGCGACGACGGAGATGGTGATAACAGAGAACAATATACCACCGTTCAAGAAGCTGTCAAAGTATCATTGTCAGTAGTAGCACGGACAATGAACGGCATGGACTCACGCTTTACCCAAGAATAGCACCCCAGTTCCGACGAACGATTTCAACAACTAGCGCCTCTCGTCAGATCCCCAAACGTTTTCAAAAGCGGTTACGACAGAATGCTCACCATCAAAATCGCTTGGCCGACCGTAGCGTCACCGTGCGAGACGCTCATCCGTCTGCGTCTCGATGCTGACCTCGACTTCTGGCGATGCGAGAGAAGAGGCGTACGCTCCGAATCCGTCTTCTGTAGCTCGCCTAATGATGGAATATGCAAAGAGACTTCCGGATCTTGTGCGACAAAAGGCTGCGATGGTCCTGCCGATCCTTGTGAAGGTCTCCCACTGTCATCCGCTTCATCTTCATCTTCCTCCTCGATTTCCTCGAGATCCTCTCCGGCCTGTTAGGACGATTAGGGATTGTGGACATTGGAAAATGGGCGCCACAATCTTAGGATGAAAAGACTCACGAAGTGCCCGAAGATGTATAGAAAGTCAATGAAGTTGTTCAGCATACGCGGGCCTTCAGCACCATCCGCACCATTGCCCTTGAGTAGCAAATAGTTCCGCCTGAACCCTCCCGGTTCATGGATATGCTCGAACGCAGGGTCAGGAGCAGCCGCCGTCGACCCAGAGAAAGAAACGGCTCTTGGACGACTCGGTCTCCGTTGCCACTTGTAGATGTCATGTCTAAAATAATGGTTTGTTAAAGAGTAGCCTGTGAGGTGATATAGAAAGTGCATACGTGACATCTGCGCCAGGGGCATGATATGGAACCGGGAATACGTCCGTGTCCTCCCTCCTCAAAGCTTGCCTCAACTGAGCGGTCGAGGGCCTCCGTGATACTCCTTCCGAGCCACTGCCATCCTCGCTCCCATTACCATTCCTGACACCTTTCGCGACCAAATGTCTGCGCAATACCTTCGCCTTCTCCTCATCCGGCAGATCATCGATATCCAACGCCGAGCTACTTGCATTCACATTGGAATCGCTCCCAGGCGTCCCATACACTCCTGCAGGACCAGGTCTCCTCGCACTAATCCCACCAACCGAGAGCCTATGAGACTGCGAGCCAGGTTCTCCCGATCCCGTTTGAGAACCAGGTGTGGACGGTATGCCTTCCTGGATTCGTGGTGGAGGACGCGAGGGAAGGTGTACTGGTGGTGGCGTGCCAGAATAAGCCGCGCGAAGAGCTTGCAAGTTTGGCGTTCCGGATAATGGTGTGTTTCCTGGTGCTGGACTGCTGCCTGCTCCAATAGGTGTGCGGGCACCTAATGAAGGGCTGGTGATATTGACGGGGCGTGTAGGCGTTGACATGATAAGGCGAGCCCTAGACTCAATGATAGTGTCTCAGAGATGAGATTAGAAAGATTCGAAGAGAGAGGAAAAAGCTCGAAAGTGCTGTTGAACGACTTTGCGTTGGGTGGGCCTCGAAAGCAAGGCTTCGGCGTGGAGGGGCAGGTTCAGGCGCAAGTCAGCCGCCTTGTGACTCGCTGACCACCCCAATCCAATCGGCGCTCTTCCGTTCCGGCGCGTTGGCCGGTGTGGCGGAGAAAAGTGTGGCGAAAGTCTTGAAACAAGTGCTGGACCAAATATGTAGATGTGAGTGATAATGAAGATAGCACAAACAATAAGTGGTCGAAGACAATCGTAGATGCTGGCTATGGGGTACCAAGTACTTTGCGGAAAGTGTTGGCCGGCGCATCGCATGCACCGGACCCATCAACAGCGAGCGCATATATGCACCTCGATAAGATTTAGCTACTTTCCGACTTTGTATATACTAGTACCCAACAGTACAAACCGAGAGGCTGAGGACTTACATAGGGCTCAAGCTCTTCTTCCCCAAAGGCTCTGGGACAGAGAAGGGTCTTTGTCTGAGCCACTGCTGAGTGAATGATTCAGAGGCGAGTGGCGCAACTCGAAGGTCGTTATTACGACGGGAAGCTTTAGGATAATAGTGATACAGAAAAGTCTTAAAACAATTATACGATGGACGCCTGAAGGCATGCGAAGCGAAGCAGTGAGGGGAGAGGGCGAAGTTCAAAAACGGGGAACTAGCGACTTCTTAAAGCCCCTGTGGCGCTGCCGGCGCACCGAAGCGGTATCCGAAATGTTGACTGGTCGCCACAAAAAAATTGGTGTACAGAGTAAAAAAAATACGGACACGGACGTTCACACAAGGAAACCAGAGCCAGACCTGCCAATGACCGCACACGAAGAATGATATGTCTGGACAAGCACGATATGGTATCTCGTCTCTGCAAAGCGGTCTAGTTGGACGAAGTTGATTTGGGGCCAAAAATCCCCTTGAGTTTACCCCACATAGTTTTAACTCGAGCCCACAAACCCCTTCTCTCCACCTTCTCTTCGCCTTCAGCCCGGGAAAGAAACCACTCAGCATTCTCCTTCACGGATTCTTCCAAGCCAATAAAATCCTCCCTACCCAGCTCCTTCAATATTTCCACAGCGCGAGCTCGACAATCCGGAAGCTCCGTGCGTTCTTCTCTGTTATCGGCGGGGCACTCCATCCATGGGTGTTCTGGATACACGCGTCGCCATATGTCAAGGATTTGATTCCAGCTGTATGTTTCTGAGTATGCGAACAGACGCTCTGAACGAACGGACGGGCTGATGAGAGCTGCGACGTGTAGACGGGCGGTATCGCGGACGTCGACGAACCAGTCTGGCCAATAAATGATGAGAAGTCAGCGGCGGTCAAACTTGCACTTCATACAAGCAGATCATGATGAGAGAACTTACAGGGTGAAATTCCCTCTTGATCTTTGTCAAGTTTCCCGGCGAGTAAGTTCTTTATATTCTTCACCGTCGGGGAGTCCTGGCTCTCATGCAACCACGGCCCAAAACATGACGAAGGGAGGACGGTGCTCAACTCGAACCCCTCTCCCTCACCCTTGGCCTTCTCCTTCATCTCGTCGGCAAACTTCCGACACGCCCTCTCCGCCTCGACTTTGCTCTGCGCATAGACCGCCCACCTCCTCTGCTTCTCATCAACGAACTCTAGGGCCCATGCTTCGTCTTTAGCTTTTTCGTTCCATGTTTCTTTTGTGATGACTTCGGGGTCGCCGTATGGGTATACGGTCGCTATAGCGCTCGAGGTGTAGACGAATCGTTTCACGGAAGGTTGTCGAGATGCAGCGTTGAGGAGGTTTTGGGTCGAGCGGACGGAGGGCGTGATGACCTTCTCTGGATCGGTATCAAAGGAGAGATCGGAGGCGATGTGGGCGACTCCAGAAACACCTTGTGGTTAAGTATCAACATCGACTTCACGGTCATAGTTGGTGGGGAGTAATACGTACCTTCCACGGCCTCATCGAAGGCTCCCTCGACGGTAAAATCGGGAACGACGATGAGTTCGAACTTTCCCCGGTTGTATTTCGCATCGAACAGATCCTTCACCCAACTGCATCTGACAGCGTCGCGAACCGTTCCACGGACTTTGTAGCCTAGAGCGAGGTGCTGGTCCGCGACGTGCGAAGCAAGGTAGCCATTTACGCCTGTGATGAGGACAGTAGACTCGGGTGGGATGGCGCTCGGCGACATGGCGTCGACGTGGTGTGTTTGTGTAGAATGAGAGGAAGAAGCGGAGAAACCTCGAGAGACTCGGAGGTCGGTCGCGGTTATTAAATATGGTGTCTGAAGCTGAACATCATGTGAGAAGAGAAATAAAGTTCGATTCTTCGATTCTTCGAACTTCTGGACCTCTGACCCCTAGCTTTGACAAGTCGGCATCGCATGGGGACGGTTTCAAGGAGCGGTGCGTGAATCGTAGACTGCAATCTTCAAGGGTTCTCCAAAGCCCCGACTGTGATCAAGTGGCCTACGAGGGATTACACGCATATGAACTCATCGGATTCTGCGCTGTGGTAAGACAATACTGAGCATGGGAAACAAAAGAACACAGACAACGGAGAACTCACGATTCAGAGACGCCAAAAACTTCGGCAAGCTCCCATCGGCCTCGAACTTGTCCAAATGTGTGCCAGAACAACAGAGCAACGATAGAAAAAGAATGAAAACTGCACTGACCGGACACAACCCAGATATCCAGTACTCTCACTCTCACTCTCCATCCACAAGCTCCCATCGGCCTCGAACTTGTCCAAATGGGTGCCAGAACACCAGAACAGCAACAGAAAAAGAATGAAAACCACACTGACCGCACACGGCCTGGCAGATACCCCTTGACACTCCCACGCTCACCATCCATGCAAGAAATCTATCAATTGTATATCACAAGCCATATCACGTATGTACGCATCTGTATACACGAAGCATCCAGGCATATCATGTATACACGTATGTATGTGTATGAGCGATCGTCAACGAATCAAATCAATCAAATCGAAAAACCAGGAAAAAAGTAGCGCATCAAGCACAGAGTCCATGGTGGGATAGGGTCGTTCGTTATCATAAGAAGTCGTTTCATATGGGGAGCACTGTGACAAGCAGGGGCGGATACAAGAAGCAAGGCTCGAATGCTGGGGGAGGTGGGGGGAGAATGGAAGGAAGGGGCAAGGAGCAAGGAGTACGGAAACAGGAAGCAAGGAGCAAGGAGCAGAACAGAGCAAAGTCACGTCGGAACTCAAAGAGGTATCGCAAGTGTAGTAATAATCAATTGATGAGAGGTGAAGAAGAAATATGAAGGTGAGGTGGTGGCGGTCGATGAAATGACAATAGATCAGTAGCTGTGAGATGTTGTGAACATGGAGGAAACTGTCGAGAGGCGTAGTATGGAAAAGTACCGGCAGACGGCGATATCGTCGTGCTAGCACAGAGCGAGAGGCCTTTCCACCGGTACTTGTTGGGAAGAGAGATGGGGATGGACACGAACAATTGAGCATGACGACGAGATTTACATCCGAAGGTTGAGTACTGCCAAGTGATGGCATGCAGAGATTTCAGGCATAATGAGTGCTGGTGGTACTGCTTGAGATGGCACCTAGCAGAGTTGGTCAGTGTATGATGCGGAAAATATCACAGGAGGCGAAGTATCAATGCTGCTGTATAGGGCATATGTGGAAGGATCGGGACTTCGACTCTGGCATCCATTCTGATCTCAGAACGGACACCAAAGGTATTGTAGCTGAAGCCCCGACTCTTTCATATATTTCTCTACAAGCAAACATGACATCTGCCACGAGAACAGGACAGGTCACAGAGATAATAGACGACGCACCACGGCCTCCTTTGTATGACGTCTCCGATTCACCGGTGACGGGGTCGAGAATGGGGCTACATATTTACGAAGGCTACTGAATCAGACAGCCGCTGATCAGAGAGAGTGAGACGCAGCGCTCGTAGCAGAGGCTCGTGTTGAGGAGGGAAGGAGGTCGAGGTTGAAGTCGACGAAGCGAACACGACGCGTCGACAACAACCGCCCGGCCGTAACCGGTGCTGGAAATATGGTGAATTTTCGTCCCAGGGTGAATTGAGAACGGAGGTAAATTCACCTTTGTCGAAGGTGAAGTAAGAGTGTCTAATATCACTCTGTTTTTTACCCTGGCCATATTCACCATATCGGACAGTTGAAAGGTGAAAATGCCGGGGTGGAAGGTGAACTTCACCCCGGGCCGGTCTCACAGTGGTATGGTCGAAAGCTTCTTCACCCTGGGAGGGAAGGCTTTGGCAACAGCGGCAGAGAAGTCGGGCCGGCATACCTAGCACGGTATGTCCCCCGTGGCTCGCCGGGCGATTCAGAACTATGCACCGCGATTATTTTCGAACGACAAGAGCAGAGAAGGTAAGTGTCCGAGATCACTGTGTGCATCTCGTGTAGTGAACGCCATACGAAGGAGCCCAATTAACTGACCTGCTTTCAGAGGAAGAGAGGTATCTAATCATTTGAATTGCTGATTGATAGCGACGAAGCTATGGAAGGTGTTGTGTCACGTGTGCGTTTGAGGACGAAGGAAACCTAGATTCAGGGTAGTAAGTGGTTAGGCCTTTAGGGTTCACCACGATTCTCGTTGACTGGACATATAAATGCTCTCCCCCCTCGAACCAGTCTCCCTTCTACTATTCCGACTGACCCAGAAGTGCAAATATTACAGTAGTGCAAATCTTTGACTTTACTGGTTCGATATCGATTACTCTACTATTGACGGTGTAGAGAGTCGGAAGCGCACGACTAAGTACTAGGCTACATCACGGTACGGCCATACACGCATGAAATCATCCCTATCCTTACCGGGCGGCATACTTTCCATGAACTCTTTCTTGCACTCCTCATTCCGTGCCACTGCATCATCATATTCCTCGACAGGGACCCAGCCGTCCTCTAGAACACCTATGCGATCCTGCATCAATTCTTCGCATTGTAGATCGATGGCATTCGTTGCATCAGGAAAAAAATAGAAGTGTAAGCACGACTACATACCCTACTTATGGTGCTTAGGCCCATACACAACCTGTCATGACCGCTGTCTATGACACGCCTTTTTTCCCATATTTAATTCATTTTCCCTCTATTATCTCTACCATATTACTCTCGCCACCACCTACAAACCTTCAAGTGGGTCCCATGACACGCTCACATTTTCCCCGGCATTTATCCTATTTTATTTCGTCCTCTCAATCCCGTCGAACCCGCACAGAGCGTCCGTGAGATCTACCCGGCAACTCCCGCCCTCGCGCGTCGCGTCCAAATTCTTAAGTCTCAGACCGCGCGAAATGTCTCCTGTGACATTTCCCCTATCAACACACGAGGGAATGAGTACCCGCATGGACCAATACATGCCAAGGAGACCATTGTAATTTTCGGAGAGTTTCTACGATTTTATCTGAGCCACGCAAGCCATCCGATTGCACTACGGAAGCCGGCACCGAGCTACCGGTTCCTGTAGAACAGTTCGAACTCCGACGCGCGACATTTCCACACACCTTCGGGCGAAGCTACAAGTCGCTACACTGGGACGTTCGACTCCAAATAAAATCCTAGGCTGTACTATCAATCGCTGGCTTTCTATCTATCCAAAAATCTCAGCGATTGAACCACTCCTCAATTTACGACAAGACGTTCTCCACCCAACTCAAGCCAGGGCCATCAGATAAGACTCCAGCTCGTGTTGCACGATCGGTAGTCGCTCAAACACCGACGATTCGTTATGGAGGGTTAGCTATTGGCTTGAAGTGGTCGTCGACGTTGTGTCTCGGTTTTATCTGTGCCTGAGAGGTCAAGGATAATTGTTTAAGTTCGTGTCTCTGTACCCATTGTCCTCTACATCTATTCTTCCTGTCCATTAGCTCGTTCCTTGTGTCTCGTTTTCTCGATTCGTTTTGGCTACCTCTCTTTGCATGCTACGAGTACGATACACGCGTCTCTCAGTGTTTCTTGAAGTGCTCATCCTTAGTGTACATTTCATTTGTCTTCTCCTTTGACCTACCCTTCCAATATTCGACTTTACATTTCGTTCTACTTACTAAACTAGTGGTATTGGAACTGTATAAATACTGGGCTGTCCCATCATGTATTTCTCCAGTTTTCTGGATCGTCTATTCCTGGGCCTTTCAATATACTCATTATTTCTCTTCCCCTTTTTCGATCCTCTCCCTCTTCGTTTCGTCTTGAGCCGTGGGGTAGCCTTACACCCGTATCGCCCGGTCGTGACACAACCCCCCCTCGGGTTAGGCTCCTTAGGGAGACAGCCGGATACGGTAGGCCTACTTAGCGACCGGCCAGCCTACCATATTCCTAAGCAACTCTGTTTAGGCTTGGGGTTGCACGTCTGTTACCCCTATCATAGAGATAAGTAGAGATCAGCATTCTCCAGTACTCAATGTGCTGCCAGTTACATCATCCCAAAATTAGTTGGATTCTTCCAGTAGGATTCCTCCTTCTTGATGCTGGAGATTCAGTAGATGATTCGGAAAAAGTGGTTCTCATTGTAATTGAAGGGTACAAAGTGATGGAATAAAACTACCAATGCAAGCCTGTATCTATGACCTTGCCTAGACTACTGCTTCGTGCAATCCTTCGTGCTCCCACACAAGCCAGACACAACCACTAGAGCATGACCTGAAATGAATGTATGAGGGAAAGGTGATGGTCAATATGGTAAGAACACAGACCCAAAAATCGCTGGGCCATGGCTCTCTCTTTGAGAGGTGGCAGTACTTCGCACACACAGGAAGCGATAGGAATTCCTCGAGATGACTGCTCAGTGCTCACCTTAGACATTCTCTCTCACTATGCAGGCGGCTGCGATGATACACATAGAGGTGAAAATGTAAGTACACACAAGACAAGAGAAATGCCTATCGTCATACAAACAACATATGTTGCTTAGCGTGGCGGAAATGAGCCAGTAAATGCTGAGAAGGGGACACACCTGTACAGTCGAAGCCTTTCTCGTGCTTTCATCCTCGAGATTTATCAGCGTTGACGGAGGTAAGAACGGCACTTGCGCATCGTGAAGAGTAAGTGAAGAGCAGATGATGGAGGTTGAGAACGAAAGAGTCTGAAAGGACCCAGCTGACGAAATGAAGGCTTTATATAGAGATGTGTAATTGTGTGGCGGTGGCTCACCGAATATTCGGGAACATTCAGGTTTCATGACGTCATAAGTCAGCGTTTGCCACACTGAACTCAGAACACGCAAACGACTGCTAACGGTCAAATTGATGCATGTCTCGTCGTTTGGGGAGTGTATAAACATAGTATAGGACTGCTCACTTGATTCTGTAGAGTAAACCATCTTCAGATGCTGTCTAGAAACAGCTCACTGCTCGTCACCCTGCCGGGTCGACTCTGGCAAGCTTAAAGCTATGCCACACCAATGTCTTTGCTCCGAGGCGGGCCGAATATGAGTGGCTATGATATGAGAGCCTAGGGTAGATCCGGAGTATATAAAATAAGGAGCCAACCGGATGGCTAAGCAGGCTATGCAGGTTGGCAGGATCAATATGCAGTCCTAAGTAGCAAGCAGGATTGATAAGTGGTTCTAAGCAGCGATACTTAGGGCTGCCCAGAGCTGCGGCACGCTACCTAGGCTAAGTAGCCCGCTCTAACGCTAAGCAATAAATTCGGTTTTCCTGATGTGGGGCACGTCGGTCTGAAGTGTCCAATCGAGTTTTCGGCGACCGAAAGGGAAACACATGCTGCAGACGCTGCTGAGTGGCAAGCGTCCGAGGATGTGCGGTAAGGGACTCGCGCAGAGGCACAAATCCCCCGGACCAAATGCGACCGGCAAATTGGACCGGTGGTATGATGAGGTCCCTTGTGTCGAAAGAGAGCGCACGGTGATAGTCTGGACTTCGTGAGGCGCAGGTCGCCGCGTACAGTTCATGACGATTCGCCAGCTCGCTATCAAGGTCGGACGCGTCCTGTTATTCAAAGTTATTGTGTGGCGAGATATATTTCTGGCCGTCAGGACGTACCAGAGGGGTGTAGTAACGAATGAAGCGAGGGGTGCGAGCCTGTAGGTAGAGAGGCCGCAAGGAGGTATGCTGCCAATCTATGACAGCTGTGATCGTGACCTTTCCGTTGGCCAGGTCCTCCGGTGAGATGAATATGTTGGCAAAATGTACATCGGTGTGCCACAGAGTTGCACGCGACATGTCACGGGTGGGAGGATGGAGGTAGGGAAGTATGGATTCATACCGAGAGAGTAGGGAGAGGTGTGACGGCGGGTGCTGGACGTTCACAGGTGGCTCGAAAGGGCCCGGGTTTGGATTGGGAATCGCATATTTTTCGATCCAAGCACGCTCGCGAAGGGATTCGGCCTTCAGACTTGATAGCGCATCTCCCCCTGTGATAGACGTTCAGTGTCGGTCATTTTACGAAAGCGACGGACTTACAGGGTCCGCGATCAAGATTCATGTCCCGCCTCTCTTCCTCCCAGAATGACATAGAGACGCTAGGTCCTATCACAAAGCGATCTCGCTCAGTGCCGTCCACAAGTATATTCCGGGAGAGCGTCTGATCGATGTCACCGCGGTAGAAGACGCTACCATAACCCCCTGAGATGGGAGTCAGCATACGTGCCTCGATGTCTACCCATTCTCTGACGACAGCGTCCTTCGTGCTCGAGGACATGTTGTCCCAAACCTTGCCGAGTTCGATTCCATCCGCCTTTTCCATCACAATGTACTCTGCCTGGACCGGTGTGGTCGACGCGTCTGCACACCATGCGAGGACACGAGGGACAGGTATTCCAAGCTGGGAGCGAACAAAATCGATGGTAGCAACCTCGCTCGCGGTGACGAGACGACCGGGCCCAGCGACGACCGTCGGAATGCGTGCGATCACCTCGAGACCATTGTCAAGCTTGCAATGGAAGACTTTGTTGTGCGCCCCCTCTGCTAACTTTTCCATCTCGAGAACGATCTTTCCCCCCCCCTGCGCGCGCCACCACCTCTTTCAAGGCATCTACGTTGAAGCGACGATAACGAAGAGAAAGTTGGTGTTTTTCATTGTGAATCCACCGACCAGATGTATACGAGAAGAAACGGTCGGCATTCACGTCTTCTGTTTGCATCACGTTGACAGGGCGTGCGTGTTCCTCCTTCGTAGAACTGCGAGTCCGGAAGAATCGTCGCGTGCAGAGGGTTAGATGGGGGAGATATCTCGAGCGCATCATAATGCAGGTGGTCGTGGGGTATAGTAGACAAATACCTGTAAGGTCGAGAGGCGAGAGATGGTCCACCGCAAGAGAAACCGGAGCAGCCGTAGAGCGGAACGGGTTGGTTTCGTCGATCTTTTAGGAGTGGGTTTCCGACTGACTGACCGGACACAACTCAGACATCCATTGACACTTCCACTCTAAGTCTCACCATCCATGCAAGAAACCGATCGATATCAATGTATATCACGTATGTACGCATCTGTATACACGAAGCATCCAGGCATATCATGTATACACGTATGTATGTGTATGAGCGATCGTCAACGAATCAAATCAATCAAATCGAAAAACCAAGAAAAAAGTAGCGCATCAAGCACAGAGTCCATGGTGGGATAGGGTCGTTCGTTATCATAAGAAGTCGTTTCATATGGGGAGCACTGTGACAAGCAGGGGCGGATACAAGAAGCAAGGCTCGAATGCTGGGGGAGGTGGGGGGAGAATGGAAGGAAGGGGCAAGGAGCAAGGAGTACGGAAACAGGAAGCAAGGAGCAAGGAGCAGAGCAGAGCAAAGTCACGTCGGAACTCAAAGAGGTATCGCAAGTGTAGTAATAATCAATTGAGAGGAGAAGAAGAAGTATGAAGGTGAGGTGGTGGCGGTCGGACGGCGATATGAAGCAAGGTGATATCTAAACGACAACAGTGGGTATGGTATGTGTGGAACCCAAAGAAGGAGGAAAGAAGGCGTGAGCGTAAGTCGAGATCTGAGGCAACCAAAAGTCCGGGAGAGAACGAAGGGTAAGAAAGAGAGAACGAGACAATGAAGAGCAAGAGAGGGAACGAAGTCCAAGAGAGGGCGGGAGAGAGAGAGCCGGGGCACCAGTGCACGGGAAAGACATCTAACAAGAACGCGTTAAATAGCCAAAACATTCTGGTCTGGTTTCGTTTTGATTTTCGAGACCAGCGCACCCCCTCTCAGTCCTACGTATGACTCCCCGCACTCTGATCCCCATCCCCATCCCCGCCCATCCCCATACCCTCCCTCAACGCCCTCAAATGGCTCGGACTCCCCCAACTCCCTCCCAACGACGAATTCGCGTCCCCATACCCATTCCCACCACCCCCACCAATGCCATAATCAAATCCAAGCCCTCCCGTCCACGGAACACTCGGCAACCTCATCACCTGTCCCGTAACCGGATCCACAACGACACTCGTATGCGTCGTTATACTCGACGTGCCCGTGCCCGCCGTCTGCCCCGTCCCCGTCGAAGTCACCGTCCCATTCTGCACCTGTTGCATGTGCGATGGTATGACTGACTGTGTTGGCGGTGGTGGTGATCGTGATCGCGGGGGCCCAAACGGATTCGTCGACACCGGCCGAGGTGGTCCACCACGCACAAGACTCGCATTCGGGCTCACACTATTAGTATTACTGCTGCCCGAGCTCGGACTCGAAGGTCTCGGACTCGGAATCATTGGCACCATACTCGACCTCCCCACCGCCGAAATCGGTGGCGATATCTCATTATGATACGTCCTCCACCTCCTCCCGTCCTCCGAGACGAGCGACGGCGAATGGTTCAAGGGATGCGGATAGGTGAGCGAATGACCGCTTGATCCCGTCTGGGCACTCAATCCGGTCTGACCGCTTGATCCTGTCTGGCCTCTTGAGTGGCCTGTACCGGTGCCGCCGGAGCTAGTCTGGAGATGCGAAGAGGGCGACGAGCCAGAGGAGCGGAATGGTGAGTGTCGATTGAGGTGTAGCTGGGGGCTGGAACGCATGGAATGTAAAGAGGCGTGTTCGGACTGGGTGATATCTCGTGGATGGATGACCGTCGGCGACTACAGCGCACCAGGGGGGAGGGGGAGGGGGAAGAGGATGAGAAAAGCAAAAGGAGCAGAAAAATCAGTTCCCTGTTTCCAATGTTCAACTGTAAGGAGGAGAATGACTTACAACCCCAAACGTCGCCCTCCTCCCCTGCTGACCATCCACCGCCATCCTCGAAAGCGTCCTCCATCCCTCCCCGGCCGCAGGCGGCGCCTCCTCCAACACGTCAATCCCTGCTCCACCACCGACGCCAACACCACCAATAACGATATCGGGGCTCTCCCTACTCGACCCTCCACTATTCTCCGCCCCCGAAGACGCCGCGTCTTTCCACACCTGCGGAACAGGTAAACCCGGCGGCGGCAACGAAGTGGGACGACCTGGACCGGAAGTAGAGGTGGAACGACCGGCCGCAGTTGCAGAGTAGGAGGCATGGCCAGCAGCAGACGTGGAATGGCCAGCCGCAGAAGAGGATGCAGAAGTGAAAGGCGGTTCAGGTCGCGGAGCGGGCATATCGAGAATATCAGTGCCAGGCGGGAACTCCGTCGTCGGCGTGACGTAGACCGTAGGCGGGCGTTGGCCTTGCCCAGTACCAGCACCAGCACCAGCACCAGGAGTAGGATAAGGATCATAAGCCGGCGGATCCCCCTCCGGTCGCTGCTGATCCCTCGTCGAGAGCTGCGTAGCCTGCGTCCCCCTCGACCCAACACTCGAAACCACCACCGGCGCAGGACTAATCGGTGTATTCGGCGCAGGCGTATAATAAGGCGTCCCCGGCCTCGAATACGCGTCGTGGAAGACTGTATTACCCGTCGAGGAACCGCTCCGTCCTCCCATGGAAGGTTTCGAGCCCGCGGATGTTTGCGTGTTCTGAGTGTTGGCTGGGACGGGTGGTACCGAAGTAGAGGGTGTGTTGGAATCAGGTCTTGAGGACGCGGAATGATATACCGTCGATCCACCCCCTCCATTACCGCTCCCACCGCTCTTATTCCCGCTGCTGACGGTGGAAATCGGTCGCGAGCCCTCTCCTAATCTGTACCCCATCTCCGCTCTTAACAACCCACCAGCCCTCCCACTCCCACCGTCACTGCCACTCCCACTCTCCAGCAAAGCCCTCCCGCTCTCCAAATCCCGATCCGCGAGGCCCCGACCCGCAAACGACGTAGGTCTCGTATTATGATTATTAGCGATACCCACAAACGACGTCGGACGCGTAGGTGATCGCGGCGTGCGTGGTCTCGAGGAGCTGCCGCCATTACCATGTGGCGGCGACGGACTCCGATTCAACCAACTCAACCTCTTCGATAATCCCGCCAGTCCAACCACACGTCCCCACGCACTTGGTCCCGCTCCAGTTTCCGGTGACGAGTTATCCCTATCATCGATGGGTGACAGGGCGCGGGGTTGCGTGTTCTCCAGCCTTTCGAGTCGGACACGTCGCGCGGTATGTACCGTCGCGCCTTCGGGCTCATTCCCAGGTGTGACGGACCGTTCGGAGCGGCCAGAGCGTAGAGAGGTAGCGGACGACTTTGGGCGTGCGAGACCTAGGGGTCCGAGATTATCGGGGTCGAGGGTGCGTGGGGGTAAGAGGGGGGAGTCGGCTTGGGGTTCATGGTCGTGGGAGGAGGAGTCGGAGTCGTACATACGGATGAGGACGTCGGGGGGGATTATGTGCCGGGAGGGGTTGGTGCTGTTGCTGTTGCTGTTGCTGTTTCCATTACTGTTTCCGTTACTGTTGTTCGAGCCGGGCGCGGCATTGTGGAGACTCGCGTAGCCGGATTCGTTCGACGATTTCCGATCGCGCGCGGCAGTGAGTAGAGCAGCAGTAGCAGCTGCACCACCACCGCCAACGAGCCTAGCCGTCGTATCCCTCTCTCTCATCCCATCTCTCGCTTCCGCACTCCGTCTAAGGAACGAATCCCTCTCCCCCCCACTCTCCCTCGGCACGCCCTCTCCCGGCGATCCCGGCACCCTTCCTTCTCCTTCCTCTCTCATCACTCCTTCTGCTGCCATAGATTCCGGACGAGGTCTCTCAACGACTTGCCACATCCAGAGGGGATCATCGGTGCGGAGGGAGGAGGCGAGTGCGCGGCGCCGGCGGAGACGGCAGAGGAGGACGAGGAGGAAGAGGAGGATTATGGAGGCGAGGATGGAGCCGATTATGGCGCCGATGAGGATGGCGTTGTGGTGTGTGGAGGAGGAGGAGGTTTGGGCGGTGGGGGTTGTGGATGGGGAGGAGGATGAGGAGGTGGTGGTGGTGGTGGTGGAGGTGGGTGAGAGCGAAGAGGAGGAGGAGGAGGATGAGGATGGTGCGGAGGTGGTGGTGGTGGTAGAGGAGGTAGAGGTTGGGGAAGAGGTTGGAGAAGAGTTGGAAGAAGAAGATGTGGGTATCGCAGAGGTAGAAGGTATCGCAGATGTCGTGGGCGTGACCGTAGCGGACGCGGTGGGCAACGTTGACGCCGGAGACGTAGAGCCGCCGTATATCCATCCCGTTCCGAGCGGTATCTGGAGAGCACCGAGAGGTCAGTATGCGTGCTTCAGCAGTAGACAGGAATGCATCGTCATGACAGCCTGGGCACACGATGAACCTTCTCCAGCACTTCGCAGGACATCGAACGCACGATGCCCCCAAGGCAAGACATGTCGCAGCCCCAGACGAACCAGCCAGTGAATCAAACAGAGCACTCACCGAAGGCCCGTAATATGTCAAGGGTAGCTGAAGAGTGGTGAACGAAGTCGCAGTCGGTTCACCGTTCGAGTCCGTGAGAACGGAGGAGACGAGGGTCATCCATGGCGGCAGTTCTTGTGATTCTTGTGCCATCGTTCAGGACTATGGACGATGTAGTGTTTTTAAGAAGATTCGTAGGAGATGTGGGCGGGTCGTATCGGGTATGTCTCGTGAATGAACGTGAAAGTAAAAGCAAGATCTGTTCCGAGGCCAAGGTTGAAGTTCAACATCGGGTTAGCTCGGTTCATTTAGGCTATAAATCCATAGAAAAAATGAATGAAAATTACGCACCTGAGGAAAGCAACTGTCGGGGGGATGGGACAGCGTTCGGAGAGGAGGAAGGAGGGAAATATGCGGAGAGAAGGAACGCCTGAGAGTCGAAACTCGACGAAAGCGAAAGGCGATAACGCAAAGTTCTGAACCGCTCCATCAACCGTAGCGCTCACGTGATGCGAATTTTCGCCCCTAACAAGCGCGCCTCCCGTCTCGTCGCGTCTTTCCTTCCTTCAGCACGACGACGACGACGACCTGCTCACTGTGTCTAACGATGAGCGCTCGCCAACCTTTCACGCCCACGCCATCTCGCCCCTCCTCACGCGCTACGAACCCCGATCAATCCCTACCCTCTACCAGTGCTCGCTCCAGACTGACGCACTCCTCTGCTCTTCCTCCTGCTCAACCCAGCTCTTACTCTAATGGCGAAGGAGGCCAAGACGTTACGAAAACGATGCATCCTCTGAACCTAACTGGCCTCAAAGCCAACAAACAAATGCGTAAATCCACTGGCCATGGTGGTGCCCAACGCGTCCCGCACAACGCCGCGAACGCACCACCGCAACCTCAGTCCGCCATCCCTCTCCGCCACAGAGCTTCTCTCTCCGCATCATCATCATCATCAGCAGGAGGAGGAGGAGGAGGAGGAGCAGGCGAACTCGTCGCTCCCCGTCCGTTGTCTCCCTATGTCTCCGCTGCGTCTATAGGTGATATGGATCTGGATATGGCGTTCAAGACTCCGGCACTTCCGTTTCCGCCTGGGTTTTATGCCACGAATTTAAACGCTGCGACTACTGCTACGACTGCTGTTGGTGCTGCTGTTGGTGGTGCTGCGACTACTGCTTCTGCTTCCCTTGCTACGGCGAATGCTGCGTCTGCACAAGATGATACGCATACGCATATATCCACATCCACCGATAATCACTCCAGGCTTCAACACCAACACCAACAACACCAACCACAACCTCAACGCCGCGAACAGAATCCTTTCTCGCATTCCCTCGACTCTGACGGGCTTGATCCGGACCCCGACGATAGCGGCTATGCCTCGTCCACTGCGCATATATCGACCCCTTCGACTGGGACTGGGACTGGGACTAGGAATAGGAATAGGAAGAGAGCCGCGTATGTGGATGTGGATGTGGATGGCGAAGATATGAACGGGGAGGTGGGAATGGATGGGTATGGTGAAGATAGGCAGGGGAAGAGGTTTAGATACGACCTAGAGGAGGAGGAGGAAGGTCGTGAGAGTGGTGGTGCGGAGTTTTTGGTGGGACAGCAGGCACAGCAGCAGGAGCAGGAGCAGGGGATTGCATCGAGACGCGGTTCAGTCGGTGTCGGTGATCGTCAGACGCCTGTGCTCGTGATGCGCCCGCCCTCTGTCGTCGCTTATCAGCGGCACTCCTCTCATGGTCAACATCCAGTTCAAGGCCAACATCCAGTTCAACATTCAGCTCAAGCTCAACATCCAAACCACAACGAAAGTACAGACCAAGCACAAACAGCACGCACAGCATTCTTCGAAGCCATAATCGGTCTAGACGTCGATCTGGACGAAGGAGAGATAGAAGGGTATGCGCGGGCGTTCGAGGGGTATCAGGCTCGATGGACGCGGGATCACGACAACGATCACGACAACGACAACGACAACCATGACGAGGGGCAGGGACAGGGACAAGGACAGGGACATAGGCTGGGGTTGGAGGAGTGGGATAGGGCGGGCGACGAGCTGGTAGGCAAGTTTGAGAGGGTTGTTAAGTCGGTGAGGGCTTTTTTCTCTTTCTTTTTCGTGCGTGTTGGTGTTGGTATTGGCATTCGTTTGGTTGGTTGAACTGATGTGTTTGTGTGGTATGTGTGGATGGATGGATGAATGGATGGGTGTGTTGTGGCGGTAGTGGAAGGAAGATATGGTGTGCGTGTTTTCTTTCTCCGCGCGCATATATCGACTTTATTGACCTTTCCCTCTCCCTTTCGCCCTTTCCCTCTCCCCCTTTTCCCTCTCCCTCTCCCCCCGCTTTCACCGCTCCACCTTCCCTCCCACAGCGCAACAGTAACCTCCTATCAATCCATCTCCCAAGACCTCGACGACCGCCGCGCCCTCCTTGCCGAACGCGCGAACGAGTATCAGACGGTTAAGGAGGGGATCGTGCGTGATCGGGGTGGGTTCAAGGTGTAAGGCGTTCGGGGCGGGTCTGAGGTGGTGGACGGTAATGAGGTTTGAAGGTTTGAGGGGCGCGGTGTGCGGTGGGCGGCGGGCGGGTTGAAAGTTTAAAGGTTTGAGGGGCGCGGTTCGACTGGTCCCCGTTCTGGGTGGATGTGTGTGTGGATGGGTTGTGGATGGATTGTGGGTTTGTGTTGTGTTCGTGGAGGTGTTTCTTGGTCGTTCTTGGTCGTTCTTGCTGCCTCTGCCTCTGTCTCCTTCTCTCCGTCTCCTTCTTGCTGTCTCTGTCTTCGTCTCTCTGTGTCTGTGGTCCTATTGTTATTCTGATCGCCTCGCCTCGCCTCGCACTGTGCCCATATCGCTGTGTTCCTATTCTCCCCAATGGCCACAGACGCATCTCTGCATCTGTATGTCCGTGTCCGTGTCCGTGTCTTGCTCCTTCTTGCTGCCTCTGCCTCTGTCTGTGCTCTGTGGTCCTACTCTTATTGTCATCACGGTCCTATTCTTATTGTCATCATGCTCGGGAGTACTGCCTCCGCTTTCGAATGTTCTCGGATTGCCGTGTCGAGTGGGAGTGGGAGTGGGAGTGACGTGACGTGACTTGTTGTTGTACTTTATTCTCCGTTTTCATGGGACTTTGTATTCGTGGGACTTGTTGTCCTTGGGACTTTGTATCCTTGAGACTCGTTATTCTCGGGACTCGTTATTACTGGCACTTTATATTCTCGGGACTCGTTATTCTTGGGACTTTGTAGTCTCGAAAGTTGGACTTGCACTCGATCTTGGACTTTGCATGCCTACGAATCGCTCTGTATTCCGTTCTATACCTGGTTGTGGATGTACTCATTGCACTTGTACACTGTTACACCGTCGTCCGAGTCGATGGGTGTTGTTTTGGTGTGCTCTTGTTGATGACTCTTGTTGTTTGTCAGTGTATGAGTCGTCTCTGTGTCTTCGAGTCGTAGCAATGATGCCTCCGGAACCGAGCATGCGCGAAGCATGATGTATGATGGCGTAGTCGAACGGACATTGATACGCACATCACGAGGCAAGAGGTTTCCTAATTCAACCAGCGCCTTGTCCTCAACATCGCCGCCGCCCGCATATACTGTACAGACGCCGCCCTTCGCTAGTCTTTCTCCCTTTCGAGATATAAGTATTGTATCGGCTCGAGATCGCAGACCTCAGAATACAGAATAGGTAAGTATTTCATCTAGGAATTGTGGCGGACGTGGGCGGTGCTTGTTGGAATGTTTTCTGTTTCTTTTGGTAGGTTGATTTCTGAACCTACGAAGGGGTGGACAATCCGCAATCGCAGTTGTTGATCGGAGCTTCTGCTATATGTCTTTTCGACAGAGGAACCGACGTGTCCGTCGAATGTTGGACGGGGTGGCTTCACCGTCTTGTTTGCCACGTACGAATACTACTGACACTTTCCAACCACGGCGTGCATACCCTTCTTCCCTCCCCCGCTTTATCCTGCCCAGCATGGGCGGTGAATTGACAGAACGCCTAGCGCAGGCAACTCGACTAAACGGACTTCCAAGATCCGATGTATCGAGTCTTCAGCGCAGTCCAAGTCGCATTTGGCGCTCACAAACTTAGAAGTTCTCGCTACCTAACTCTTGTCCTAGGCCAGGCCTAGGTGAATTGATGAGTCGAGAGTGCGAGCTACTTGGAATGTTGGAATGATGTGTCTATTTTCGAGGTGTGTTGCTCGTGCCTCGCCTCTTCAAGTTCACCAGTAACGAAGTCACTCAACTTATAACTGACCTTCCTCCTAGTCTGCAACGTCTGCGAACACAACACGCTCTGTTCCACGAATGAGTTTATATACCTCACTGCCTCAACGATAAGGTACCTCGATGAAACCATCGGCCCCCTTACGTCCCCGAATCGACTGCATCAACTTATACAAGACTAAATTCCCCAAGCCTTCGACAATTCAGTCCAGCGGCTGTCATCCTCCATATCAATCCAGCCACATCCTGGGCATCAGCAACATACCATCGCTTCATGCCTTATCTGTGCATGTATATACCGTTCGAAGCATCCATCGTGACCGCATTTGAACGGCGTTCGACAGTCATTTCTCTTCGATATACTCCATGGGGAGGCTTGGATGGCGAAAGACCGTGGTGCCTGTCTGTCACTGGAGGCTGTCCTTTAAATTGCTTCGGAACTCGTAAGAATGTACGACTACGCCAAGATCGCGGTGACGAGGAGCGAGTTGTGTATATAAAGAGGTGTTGGGCGGTAGGTGCGTATTTACTTTCACTTTATTGCTGATAACTTCGCAATATACTCATACTATCATAATGTCTTCGACCACGATCCCACGTGCATCGTTAGACCTCACGGACATCCAAGGCGATATCCTGTACGTCCATTCATCTTCCGTTCACCTAGATATCTCCCATCTGACGCTTCAGTCGTGTACCTACTCTAGGTCGGGCTTGCCCAAGAAGACGCAGACCTACGTCTTCTTCCAAATCACCGACGCCAACGACTTCCGGATCGCCCTCTCCGACCTCGTACCGGTCATCACGTCCACAGAGCAGGTCTTGAAGCACCGGAAGTCTATCGCGGATAACAAGAAGAAAGCGGCCGAACATGGGCACGCGCCTCCGTTGCTCGACGACATCGTCGGCGTCAACATCGCGTTCTCGCATACCGGCCTAGTCACCGTACGTCTCACTTTGTTAATGAACAAGCCACTTCGTCTCTTTACTAAACTGGTGGGTTCCCGTTGTAGATGGGCATTACGGACGACATTGGTGACAAAGCGTTTACGGATGGTCAGCTCAGCGATGCGGAGAACCTCGGGGACAAAGGCTCGACGGATGCCCATGGAAATTTCGTCCCCTCGGACTGGTTGAACGCTTTCAGACACCCCGTCCACGGAGTCATTTTACTTTCTGGTCCGAGCCACGCCTCCGTGAAGGCCATGCTCCGAGACGTCGAGCAGATTTTCCGTGTTGGTAGCCATCATTCCAGTATCAAGATTGTGTTGGAGGTTGTTGGCGATGTGAGGCCTGGGAAGGAGAAGGGTCATGAGCAGTAAGCTTCTTCCTTCTGCGTCTTACGATCACGGATGTGCGTCACTGACTGACTGTCCATGTTGAACTCTCAGTTTCGGTTTCCTCGATGGGATTTCACAGCCTGCCGTCGAAGGCTTCGACACTAAACCGAATCCTGGTCAAGAGACGATCCCTCAGGGTGTCATGCTCCTGGGTCGGGACGTTGACAAGGCCAACAAGCGTCCGGAGTGGGCCGTCGACGGTAGCTTGTAAGTCATCTTTACAGACATCGCACGATTCAATATATGGGCTAATTCCTTTCATAGCCTCGCCCTTCGTTACCTTTCACAGTTGGTGCCCGAGTTCGACAAATTTTTGGATGAGAACCCAATCGATCTCCCTGGTTTGCCTCGAGAGAAGGGGAGTGAGTTGCTGGGTGCTCGGATGGTCGGTCGCTGGAAGAGCGGTAAGTCTGTGCTCTCGTATTGTAATCTGCACTTCTTTCTGACCGTACATGCACCTTCTAGGGGCTCCCATTGACATCACGCCGCTCATGGACGACCCCGCCCTTGGGTCAGACCCCTTGAGAAACAACAACTTCCGCTACCAGGGCGAGCTCAACTCGCAAACACGCTGCCCGTTCGCCGCACACACCCGGAAGACCAATCCTCGTGCTAGTCTCGAAGACTTCGGTCAAGGTGGGAACTCTATCGCGAAGAACCGTATTATCAGACGTGGCGTGCAGTTTGGGCCGGAGGTGACGGAACGGGAGAGGGAGGAAGGAAAGACGATTAACGATAGGGGTCTCATCTTTGCTTGCTACCAGAGCAACATTGAGAACGGGTTCCAATTTCTTCAAAGCTGTGAGTCTCATGCGTCTAGTACTCAATCTCATTCTGGTCTGATAATGTGCTCGATGTGTGTAGCTTGGGCGAATCAACCCAAGTTCCCTCCGGGCACGACAGTCACTCCAGGACTCGATCCCATCATTGGGCAAACGACGGACGCTGGCGCTCGCCAGATGTCAGGGGCCAACCCAAAGTCGCCAGAGAACAACATCACGTTCCCTATCGAGTTCGTTGTGTCAAAGGGCGGCGAGTATTTCTTCAGTCCTTCTATCTCCGCTATACGCGATTCGTTTGCTCTCGGCGTGCAGATCCAGGGACAGTGATCGTGTGTGGTGCGACTTGTGCATGTTGTGAAGGGACTTTGTGGTCGCTGGATGGTCGTTTATGTGACTGGGACTTGTATTGTAGGACTTTGGTTCGCTGTAATGCCCTGTAACGAAATTTAAATCCCATGTTCTTATGTATGCAGATATTTCCCCCTCAGTACAAGAGCTACTCTGAGACAAGTTCATCGACATCCGAGTCAAGTTCATCTTCCGGATACCGTAGGGCGAGTTCGTCCTCACTTTCCAATCCTGCTTCTATATGCTCCTGTTTGACTAACATCATCTCCTCCTCAAGACAGGGCGAATCACCTAGGCGTATCATCCGCTCCCGATGTTTCTGAGCCTCGCGCCATTGCTCCATGACACCTCGAACTCTTCTGCAGGACATATAAGCCTGATTGCGTGCTTGAAGGATCTTGGGGTCTTCGGATACCGTTTTCCAAAGGGTAGACATTATCAAATCGACCTATGAAGGATCGTGGAATTTGAGTGTCGCACTCTGCCAAGAGCAAGCTGCCATTCACTCACCCGGTTAGAGAGATAGGTCACTAGCTTTGGAAGACGAGCTAGGATGACCTTGCTGTTTATAGCACGGCGCCGCTTCATCATCTCATCCACGAGAGCGTCGAAGATTTCATGACGGTGGCCGTCAAAATATCCACTAAATGCGACCTGTAAAGCTATGACTCAGGCTGGTGAAACGAAACGCGAAATTGTAGTGATACCCACCTTCTGACGCCGCACACTACCTCGTCCTCTAAACAGGTCACCTTGAGTTCCGTCATATCCTGGTCTCAGTTCTTTTTCCATGCGAGCCTTCAATGCACGGTCGATCTCCCCTCGTGCGGTCTTGACTGCGTTCATCATCTGCGAGATTTGGCCTTTCAGGTAGGTCAAGGCCGCCTTCCTGCTGTTCTCCGTTCGTTTTTCGAGCTTCTTCGCCAACGGACTGTCAGAAGGTAGGGATGCGATGATCTCGACGTGTAGCCTTTCAATGCATGTCATAAATCCTTCGTTGATCCGCTGACCGATGCGATCTTCAGTGAAGGAGGCAGTCAGATGATCTACCACCCTCTCCTGGAAGCAAGCAAGAAGAGTATCGTCGACGTTGATATGCTTGAAATGCCCGTGGCGGCGCAGCACTAGGGATTATTTAGCATGGCACCTGTATACGCAGTCGGACAAAATCTCAGCACGTACTCGCCCGGAATGTCTGCCAGTGAATTCTGGGCGGCATCACGGCCTCAAGACTGCTTTTTGCCCTTTCCGAGGCCTGTTGTAAGTTGAACGTGATCAGTACTACCCAAGCTCAAGGTCAATTCATTTAGACAAACTTGAGTCGCGGCTCTTCGGCCATGCTCGTCCAGAGCGGCAGCGTTGTCCTTCAATTCACGAGTGATTTTGGTGACGATCGGCGTCAAATGCTAGAGAGGTTAAAATTTTGGTCAACACCGTCCCTACTTGAGTGAACAACTCCAATTTTACCGTGTTGAGATATTCTTTGATGTTAGCTGGCCTTTCATCCGCATCCACCCCGTCATCTACACTCGTGACATTTCCCTGTCCGGATGATGCCCATCTTTCCTTGAGCGCCGCAGAATCTCCGTTAAAGGTTGAAGGTGGGTGGCTTTGGCAAGATAGCTGAACCTCTCGAAGGAGGCAATCGAGAGCGTCGAGATAGAGCATTGTTGCGGCCTTGTTCTGCTTTCGAACCAAATCGTGACAACGATGTTGCAGCTGCGGGATTCCAGTACTTTGGAGTTCGACTGGATCATCGTCTGTTTGAAGTATGGTCAAACAAGGACTACGATATGAGGGCTAACGTCCTTACGTCCAGATTCCTCGTAGCGTTTGGAAGATACCGTGTATATTGCGAGTTCAGTATTTTTGTCAAGCTCTGATACGTGGTTGGGGAGGTCGATCAAGATGAACGGAGTAGACCGATAACGTTGAAGTCACTTACGGCTGTGATGTGGTCGAAGCGTTTGGATTACTTCGCGGAAGCGGCTTTGGAGAAGAATTTTACAATCCTACAAAGAGTATGAGCGATTACACAGGTATCAGATGGGTGTAGGCACATGTGTTACCTCAGATCTTTTAAGAGAGCACTTTGCCGCAATGGCATCATCAATATCCTTGATCTTTCTCCGGGCTTTTTTACGGTCGTCCGACTTGGCTTTCCCCCCTGTGGACGCTGGTGTCAGTCCAGATTATTGGTGCTAGACAGTACAAGAGATTGACTCGAACTCATTGTTTTAAGTTCTTTGGTATGCTTTCGACGTTCTTCTTCTAATTCTTGAATCTCCGGATCGTCTTGAAGGCCAAACGCACTGCTTGGGTTGGACAGAACACCAACGTCGTCGGTTTGTGTGGCTAAACAAATCGAGAAGATGTCAATTCACGGATCCTAAGGAAAGCCAATATGCGACTGACCAATTACGGTGATAGTGTCGGGGTGAAATCTGGAAGTATACGTCATTTAGTAATTTCTCCCCATTCATGAAGCAAGTACTTACCGCCCGTCTGGTCACCATATACCAACAGAGTGATGTGTGGGTCAGCACAGCGTGAGTCACCACAAAGACGAACGTGATCGTACCCACTATGGACAGAAAAGAGTAGTAAGTACTGCGCTAGACTATGAATAAGCTGTATCTTACTTCGAAGTCGCCTCCCAATAGAGCTATGAAGTGTGTCTGGCGGACAAGATGGAGTCAATGAGCCGCAAATTACATCTCAATGCTTCACTCACCTCGCACAAATGCGGAGTCGGCTGCACGTTGAATGCGGGTTACTATCCACACATAAGTGGCCTCATCCTTATACTTCTCTGCAACACTCGCGCGCGCACGGTTAGCATCAGCGACACCTGGTAGGTCAACCAATATTGCGCCGGTGGATAACGCTCGCGAGTTACACTTAATCGCTACTTTGCGAACTATAGGCCACAGTGCTATATTTTCCGACGGATCTGATCCTGGCGCACGGCGCTTGGCTGGTATGGTAGAGCGCGCCTTGGATGAGTCTATGTATTGTTTAAGCTTGGAGGTAAACTCATCGGGTTCAGTAGCTTCTATCTGAACCGTCTTTCCTAGCAGCATCTCTGCACTTGAAGTCAATACAGCATAGAGTGCGCTCTCGTTGACATAGGGTATGATGAGGTCGTACCAGGTATCATTCCAATCAAGTCATCAACCGATGTCGCAAGAAAGTCTTCAGGGGTAAGACCGGGATACAGTGCTGATATCTGTGAAGACAGTACACAAAAAGTTTAGAAACCCTCGACGATGATAGTGATGTCAGGAAATTTTGATCAAAACCTTTTCACGGGAGATCTCTGCAGCGTCTTCAGGATCACCTCTTGCCAGTGTTGAGGTCTCGGAGTCTGGTGCAGGGGAGTCTCCTGAGTCCTCCATTTCGAGGTCTCCTTTGGAGTATTCGATTTCCTTGCGCAGCTCTTGCTCTGTGAACATCTCAATTTGGCCTTCGAATACCTTCCTCTTGTGATAGGACACTTCGGTGACAAATGATGTGCAGGCTTTGAAGTGGTGTTAGAGACTTGGCAGTGTGAGCTAGTCGGTAGGGGGGTATCTCACCGCGGAAGGCGCTCGTCGGGACGATGTCAACTATTCGAAGGGTTCGTCAGATGAGTTATTGACGTTCGGTGAAGTGGAGATGCTGAGTTGTGGGGCCAGTGATATATACCATCTACAATTGCGTTAAGAAGGGACGACTTCCCCACACCCGTTTCTATACGATGAACGCTAGTTATAATCTGGATACTCTTAACGCTAAAAGCGACTTACCTCCGTACAGGGCGATGACGCACTTGTCGTCCTTCGTTTCGAGGAGGCTTAAGGAAGAAGCCATCATCAGTCAAGCTGCACGTTATGTGAGTGTAATTCGCAGAGCACGAGCTTATTCACCGCTGTATATCCCTGTCCCACGCTTCACAACGATTGACGTCGTCCTTGAGCTCCTTGAGATTGATTATCCTCTCCCGGAGGTTTCGTACAGATACTTCAGTACCAGCCCATACATTGATGGAGTTGATGGAAGGGTCCGTTTTGATTTTGGCCTGTCAGTTCAAAAGTGAGCATGTTTGTCCACACCAAGTGCTTTTCAACCATAATACTGCATGGCGACCGGAAATAAGCTATATGAGTATGGCTCACCGAGTCACTGGCACTGGAGAACTCAGACATGTCTCGAGAAAGATGTCGCAGATGCCTCGTGTGGTAAGCTCACGTCTGATCGGCTTTCAAACGATATGTCTGTGGATCCGACGACTGCTACGAAAAGGCGCAGGTAAGGGCGGAGACAAGACCACATTGGTGTACGTGTTGCACGGTAACCCGACCCTGTGAGGTCGGACTCTGCCGAGCCTCGTGTTACACCTAGAATACCGAAAGTAGGTAGAGATGTAGGTAGATTACATAGTGTGCAAACTCTGAATCCAGCTTTAACCTGAAAAAACACCTTAAATATACGGTGATTTATCCATATGTCTTAGACAGCGCAGAGGTGGAAGTCCATGATTAATACATATACTTAATGTATGACGAGCTCGAACGGTCAACTAGACGATGTATACAGCGGACGTATGTCCGAGTAGTCAGGCTGTTCGTCTTTCCCGTTCAATAAGCCGTAGTAGAAAGTCGTATCGCGTCCATCAAGTTCTCGCGATGTGAAGCCGTTGCCCCAATATCCAAAGCTAAAAGGTAACATAAGTCCATAGAACATGATAGAAGTCGATTGATTTCGACTACGGGAGAGAGTGGCATGGTTTGATACGCACCGGTTGCCTGCATATCCATACTCGTAGTCCCAATCCTCCCATCGGAAATTGTTCAACATCTCAATCATCAGTATACGATTTCCAGGGAACATTGCTGGACTCGCTAGAAGCCCAAAAACGTCAGTCAATCCATCCATGATATACAATCTAGATCAGGACCAACCGTTCTTGTTACCGGGCTTGAACCAAGAGCTGCAGTTACCGGACCAAGCTGTCCGCTTAAGGTACAGTTCCCTATGCTCGTTAAAATCATCACAGGCTCGTGGTCGTATTGACATAGTGGTGATGTTCTCGGTCTGCATCTTCTTGAGGACACGTAGGAAACATTTGGTGTCTATGCCCACTGATTCAGTTGAATTCTACATTGGGACAGCGATTAGACGTACAAGCTTCAATTAGGGGTACTGTGGAGCCGTGGCCTGCGGGACCGTGTGGCCCAAAATACGTAAAATACTGCAAGGAGAAAGTCAGCACGCTTCCAGGGGAGGACAAGCCAGGAACTTCAAACACACGTTCGGAAAGTCTTTCACTGCAATGGACATATACTAGTGCGTAGATAAGTTAGCACGAGATCAAGCCAACAGAGCCAACAGTCAAAGGAGCATACCGCATCATTAGGATAGGTTCTCCATTTGTCTTGAAGATTTACGCCATTGGCAAAGACGGGGAAGCGAGGTCGGTACGACGTGTCGAAACCACTAGAATGGAAGTTGGAATCGTCGATCATTCATTAAGACAGGATGAAGCTACCTACGTCGCACAGATGAAGACGTCCACTTCATGCTCAACTCCGTCGGCGTCGATGAAACCTCTCTCCGTGATCCGTTGCAGCATATCAGTATATACCTGGACATTCGGTTGGAGGAGCGCTTCGAGATAGCCATTGCCCGGTGTCGGTCGACGACTAGCATTCCTAGTCAGAACTACTGGATACGGCGGGTAAACAATCGTACGAACCATCCAACACTGAATGTCTTCGGTATAATGGCATTTTTGAGGCGCTCATTCCCGTCGAGGATGTCGTGCATGTGTTTGGTAGCGTACTAAAAAACCCAAAGAAATGAGTTTTTGTCGGAAGATGACATGGACCATCGTACGGCAAGGGCGGCCTCCTGCTCCGGAGTCCCAAGAACAACGAACTTGAACCGTTGATTGAGTTCAGACTCAATCATCTTTCGATACTTCAGATAATGTTCCGGATCGTCCGCGAAGACATTCTTCTGGTCCTCCGTATCTGAAACAATCGATCAGGAGGGAGGGCCGTAAAACCGAAGGGGAAAAGGACTCTCACATGAGAAGTTTCGCCCCCCTGGACCGGCGTACTGCTGAGCAAAAGCGGACGTGATCCAAGTGGGTGAACGTATCCAGTGGTGAATATGTCCGGCTTTGGGTTGAATGGATGCGAGAAGTTGAATACCCGAGGATCCTGAGCCTAAGACCGCTACGCGCTTGCCTATACATAAGGCGCTACCATTAGCTCTTCTATTTGTGCTATTCTCAAGAAAGCGTTCATACCAGTAATGTCGAGATTTTTAGGCCATCGCGCTGTATGACAAAGCGTGCCCTTGAAGTCGTGCAGACCCTCTATGGCCGGCCACTTCCACGTATTGAGAATTCCTGGAGATTCATACGAGACATAAGTCTATGGCGTACAATGAATTGAGAAGCACAAACCTCCACCGTTGATGAATACGTCGCATTCGTCGTCAAACAAAGAGCCGTCCGGCCCTCTGACGACAATCTGCCATTTCTTGACATCATCAAACCATTCAGCTCTGACAACCTCATGCTGGAGGTGTATATATTTCATCAAACCGTACCTGCACTCCGATTAGATGCGAGTGCGACGGACATCAAGGGATGTATGACAGAAACACACATACTTGTCAACTACATCTTGGAAATGCTCGCATATTTCAGGAGAGCTCGCGTAAAACTCAGACCAGTCCGCTTTTGGGGACCAGGAGAACGTATAGTTCACTGCCGGGATGTCGCACCTGCAGCCGGGATAACTACGGGAGGCACACGTCACGTCAGCCGGCAAAAGGGCAGAGCGAAGTGCTAGTGCGTCGATGATGACTGCAGGACAAGCGCGGAGGAACTTACCTATTCCAGAACCAAGTGCCACCGACGGAGGGTCCCATCTCGTAGATTGTGAGGTCGATATTCTCTCCGTTTTCCTGAACGTCATGCGCTAGACTGATGCCAGATATACCGGCGCCGATTGCGATGACCTTGATAGGTTTGAGCTGAAGCAAATCGACAGAGTCAGCACGAAATCGCCGATAATACGATGTCCAGACTTACTGTGCCGTAAACTTGCTCGGGGATCTTGTAACCTCGGGAATTCTCGGTTGGCCACGGCATCTCCTTTGGAACGGCAGAGGGCATCGCTGGATGGTCGCTGTGGTCACGTATGATGATGAAATGGTACGAATGCTTTGGGGAGAGGCAAGATATGAGATTTTAAAGGTGAAATGACGCCGATATAAATACGGCTGCGGGTGTTATGCTGTGCCTGCCGCTACAGACATACCGCCGTTAGCGCTCTGTACGATGCACCAAGTTCGTGAGTTCTCGTCAGGCCCGCATTCTGTCAAAGCTCCTTGCCGACCGATTCAGAGCATGCAGGGACAGCGCCACTGAGGAGACAGACTTCAGGAGATACGGATAGGTGTCCTTGGAACCCGAGGACTCAGGGGAACAACCACATATCCCTGCAATCGGGTCGGGTAATGGTAGAAACACCGAAAACAACGACCTTCCGAAAATAACTGCCTAGAGATGACCATCAGCATTAGGAAGATAGGACGAAAACAAATACACAACGTACCGTGCATGAGCCGGAGGGTCATATACTGTGTGTAGTAAGTAGTTTCCGAGCGCTCTATCCGTAAACGCCGACTAAAATCGATACACGCGACGCTGCAAAGTCTGACTGTACGAGTCAAGCGCCATGAAATGAAGCGTAGAAGCATGGCAAGTTGAAGACAATTGGGTAGCAGGCTCCAAGATCACAGGTTTTCTCAATCTTCATGGTCTCCGCGGAACGCCACATCTTAGCCATTGCACGCGAAAATTGAAATACATACTAGACGACGCCACAAATCCACATCGAAAAGACCTACACACGCTCAATATCTGCGGAGGAGAGTGTCATTGCCGAGGGGAAGCCGATCGACGATGACGATTCGAGCGGGCTTCGGATTTTCGTCTTATAGGAGATACTGAGCGAGAGCTTCGTCGTCGAGGTCTACCACCATCTCGGCCAGTCTCATCCCCTCTACGTTTTTTCGAGCGAGAGGCTTCGCCTTCTTCCTCGCCACCCAAGTACCCGTGATTGGACTTATCCCCTGGCGAAGTGTCTTGAACCCTACCCAGCCCGTCCGATCTTCTCCGTCCTGCCGCATTGCCCTCCGCGCTAGAGAGTGCGGCGCCCATGTTGCGCTTCGTTCCCCCATAACTCTCTCTAGATTTCTCCTGATCCATCCGTTCCTTCTCCTTCTCCTTCTCCTTATTTCGCTTCCACATCAGCTTCGTAACACACCGTCCACAAAGCACGACCTTCACAAGCGCGCTCTTTGTCTCTCCCTGCTCTTCATAAGCGAACGGCAGTTCGAGAGTGGTTAACGGTATCGAAGGTGGGGCGTCTGGATGCTCCAGCTGGTCTGAACTAGGTTCATGGTCCGGACATCGCGTATTTGCACAGGTCTTTTCCCCAGCACCTGATAGAACTTCTGATTCCGTCCGCCAGCGAAGAGCGAACTGTAAAGTTAACATGCTCAGGGAATGAACGGGTGCTTGCGAGGGAGGAACTCACATTGCCACTCTTGTAGTGTTTCAGATCACAGACCGCAAACTCGCGAAAGAGGCTTTCGTAGTATTTACGAGCGAGTTGGTCGCTCCAGGACAGGTCTTTCTTCCCGTCCGTGTCATCATGAAGGAACCTATGAGATGACTTCAAGATATCAAACTCTGTAGTATGTGATGGCAGCCCAGATGACGAAGAGCTAGACGGGTATGGTTTATAGAGAGACATAGCCTCTTTCCAAATGTAAACCCTAGATGAGAAGTGATAACCCTGAGCAGTTGCCAAGAAGTCAAGGGGGCTGAATGATGAATGGGCCACAGAATGATGGTTGTGGGCAAGAGTGAATCGAATGCGTGGCACTCGACCATCACGGCACATTCCGGATAATTCAGCCTCCGACTTCTATCGAGGAAGGTGGCGGAAATGTGGCGAGGGATGTGGATTTCGCTGCGAAGAGTCCGATATGTTATAGAGTGGAGGATCTTTGTTCAATCACGGTACGAAAGTGTGTTTAAAATATAGATCGCCGAGCCTTTTACAGGAGGTCTTCTGCCGATTCAATCACGCAGAGCAGTATGGCACATTCATAGCGTTGTACGACGTTGGCGTCTCAGCAAACCTCGCGGTGTTGAAACGCTACATATATGCCCAAATACTGAATGATGACGACAAAAACACTACGGTCCACGTCGATGATGGAGACTCTCAATCCATGCATTAAGATACAATGGCTGCGGCGCCGCCCTCTCAACCATGAGAATGGTAAAGTACAGGAAAAGTGAAGAAATATTTAAATCGAAGAGTACATTTTGAGGTCGTCAGTGAGATCGTGATGATGGAACGACATCCAGCGAAGAGACGATGAGAAAAGAAATCACAACCAGAGCTGGAACATTCAGACAGTCAAAAGGAGCGCCACTCTAGAACAGTAAGCCCGGAAAAGACACCGCCTCAAGCAATCCGAGAAGCCGCTGACTCTGAGCTGAACGGGAAGCCCTCCAATTCGCCAAGTCTACTTCATCGCCAGGCCAAGATGTGGCCACCATGATACGCCATCGAGCGAGTAGATGCTGACCAACCGTATATCCTCAAAAGTGTAGCCCTTCGGCCACTGAGCATTCTGTATCCGGAAGCGGGAGTTACGAGTCTCGCCCATCTTGCCCTCACCCTATACCATCGTGAGAAAGACGCAGATATCAGTATCATTTCAGGGAAGATGGCAGATGGCACTAGAGAGTTGCAGAGCCCAAGGGATCTGGTGTCAACCTACCTCAAAGAATTCTTGATACAATAGAGCAATCCAGTACGCGAGCCGCGCCCATAGTGACGTGTCCACTGGATCGTAGACGCCAGGAAGTATTTCTGGGTGACCCAGATCCTCGTCTAAGCCTGGCCACTACAAAATCGACAGTGTCAGTAAGTGCGGTCGTGCTCCAGACTCGAAGCGAGCTTACATAGAGTTCGAAGTGCATGTTTCCAGGTTTCGGTGGGTTGCCCTCGAACATCACGGATTTTAGGCCTTGTCCGTACAAGGCCTCAACTAGAGGCACTCCTGGAAGGCTTCCGTAGTCTGGCTCAAATATCACCTCGGACACCAAGTGCGGGTAAGGCGGATGCACCTGCGGCCGAGAGACCATGCCGCATCCTTTCCGCTGATGAAAGAAACCTCGTCTGCATTCTGCTGGTGAGAACCCTTTGACAATTTTCTGGTGGCGATGCATGGGGGTAACAGTAAGCATCGCATGACCAAGCTCGAAGAGAAATAGAATATAAACCCTTACAGGATGGGGGAGACGATCATGAAGCTTTGCTTCAAAGTCAGTGACAACACGAGTCGAAGCACGAGTGTGGCGCTTGTGAGTAGGCATGGTGATACGAAAGCAAGAGAGAGAGCCGAAGTGGTGGTGTTTGATACGCCGACAAGACGATGGCTCGGAAGTTCGCGAGAACGACGCTTTGCGATGAGAGCACTGAAGAAGGGGCGTGCGATTCGTCCTTTACTAACGAAGTCTCCTTATAACAAGGGCGAAGGGGTCAATGCGAATCACAACAAGACGAAGGGGGGCTTTGATCGATATGGACCAAACGCGTTTGTGACGCCGGATCAGACAGGCAGTTGATGGAGCAGAGGAAGCGATGTGGTGGTCGTTGTAGAGTGTTATGGGGAGGGAAGAGATGAGGGGGGTTGAGGGGATCGGAGCGAGGCTTTATGTGGGGAGAACAATACGACGCGCGTACGCAAATTCAAGGGAACAACCCAGAGAAGAACAAAGAGCCCTGACACCAGATTGGCACATGATAAGCGGTGTCGGTGATGCCGCATTTTCCCGCTCCACGTGACACAACAAAGATAAATACCTAAGAATGTATGTCCTCTTGCGTGTTCACCTGAAATTTATTCATCAACTCCAGAGCAGATTCTTCTGGACTCAGAGCAATTTTTTGACTTTATTCAGATTTTAATCTCGCCTCCACATAATATTGGGGTTTTCCGTACATTTGCGCCCCGACCAACTCCGACACGTGGAACCCACGCCACTGGAACGTTCTGTTCCATTCTTCCCACAGGACCCAAGCACGACCCTTGTTTTCTGATCTCGTAATTCTTTCCATTGCACAACGACACTTCACAATATGTCAGATCTATATCGATCTGCTATACAAGCAAGGGCATCCAAGCTCCCACAATTGCCTCCTCATTTCGGAGAGGATGGCGATGAAGAAGAGGAAGCTGGGGATTCCATCGGCGCACTTCCAACAACAACTATGGGTCCTCCACGGTAGTTTTAGATCCGAACCATGCTTCGAGTCATAAATTGCAATCTGATCACCTGTGTCCTGCTTGTTTAGAGCCAAACCTCGCCGGACACCCAATCCGGAATTGACTCCTTTGTCTGCGGCGGAGTACTTCTCCCAGGCACTGCAGGTCGCCGTGCCCGCCTCGAAACTTGATGTGCGAATATACTACACGCCTCCGAAGGTCACAGCGGATGAGACTGGCACCGTCATGGTGTGCCATCATGGTGCTGGATTTTCTGGCCTGACCTTCGCCTGCTTCGCGAAGGAGGTGACGCAGATGAGTGGCGGAGAGTGTGGCGTCTTGTCCGTTGATGGTCGACGTCATGGTGAGCCGTTGCGAAAATCACAGCTCGATGTGTCTAGGTTCTTATTGGTGGTGTTTATGTAGGGAAAACGATGCCTACTGAGGGATCGTCCGACGACGATCTTTCGATCGATGTTTTGGTCTCAGATTTCTTCAACCTAATTCAAGCTGTATTTCCTGACCCAGCCATTGCACCCACTTTGTTGGTAAGCCCGTCCTAGCATGTCACTCGCCACGGCGTCTGAAGATTTGGGCGACCGTACAGCTCGTCGGTCATAGCATGGGCGGCGCTGTCATTGTGCGCGCATGCCCACGGCTACTCGAACGCAAGTATCGAGTAGGGGGTGTTGCGGTCCTAGATGTCGTCGAAGGTACACGATCCTAATCTTTCTGTCATAAAAAACTTAGTTGACTTTCTGGCATATTGACATCCAGGCTCCGCCATCGAGGCACTCCCGCACATGCCCATGATCCTAAACTCGCGCCCCGATAGCTTCGACAGCGTCGAAGACGCCATAGATTGGCAGTACGCCACATTCTCTGCTCGCCGCTATTCGTAGCCACTTATGTTCACATCCCCAGTGTCCGAGCCAACCAAATCCGCAACCCCACCTCCGCTCGCATCCACGTCCCGTCACTGATCATTCCCGCCCCCTCCAACCCTGCCAAACTCCGTACACATCCTTTCACGTGGCGTACACCATTAGGCACCACCGGTCCCTACTGGGAGAGTGAGCCCCTTCTCTCCTCCAGCCTCTCGCCGATGTGCGATGCGTCAGATCGCTCATTTCCGTTTTTTGTACCTTGAATGTTATGTTGTGTGGCGCCGTGCATGCCGGTGATAATCCCGACCCGAACCCACAGGCTGGTTCACCGGCCTCTCCGCCTCGTTCCTCGCAGCCCGCACAGCACGTCTTCTAGTCCTCGCAGGGACAGACCGGCTCGACAAAGAACTCATGATCGGACAGATGCAGGGCAAGTTCCAGATGGTCGTCGTGCCCGGGACGGGACATATGCTCCATGAGGTGTGTGTTCCGGGCGGATATGCTCATGTCTAAGTAGTTGTCCACGATCGAACTGACGCGGATATATGTTCTTTGCAGGACGATCCCCCGAAACTGGCGGAGATCCTGGTAGACTTTTGGAGGAGGAACGAGAGGGTCGTCGCCCCTGGGGTGAAGAAAGTGGGCGAGTTGTAACTTTAGATGACGGGGATGGAATGTTTCGACGACTTGGTAGAAAACTATCGCACGAAAAAAGGGACATTCGGAGACCAAGGAGGCTACAGTTGTGTTATAGGAACGAGATGTATGTGTAAAGCGAACTACGCGTAACAAGACATATGTATTGTACTTTCATTTTCGAAGGGGCATGCGCCAGAGTAAACAACGCACAACATCTACGCGTTCATCTATACCGGTACAGCATCAAACTGCACGTATTTTAGTGGCATTAAGCAGCAACGCCCTGACCCCCCACATCCATCCCCACCTCCTTCCCCTTCCCCTCCTGCTCATCCTCATCCTCCACATCGAGATCAATACCGCTCGTCACAGCCTTCGCCTTCCCCCTCGCCCCACCCACCGGCATCCCTGCAAACTTCGCCCTAAGCGCCTCATACTTCCTCCTCTGCGCCCTGCTCACACTCGGTGGCACCTTCTCCATCGCCTGCACGAACTCTTCCACGCCCACCTGCACGTCCACATCCTCCTCCTCTTGCTTCTCCTTTGCTGCCCCCGTGTCGGTGTGCATGGCAGAAGCGGAAGTCGCTCCGCCGCTCTCCATCATCGCGAGTGTGCCCAGGGTTTTCCGAAGCGCGAGGACGCCAGCCTCCCTAACCACCGCTGCCAAATCAGCCCCACTATACCCCTCCCCTCTCTCCCTAATCACCCTCTCCACCTCCCTCTGCGTCTCTTCCCTCCCACCCTCTCCTCCCTGTCCACCCTCAACCTGCTGCCCTCCTACCTCACCACCACCCTGAGCTCCACCAGAACGCAACGGAACCTTCCTCAACATAGTCCTCACAATCTCCACCCTCTCCTCCGCCCCCGGTAAATCCACATAAAGCAGCTTATCGAGCCTTCCCGGTCTGCACATCGCTGGATCGATCATGTCGGGCCGGTTTGTGGCCGCGAGGACGAAGACGCCCCGGCGGGAGTCGAGGCCGTCGAGTTCGGTGAGGAGGGTGTTGACGACTCGGGCTGAGGATTCGGACTGGCGTTGGAGGGAACGGAGAGGAGAGGTGTCAGTGTGGTGTAAAAGCTCACGGAGGTAAGATGAAGACTTACGAGGCTGTCGTCCCGACGAGGAACGAGCGCGTCCAGCTCGTCGAAAAAGATAATACAAGGCGCCGACGCGCGCGCCCTCGAAAACACCTGTCTCACCGCCCTCTCGCTCTCACCAACATACTACACACGCACACCGCACATCAAGGATCAGCACACCGTCCTCATTCCCTTCAAAAGGACATAGTGTATAACAAAACAACGCACCTTATTCAACAACTCCGGCCCCTTCACGCTCACAAAATTCGCTCCACTCTCACTCGCCACCGCCTTCGCAAGCAACGTCTTCCCACACCCGGGCGGTCCCCACATCAACACCCCACACGGCGCCTCAATCCCCACCCTCCTAAACACCTCCGGCCTCCTAATCGGCTGCACCACCGCCATATGCAATTCACTTCTTATACCCTGGAGGGCACCGATGTCGGACCAGGATACGTTAGGGACGGTGGTGAAACCTTCGCGGAGGGAGGAGGGTTGGATTTGTGAGAGGGCGAGGTGGAAGTCGGAGGAGGTGAGGTGGAGGGGGGTTAGTTGGAGGGGGGTTAGGGGGGAGGGGTGCGTGTGGAGGAAGTGGGCGATTGAGGAGGCGGTGGGGAGGTTGGAGAGGGTGGGGAGGGTGAGGAGGGTGGAGAATGGGGCGGATGTGTTATCGTTGGGCGTCTTCGTCGTCGTCGATGTAACTCCTTCAGCAGTGACCCCCTCGGAAGGATCCACCTGCATAACCACATCTCCTCCATCCCCTCCATCCTCTCCACCACCCTCCCCTTCCTTCCCCTCCACCTCCACACCAACCTCAGGAATAACGATCGACCCATCCGAAATCCCCCTAAATATCCTCTTAACAGCAATGATCCCCGCCGCGCCCGTCAACGCCGTCAAATCCGCACCTACATACCCCGGCGTCGCTTTCGCTAACGCCGTAAAGTCGAAATCACCCTCGAGGCGCAGTTTGGAGCAGAGGACTTTAAGGATCCTGAGGGTTCGATACAATCCAACTGTCAGTGGGAGTTCGTTGCATGAACATGACAGGCGACGAAAGCGGACCGTGGCCCAAACCAAAGAACCAGACGAAAGCCGCAAAGAAAAAAAGGGAAAGAAAGAAGGAGAAAAACGCACTGCGCCCGCCCCTCATCATCCGGCACCCCCATACTAATCTCATGATCGAACCTCCCAGCTCTCCTCAACGCCGCATCGAGCGCGTCCGGCCGGTTCGTCGCGCCGATGACTATTACGGGCTTGTTTTCGGTTTTATCCCAGGAGAGTTCTGTGTGGGTGGTGAGGGGTCAGCATCGGAGGTGGGGATGGGTAGGAGGACGGGTGGGAGGAGGACGGGTGGGAGGACGGGAGTGAGGACGTGGGGAATCATTTTTTTCCGATGATTTGAGTTAGATAAGGGTTAAGGTGCGGGCCGTGAGGTGAAAGAGGAAGTGGCTATGGGGCAGATGTGAGGTAGTGGATCGGGGTGTGTACGGTAAGGGGCAAAAGGAAGGAGTGGGGTTGGTAGTAGAGTAACTTTTTTCGGAACGAAAGGAGTATGCACATATGGGACAGAATGTGGAATTGGGACAACACGCGGGGTACGAAGAGTGGCTGTGAAGCAACACCACCACCCTCTCCCGCAACACCCTCCCCCTCTCTCCCCAAAAACACAAAACTCATCTGAAAACAAAGACACAAAAAAAACGCACCATCCATACAAGTCAAGAACTGCGCCACGATCCTCCTCTCCATCTCCCGCTGCGCGCTCTCCCGCTTCGGAGTGATCGCGTCGATTTCGTCGATGAAGAGCAGGCAGGGGGCGACGCGCTGTTGGGGGAGGGGGAGCAGTACAAGAGAATATATGAGGTGGAAGGAGAGGTAGGTTAGATCGAAATGCAAAATATAAAGAGGAAGAAATGGAGGGTGGATGAGTGGGAATGAGGATGGGGTCAGTGTTGAAGACGCATAGGGAAGGCATGCAGGAGGGAGAGAGAGGGGAGGAAGAGACATGGGTAAGTGTATAAGAGAGTATATAAAAGTGGGAAAAGACAGCGACGGGGATAGGGAGGGGTGTGGTCAGCGTTTGGGATGCATAGGGAGCATTCGAGGAGGCAGAGTCCAGAGACGGAGGGGAGAGACTGGGGTGTGAGGAGGAGGGAATAGGGGACAAGGAGAGGAAAGAGCGAGGGGGAGAGGGACAGGAAGGAAAGAGAGAGAGCGACGGACGGAAGGAAAGACGGACAAAAGACCAAGGAAAGAGCAAGAAAAGAAAAACACACCTTCGCCTCCTCGAACGTCTCCCTTAGCGTCTTCTCCGACTCGCCAGACATGCCCGAAACGATGGACGGCGCCGAGACTTGGATGAAGGGCACGCCGAGTTCCTATTTTCACATCGTATCACATCACATCGCAGCATCAGCCTCTTGTCCATTCAAACACTCAAACACTCCAAAAAAGAAACCACAAATCGACGCAAAACGTGGAGACAGGGGGTAGGTGGAAGAGTAATGAAATGAACGCGAGAAGAAAGCAACCCACCCCCCCAATAGCCCTCGCCAACATAGTCTTCCCACACCCCGGCGGCCCATGCAACAACACCCCCCTCGGCGGCTGCACGCCCGTCCACAGATAAATTTCCGGATGCGAGAGCGGCATCGCGACTAACTCTAACATTTTTTCGATGATGGGGGAGAGACCGCCGAGGTCGGAGAGGCGGGTGGAAGGGGGGGTGTAGGAGGAGGGGATTTCATTTGCGTGCTTGGAGTTGGGGTTGTAGCTTGAGTTGGCGACACCGTTTGAGGTGGAGGTGGTGGTGCGACTGCGTTTGGTATCTTTATCGTCTGTGCGGGAGGGACGGGTTTTACGTTTTCCATTCGAGTTGGGAGGACGGGAGTCATTGCTGTTCAGAGCAGGCGTGGATGCTATTCCCTCTGCAGCCGTAGTCATATTTTGAGCGTGCTGTTCACTAGACGAAGACGCAGGAGCAGTGGATGTCGAAGGAGTGGAGGATGAAGGAGGTGCAGGTGCAGGTGCAGGTGAAGGAGGCGTAGGAGGTGCGTTCAAGTTAATCTTTTTGCGGTGGGTCGTCCATAGACCTTGCATGGACCTGTTGAGCGCATTTGGGCCCTAGCTGGCGGTTTATTGTAAGTTTCGTGGTTGCGTGGGGCAGGAGGATAGAAAGATGGGTGAGGCAAGGAGGTGAAAATGGACGCACTGAAATTTCCATGGCCCTGTGTTGATTTGTGTGCTCGTATGTAAGGCTTATTTTCTTTCGTAAACAGCTAGTAGTACTGAAGATGTGTACGCCGTTGACTTTCGTGCGTCGCCGTCGGTCGAGCAGGTGAAAAGTCGAAGGTGGTAGTGGTTAAAATTAGAGGACTGTCCTGAACTTTTCCGTCGGTAAATGAGTACTGTGAAACGGCGTGCTATGATAAGGATGGAAGCTGAGAAAGCCATGACTCCATAGCTCAGTGGTTTAGAGCATGCGATTGCAGATCGCAGGGTCGCGTGTTCAAATCACGCTGGGGTCTGTAATTTCGGTCAGATATCGTTTTGTTTTTCTTCTCTTCCTCAGGTACCTTCGTCATATGTCTTCATATGTACTATCATCATTTAATAGCCCTGTTCAAAATTTGACACGTATACTATACGCTCTCGAGATATCCTCGGGAAACGATATACGCCTCGATCAAGACGTTGTTCTTCGAAAGAGGACTCGCGATGTCGAGCTTTGGACCGGGTGCACCACCACGGCAAGCTTGAACTCGATTTATAGATCCATGTAATTCCTGTACCCTACCTACCCTACACTGCTACCGCTCAACTTGAAGCTCCCGACGCCTGTCCAGTCGTTGAGAACATGACTATCTATCTATAGCTCACATCTCCGAGTCCTATTATCCTTCTAGCCCGCTTTGTCACCGGAAGGGGCAATAACAATAACATCCATTGTTCCCTCCACGTTCACGCTCCTCCCACGCGGTTTGCACAATGCAGGTATATGTATACAATATATACACGAGTACTGACTGTGCTAGCGACGACCCGTTTCTCTTCATCGTGCTTGACGCAGTGCTTGTTTCTCGTTTCTTTCTCCAAGGTTTTAGGCTTTACCTTTACGACTCACTTTCTTTTGACTTGTCTCTTCTGTTCGAATTCAGCTCGGGGCGCTAGCGCTCAGTACTCTACTCACTACACTTCATCTTCAAGCTTCAGCCTTGTTCACAACCCACAACCCACAACCATCACCAATCACCGTCACCAACTAGCAAATGCCTCTGCACCTGCACCACTCCTTGACCTTCCGCCACCCAACCCTCTCCCTCCCCAACCTCTCCCTCTCTGGCATCCTCCCCGGTATCTCACTCCCTTCCTTCCGCCTCCGCAGCGGCAAATCATCCACGTCGAGCTCCTCCGGTCCCTCCGGTCCCTCCGGTCCCTCCTCGTCCACGTCCTCGTCTTCTACTCCTCCTCCTCCGGTTCCACCAGTCCCATATATCAGCCACCCAAGCCCCATCTCACCTTCCTTCCCTCCCCATGGGACCCACGCTCACTCAAACACTCATGCAAGATACGGACCCAGACCCTCACACCGGAAGCCCATAACATCGATAACAGTCCCCGGAACCGCAGTCCCCGACGACGCGAATTTCATACTCGAGTTTAGAGGGCGGGTGGGTGGCAAGTCCAACTCGCGGGGGAAGGAGAGGTCGAGGTCGAAAGTGCGTGGTGAGCGGAATGGACAGACTGAGTACGATCCATGGAACGGTGAAGGGCAGACGTACTGCGAAGAGCCTAGTGGATGGGAAGGGGAAGGGCAGGGACAAACACTCGGCGTCCGCATCACCGATGCTCTTAACTGGACTGGCCTTGCGAACCCAGAGGAGAAAGTGTTCGGGTGTTGTCCGCATGAGAGTATCGTTTTGAGTTGTTTTGTGAGTTCTCCCCTCTTCCTCGGCCCCTCTCTACTCTTCCTCCTCTTCTTACCTGCCTTCGACCGACACTGACGTCACCCCCCCTCCTCACTCTACGTCTGACGAAACCTTCTGCGATGAACAATAGTGGCCCGCACCCGGCACATTCCCCTCCGAGCCCTTCGACATTCCAGTAAGGAACGAACGCGGCGAATCGTATACGGCGAGGATGATCGCGTATGTCGTCGCGCAGGAGTTTCGGGAGATGCTTACTGTGCGTTCTGTATTCCCTCCATTCCATTCCCCGCTTTGCTCTCCCTCTACCCGTCCTCCATCCTTCGCCCTCCCTTTACCATAAATCTACCTCCCCCATTCCGCCCCGCCCTTCCGCCCCGACACCTACCTCGCCACTCCCGCCCGTGCTAACAACCGAACGAACGAACGATCCCCCACACAGACCTCCCCCCTCTCCCCCTCCCCAGACCCAACCCTCCCCGACTTCCGCCTCGTCCGTTCCTCTTACACAGGGCCGCGTCGCGACCCGGGCATACGTCTTGAAGATCTGTTTATTAGTAGGTTGTGGTCGAGGGATGGGAGGGTATTTTGGGTTGAGGTGAGGTTGGGTGCGTGAGGGGTATGTCCGCAGAGCTTGCCCCAGAGGAAGGGATGTGAGGAGTGTGTGCGTGGTCCTCTCCCGCGCCCCCCATTTCGTCGATGGATCATTGGATGGACGCCCAGGTGGTGTCGTTTTGTTGTGTTTTGGATTTTGCTGGTTTGGATTTTGCGTTTGAACTTGACTTGACTTTTTTTTCTTTGGATTCTCGCCTCCTTTAATTGGCGCTGACGCTCACACCCCACTCATCTGTATCCTTACTCCTGCCTGTTGTGCATCCACATTCTTTTGTACCGTACCCCGTACTCCATATGTCCTCCCACACACTCACACACCCCTCTTGTATGACCCCTGCTCGTACGAGTACACTGCTGTATTGTCGTATCGCTGTATCTATTCTTCGCTCGTGCCGACACCCGGACCAGTTTGTGCTTATACCTACGTCCTGTGTTAATTATAATCCGTTCGATGTTTAGTCGTTCTGTTGGCCATGGCGTCTATATTTCTTTCCCTTTTCTCCATCTCTCTTTTTGTGGATAACTGCTCATTTTACTCCTCCGAATCTCTGCCGGTGAGTCAACTCCAACGGGTGAGCTCGCAGTGACTTCCTTTCGGTACGTCCGAACCAGGTCTTTCCTCGTATCTTCGTCTTCCGCATGTTCGGAGGTAGTGTTCCTTTACTGATGGAGTCCTCAGTTTGAAGTTATACAACTTGAAGGTCGACCCGGAATCTACACGGAGAGCGAAATGTAAGATTTTTTGGCCAACTTGTTGCGCCCTGCATAAATAAGTTACTCACCAACTTCAAGGTGGGTCATGCTGGCGCTGAAGTTGCCATAGCGCTCTCCGAGTCCTGGTCTCGACTCACACGGCAGCTCTCCTTAAATTGATCAATCGGTGCGTCAGTGCGTTTTGAGTCTTGACTCTCCGAGTTTTGTAGTCGCCGTACGTTCATGTACATACAATCTTCATGGATGGACATGGCACTGCAGTCGTGCCATCACCGAATGTTCTCATCCAAATCGGCCTGCCTGGACTCTGGTGGCACTTCATGCCATCGCCGGCACGATAATTATCGCATGCAAACGTTCATCGCTGCTCTTTGTTAACGACGTTGTTCCTTCCTTGGGTATCACTGATGAGTACCGTGGCTTGACCGCTTCTGACGTCAGTGTCAAAAGCTGTCCATATCCCCTTGGGAATCATGGCATTGATAGTGCTTTGTTTTGTTGGCACAGTGCAATGCCATAGACACGAGGATGAGCTACTTGATTCTCTGGTAAGTTATGGCACACGGAAGATTCTGATACCGAACAAAGCACGCTCTTTGTTCTCTCCATTTCGGGTTCGGATACGGACGGGATCAATCGATCGATGAGTCCGCCACTGCCGGTTTGTGCCCAGTTGAAGTGGCAATGCTGAATTTGAACTCAAATTTCTCGGCCTCGTGTCGTGCCGCCGTGCCGGTGTCTTCGCTTTGCTCCGTTGTATTTCGCGTCGGAGCGCGAATGCTTACTTAAATACGACCGACGCGTCTGTTCGTTCTTCACGCTCTTCTCTGTTCGCTCTTCGCTGTTTTCGACGACAACAACTCAACAACAACAACCACTCAACAACAACAACAACAACAACAACAACAACGTCTGCACCTCCTCTGTGTCCTGTCCTGCACCCCATATATAAGCATGTCCGACTTCACGCAGTACTTGGATCTCTCGACGTACCCACCCTTTTCTCCGCTTATGGAGCCTGCTCAAGATATGTCCATAACTAGACAACTTCCGGACTTCCCCACCTATCCCTTCCCCACCATAGGGAGCACCCTCGACGCCGCGACGGGCACGATCGCCGAAGACCTCACTTCATACATGCCGCAACACGGCCCGTCGCTCGTCGGGAGCACCTCCGACACAGACGCGACGGACACGAACGCTGAACCTGAATCTCTCGCTTCATACCTCCAGCGATGCGACCCGTTGCTCCTCAAGGAATTCAAGAAGGAGTGGGGATTCGAAACTGACTCTGACGACGGCTCTGGCTCGGGTCCTAGTTCTGATAGTGTTTGGGAACAAGCGCAGAGAGAGGCGGAGCATATTCAACCAGCAGGGCGTGAAGAAGCGACGAGACAAGCAGAGGCTGAGCTACCGATGGATATGGATATGGATATGGACGTCGCGATGAACATCGATACGCACGAAGGCGCGAACGACGACGACGACGAGAACAATGACATCGACGTTGATATAGGTGTCGACAAGAATTCGAATGCGGGTGTCGGCTTCGAACTGAGTTTCACGGAATTTACTCAGCTCTTATCACCTTTGGATTATGGTGCTGGTGATTCTGGGTCTGGGTCTGGTTCTGGTGACGGCTCCGACTCGACTAGCTCGTCCCCTCTGTCGGAAGTCCCCTCGACACCACCATCGTCTTATGATCCTTCTCCATCAACTTCTGCACCATCTTCTTCTCATGCTCCTCAGGCGTCTTCACGTAAGGGTCGTACATCTCAGGTCGCCGGGGAGCCTCTCGTGACGCGTGCTGGGTCTCGTCTGAAACCTTTCGGTGCGGATGCTACGAACGAGGAAAAGGACGAAAGTCGCCGCCTGTGGGGACAAATGAGTACCGTTCTGATTGGCCAAGGGTATGCGTTGAAAGCGTGTCGGAGAATTCCTCTGGACGAGATGGTCCAGCCCGCCTATATTGCACGCGGGGTATGTCTCCTCCTTTCATTCTCCTGTCATCACTTTGGCTCCAGAACTGATCGTCGACTGCACATGTTCCTTGACGTAGTCGGACCCTCTCGATGCCTGGCATTCGGGGCAGAATTACTACCCCGTCCCCTCCGCACCCGAGCTCGCCATCAAACGCTCTACAGGCTCTAGCTCACAACTGCCTCAGGCCGTCTCTCGGCGTGTTACTCCCGGCTTCATCCACTTCGAGTCGATCAATCAATACGGACCTGGAGTAGCTCTCATCGAGGCGCTCAACGACAGGGACGTGGCAAACTCGAACTCATGGCCGGCGTTTGACTTTGGTGGGAACAAGTCGGGGGAGATAATCCCATTCGTGAGTACTTCATCTTCTTCGCATGCTAGCGATGGCGTAGGAGAACGGTGCTGATGACTTTGCTTTCGTGTTTGTTGCGGATGATGTAGTGGCCCGGCTATGGTGAGGGTCGTCGTATACAGATTCGCCAGGGGATGCGGTATGGAGAAGTCGCGCGGCTGATCGCCCAAGAATACCACGCATGTTGGAAGGTAAATATCTCTCTCGTTCTCGTTCTATTCCTCCTGTCCCATCATCCCTTTCGTCTTGACCGTCTCATCAATATCTAATCAATTAACCCACCTCTCAATTTCTTCTCAAACAGCGCTGGGGAGCGATGACCGTCTCTGCCAAAGAACACCTGGGCCACCGCATTGCGGATTCCAGACACACCCGAAGGACGACGGCCATTGATTTCTCACAGGTCAGATTGAGGGGATTGTTCTCGCTCGGTAGTGGTGAGCCGTATTACGCTCATCTCGTGGTGAAGATTCCTTGAGCTGTTTGGGTGACGTCTGGCCGGGTTTCTGTGGGTGACCTCATGGTTCCTGACCCCGAGTGTTAGAAGTATAATTGTTCTTTTTTTGTTCTGAAAGTATGATGTTTTTTGGTATCGTTTTGTTCTACTATGCGCTCCTTTCTCTTCTTCGATGTTGTAGTTCTCATGTTATGCCAATGCTATTCATATCTGTTGTTAACGCACATATTCTGCCTGAGAGGCGATGGGCCACATAAAAGTCTGAGTCGTGTGGCGGGTTTGAAGTTGACGCATCCTGACTCGGGAGAGCCCGGCCGTGTCGAACTATGACGACGAAAAAAAGCCATAACACGTCTGGTGAATCGCGTTGACCTTCCGAATTTCGAAAGCCGCGCGACGCGTCGACGTGAAACATTCACGTGACCGCGAAGACACGTCACTGTTTCCCAGCGTTTCCCGTGTTTGGACGTCCCCTTGTTTTCCAACCGCTTTCGTGGCCGGTTCCCCCGATCACGGCGATATCGACCTTCGAGGACCATCAACAGATCTTAACTGTATGCTCGAGAGAGGTTTCTGCCTGGTGCCGGTTGATGACACTCAATGAAAAAACTTGTGCTGAAAAGCTGGCACTGGCGCTTGGTTCTCCCAGATTCTCGTGGCTTTCATGAAATTGGGTGCCACTTTACGATATACGATTGTGTACAACGAAAGGCTTCTGGCGATCTAGTGCCTGCACTCTATGAACATCCAGGCGACGCGCATTGCACGATGTCGTCTCCACACCTATAGGCGTTGCCATCGCTCAACAATATCACCTACATAATCTACGATGCACTGTCTGAGACACACACTCTCACTTTTTTAATTCTTTGTTCACCTGAGGTCGCTCCGGCCATGGTTACGGCCTACTGACACGTCATGGTAACCCCACCCCGACGGACACGCTGGTGCTCCGTCGTCCGCCGTGCCAACCCACCACGTGTCCCAACCAACAGTGCTTTGTCTCTTTCATTGGTCTTGCCTGGCTTACATATCGGCCTCCACCGGCACGCTCTTTGGCTCTCCACTCCCACATATAAATACAAGCAGGTTCTTCGTCCTCAACCTCACTCCGCCTTCAACATCATAAACCCTCTCCCCCATATCACCCCCACCACACAACATCCCCTTCAGCTCGTTTATCATGTCACAATACTATAATCCGACCTACGTGCCTTGGCCCCGCGGCCCGACTCCTACACCACAGCTCCCGCCCAACTGGGTAAACGCCCGCGGAGAACAACCCGTCCCCGGATTTGGAAGCGACGTGCCCGAATGGCAGCGACACAAAAGTGTCACCCCTCCTCCCTCCGGCGACGAACAAGACGAAGACGTGATCGATGTCGACGAGTTAGACCCAGCCGATGCCCTTCCCATCCCCGGTCTGGGCGAAGAACTGCAGGTACTCCCCGATGTCGAAGAATGGGAGGACTACAGGTGGACGGTCCTTCAGGACTATAGTGCGGGGATCATGTCTGTTCCCCCTTCCTCCATGACATTTGCTGCCTACGGGTCCGTCTTGGATAGATTCGAGCGCCCGCAGGCCCCTCAGCCCGGGAGTTCGAGCGCGCCCGTTTTCGTTTCGCCCACTGAGCCGCCTAGGAAAAAAGCTCTAACTACGGAGTCTCCCACAAAGCCCACGACGTCGTCCCAGAAGAAGAAGGCGACGAGACCTCCTGCGTCTGCATCTGCTCCCCCCGTCGCGGGCCCTTCCTCGCTATACAAAAAGGCGTACGCTCGCCCGGCGGGTACTCGTTCGAGCAGCCGCTTGGCCCAGAAGGCGGAGGACTGATTTCTGTGAACAACAAGAGGAGTGATCTCCGCTCGAGATGGATCGGTGTGCCATGCAATGTACTTATAGGAAGCGACGCTGGGCGTTCGTGTAGTCTGTGTCATGGAAGTTTTCTTTCCCTCTCTGTCTCTTTCTGCTCCGTGTTTCGGAATCCCACGCTCCTTATTTCTTTTTCTTTCTTTCCTCCCTCTCTCTCTGTTCTCTGACACGTCCCCTTCCGTCTACGTTCCTCCATCCTTCATTATCTATGTATCATGGAATCACGACCTATTTCACGAATTGTATATTATTTTCCTCTATACATCAAAGTCTCCTATGCATCTTGTATTTATCTCCCTTGACGTCTGAGCGCAAATATCTTTCGACCCTCGTCAGACGAGACGGTCTGACACAAGCGATAAATCAACAACGTATATATTCAAAACATGGAACATAAATAACACGAAAACGAAAGCGACAGTAACGACGAACAGAATTGGACAGTATAGATGACCTAACAAAAGGCCCGTCGACGGACAGCATAAATAGCACGAAAGCAGAAGCAAAAGTGGAGGTGGCAACGACAGTGATAGCAAAGGGAGGCGGCACAACACAAGGAAAGTTAATCGAAAGCGGGATTCAGACACGACTTGAACAAACATAGCAACGAGAATATTTGAAGATTCAAGGGGATTCAAAAAAGGCAAAGCACGACAAGAGCAGAAAAAAAATTCTGTCGATGGCGGACGCCGAAACAAAGCAGGGGCCACAGCAGGGTGCCACTTCCAAAACTTTCCAAAACGGGAACAAGGACAGACGCCACAAAGGCGCCACGACTAAATAAAAATTCAAAAAAAGACAACATAGCAACGCAACAAACGAAGAATTAATGGGACAATGGGCAACGCAAACGATGGTAACGATGACACACGATAACGAACAAGAACAAAAGACAACGATAGCGAGAGCAAACGTAACGAAAAGAGTGTGGGTTGAGTGAACGTTGACCAGAACGTTCTTACCGGCGAGTCCAGGAGAGCAGGAGCGATAGCGATCTTGCGGGCGACGATGAGCAGAGAAGAGAAAAGAGCGAAGCGAGCCAAGTTAGACCAGTGGGGTAGCCAGAAGCAGAGATGATCAAGTTTGGACGACGACGATTTCCGGGAAGTAGATTTCACCGTCGCGGGAGTTCAACCTGACGAGACGAAGCTGGTCCATTCTGATTCCCGTAGGGTCGCGGCTGCCGGGGTTGAAGATCTTGAGCATCGGGAAGTGCGTGAGGCGGAAGTTAGATATGTGATTGATGGCCTGAACATTTGTGAGGAGTGTGAGTCACAGAGTACAGAGCATCCGAAGTGCGAAGAAGGGAGCATACCCAGAACAGGAATTCATACTCTAGCGCAACATGTACCGCAAGCCTGGCCATCGTCGGAAGCGTGTAATGCTCGTATTCTTCATGATGATCAAAAGGCGAGTCGCGAAATACAAATGGATAGTACGAAGGCCACTATCACCGGGATGACAAGGGATGAGTTGAGTGGAAGTGTGTAGAAGAGAAGGGAAACACGCACGTAGGGACGCAAAACAGCTTCTTCCCAATCGACAGGAACACCAGGTATCATTCCGTCGCGCTTGATCCCGAAGCCTCTGCGTGCATCGATGAGCGATATGCCGGGAGCAGCATCATCAGAACACTCGAACACGATGGACCACTGCTGCCTTTCAGCCCTGGTAAAGCTCGGACCAGGGAGTATGAACCAAGGCTTGTCAGCATGAGGGCTTAAAAAAGTCGGTGTCGGTGATCTCTCCTACGAACATACCAGCATTGGTAAGGTTGACTGTGGTACAAGTCAAAACACAAGAGGTAGAATGAGACGTACCAATGTCCGCAGCCAGTGAACATTGCCCATAGGGTCAGTCCAAGTAACACATCCCTCTTTCTCCTCCTCTTTGACATCGACGTCGTCGAAAAACTTTGCAGCCTCTTCGGGTTTCAACGTACTCGGATATTCCACACTCTTTTCCAAGGAAAGCAAGCCATTGAAATCGGGAGGCGACGCGATGTCCGTGATCGTGCCGTCGGACTCGGACGTCACGCTGGGGCTGGCCGGAGAGTACACGGTCTGTGGAGGAGTCGGCAACTGGTGGACTTCATCTTGTAGATGAGAACGGGATGAGGTCTGACTCTGGTTGTCAATGGAAGACACGCTCCTGGAAGTGCTGGCAGAGGGGTATGGCGAGGGGGCCTGGGACTGGTGACCGCGACTGTGGCCCGGACTGGGTGGCGATGGATAGTCCTGGGGATAATTCATCCTGTAATGGGCGTCGTGTCCGTACGATGGAGGGCTTGTGTACTGTTGTGCGGTGCGATACGCGTGCGAAGGAGGGGGGAGTTGTGAGGAAGGGTTTGCACCAGGCGGATGGTAATAGCTTGAAGACACGGAATGAGACTCGTTGGAAGGAAGGACTCTACCCAAATGAGAGGACGGAAGGTGACTGTTGGTAGAGGATGAACGGGTTTGCTGGCTGCCAGCAGACGAGCAAGAAGCGGAAGGTGAGTTGTAATAAGGAGGGTTATAAGACATGAAATGGAAGAAGATAGCGTATGTGGAGGACAGTTGGAAGTGAAGTGTGTGATGAGAGTTGTGTTAGGAGGGACGAACCGTATTTAAAGCATCGGCGAGATTTCCAGGGGCGAAAAGAGGCAAAGTGGTGAATGGTGGTCGTTACGCCTGTGGTGTCCTTGCATAGCAACTTCAACATTGGCCCAGTGACCCACAAGGGTCCACAAGCCGGATATGGTTAAGCGAATGGAATTTGCCACCTAGATACCTGGAACGTTCTTTGGTTATCGCGTGCTTCTCGACGGGCGATGAAAGCCAAACAAAGATAATCAGGGACCCACAAAGAAGCTTGCAAAAGACACGGATCGATCGTGCCCCCTTCGCCCGCAATCGTTTCCGCATTTGGGCCAAAAGCCATATCTGGAGCCGTGCCCGCATTCCATGAGGACGATCAATCCCGTGCTTGTAGCTGTATGAGGGGCACAAAAAGCAATAGCATCAGTCTTTCAATAAGGCGGGGTGGCACAATAACAGTGATAGTCGACGTACGCTGGTAATAGTAGATGGCACAAAAGAAGGGCCATACGTGTCCCGGTACCAAAATACGGGCCATACATTGTCCTAGACTATCCGGCTCCCTCATTCCGCACAGCTTGAGGCCGCGTATAGAAGATCAGCATCCATGTTCAAGTCAAAAACTCGCGACGCGACGCGTCCCGGTTGAAATTCGGCAAGTGCCGTCACCAACCGCCATGCGTTTACCCCGTGTAAGTATCAGGATCGCCGCCGGCACTTCTTGTTCAGCTTCATGCAGGAGCTGCGTTGTTCTGAAATGTTTCATGCATCCTGGATATCCTCCATGCCTCCATTCAGGCTTTTCTCTGATGTTTGGCGTCCTATTATCCACTAGCTCACCTCTAGTGCCTCGGCAATTGACAGGCTGGCGTCTAACTTATTTGTGTATATTTAGTTATCCCGGCATCCAGTCAGGAGTTAGGACGGTTCGGGGAACCAGCAGACTCGTCACTCCCCACCATCCAGAGATATCTTCCGACAAAAGGGTGATCGTATCATCACTGGAAATCGTCGATCCCCGTCCACGATGCCTTTACTCTCACTCCCGAACGAGACACTGCATACTATTGCTGGCTGCCTGCTCACAACTTCCCCTTTACTCGAACCGACTTCCTTGCTCGAGTTCAACCCCAGCTTGCAATCAATATCCATTGTTAATCGACGGCTGAGAGACATTTGCCTTCCTTTGGCCTACAAAAGTGTCACTGTCAACTTCTCTCGTGCACATGTCAAGACGGAGTGCGCGAAACTCACCGGGGCGCAGTCCTTGCTTTCCGATCGTCGCGTTTGCCAACTCATCAAGTGTGTCACGTTCGGCATCATTTATGGATTATTTGCCGACTAACATCATTTTTATTCACACAGACACATCACGATACGCGACACGAATCGAAACAACGTCTTGGACTGGACGTACGGCTACGCACGCTACGACCGACCTTGCCCCGATGCCATGTTCCACATGAGCGAAGAGGAATATATCGTTTTACGCGATTTCGTCCAGACCACGCTCTCCTCCGCGACGAGACTCCTCTCCTTCGACGTCCTCGACACCGACGTCTCACTCACAGAAGCGCTCGTCGACGCCATAAACGCCCACCCTCAACTCCGCTCAATCACCTTCCTCAACTTCCGACAACTCAACCCTCTCTCCGTCTCCTTCTGCTCATCTACCGATCTCTCCCGCATCCATTTACATGGTCTCCAACTCCTGGAGCGTGCACTCGACGTCCCACTTCGCCCCGGGCTTCTCAAAGCCTGCGCTCGAACGCAAGATGGGCCACATATACACGAGCTCATAAACGACTACTTCAGTAACTTCCCCGCTAGAGACCTCACATTCAATGGACTCCAACGCCTGAAGCTCGACTATCCCGACCAACTTGCCACATCGATGACCACCGATTTCTTCACTCGACACGAACACCTCCGTTCCGTATTCCTCGCCATCTCCATTGCGAAGTTTCGGAGCACGTTGATCACGACAGAGGGGTGCGGACTCGCGAAGATGTATAGCGAGGCTTTGGGCGAGCATCTGGACCATGCGTTTATGCTCATGGATACGGAATTTGCTGTGGACCCGAAGTTGGAACGTGGGGATGCGGCGTCGTGGTTGATCAAGAGTGCGAGTATCGTTCTGAATGCGGAGCATCGGAGGGCGCTGGGATTCGTGTTGGAGCATATGCCACTTTGTGAGTACATTGCGGTACATGATCGTGCAGAGGAAAGGAAGTGTGGGGCTGTAAGTCTTTTCACTGAACTCCGAATGTTGATGCACTATTCTGATCCTCTGTCCCAGTCCGAGTTATGGGCCACATTGGCGGAGCAGGCGGACAAGCTCAAACATCTCAGAGCTCTTACATTGTGGGATTTTTATTTGAGTGACCACGTTATCGACACGGCTTCAGGCCTCTTCTCGGCCGAGTCAAAGAATGGACCAACGAAGGTCAGTGAGGAAAAGTTGAAGAGCAGGGTGGAGTCGGTGGCGAGACGATGCGGCAGTTTGGAGTATGTCGCCATCATACCCTATATGGCTAACATGTACTACGAATTCTGTGTCTTCACGGCGGAGCCGAAGGAGGGGCATCTGTTAAAGGGGGGAGAGAGGGAGGTGAGGGTACAGTTGACAGTTATACCGTGGAAAGGCGCCCAGAAGGAGACCATGAGACGAAGGCAATGCTTGAATGGTGGACTGTAGGGCTGAATCTCTTGGACATTGGCATGTACTATATGGGTATATCTATTCTCTGGATGGTAACACCACTGAGCGGTTTTTGTTTTGATAAGCAACTTGAGGGACGAGTTTCACCGCCACCGCCACACAGCTCGCCCAGGAGATAAAGCAAGAATCGAGGACAAAGGTTCTTTTTCATGGGGGTGCAAAGACCATATCTCCTAAACTATTGGACGAGGTCATCGCCCTTCCTAGTATTCTCCCATTCAATGTCCTCGCTCCATCACAAACCAACTCGCCATATCCTCCGAATCCAAAACCTTCTCCATCATCCCACTGCTATTCCTACTACCACCCGCCCCGGTACCCCTCGAGCTCGGACTCGGGCTCCCACTCCCCTCAGCCTCAGTCCTCGCTCTCTTCTTCTTCGGAGTAGGACTGGGAGTCGGCGGCATCATCGACGTCGACTGATTGGGATTGGGACTGGGACTGGGAGGAGTCGTATACCTCTTCCTCTTCGTAGGGGTGGAACTCGGAGACGGACTTGGGCTCCTCTTCCTACCCTTCCTAGGACTTGGACTAGGAGTCGGCAGCATCATCGTCATCGCCGTCGCGGGAATAGGATTCGGGCCAGGGAAGATCATCGTCGAGCTCGAGCTTTGACTCGGTCCTGGTATCGGGAATAGCATTGGCATCGGCAGCGGCGGTGGCGGTGGCATCATGAGTGGCGGCTTCGAGAGCGGTGACTTCCTTTTTGGCGCGTTCTTCAAGAGGGATGCTTTCGGTGATTTCTTCGACGACTTCTTGGGTGCTGTAGGAGGTTCCTTCTGCAGTGACTTTCGGGACCCGCGTGACGAAGATGCTTGTGGTGCGGTGCTTGTCGCGCCTGAGCTGGGACCAGCAACTGCATTGGAAGGACGGGGCTGAGGACGAGGATGTGGCTGATGTTGGGGAATGGGCTGGGGTGGAAGCTGAGACTGAGTTCTCGCATGCTGTTGAGACTGAGGTGTAGGCGCAGACGGAGGCTGAGAAGACTGGATGCTCGGCGTCGGACGAGCCTGCACATTTGACGATCCCGGTCCAGCTCTGTCCGCAGGTTGCCCCTCTTCACGCCCCGTACTCTCCCCTGCCACCCTCCTCAACAAAATCTCAACAATCTCGGACCCTCTCCTCTGCCCGTTAAGGTACGCATCCCACTCCTTGTCCACCGGAAATATCGTGATCCGTTCGCCGAGTCCGAGCTCGGTAGGCACTTGTGGTTCATCGATTGCTTGCGACGATGTATCTTCGGTGCTAAAAAGGGAGGTGATGCTCTTGTGGCGTTGCCATTTCGGCGTGTCGCTGCCGAAGTAGGCTATGAATGGTTGGCCGTAACCGTTAAGTAGGAGAGGTAAGGGTTCGGGTGTAGGAGGGGCAAGGTGATGGGTGAGAGGACGGGGAAGGGGGATGAAGCCGAGGGGGAGCGAGGCGGGGAGGGACATGGTACGATTGATTTGAATGGGGCGCCTTGGGTTGTGTGAAGTGGCGGTAAATCTGCCACTGGGATGGCTTGCGGTTGACGTTGTGGTGCTAATGGCAGTTTCGAGGGTGGGAGTGGCAGTTGGTTGTGAAGAGTTTTCGGGGCTGTACGACGAGCGTGTTTTTATTGCACAAGGGGGCTGAAAGACGATACAATCTCTAGACAAAGCTCGGACAACGACCTCGTGTCCTGCAAAGGCGTCGATGGGAGGCATCGCATACTCTGTACCTTTGAGATGCATTTAATCCTGAAGAGGGATACAATCAAGCGAAAGGGACTACGTCCGTGCATAATGGAACGACAAAAAGCGTTCACAACGGCGACTTTGCTGTACTTCCTACCATAACTGTCCGGCGCACCAGGCGAGCTTCTTTGTGACTGAAAGAGGGTCACAATAGGATGCAGTGCTGTGTCTGCACAGTGAAATGAAAGGAACAATAGATCTCTGAAGATTTTGGCGCCTACACGGCACGAACGAGAAAACACGTTATAAACAAGAGAGGAGTGCTATAGAAGGCCGATTTCAGCTCGTGGACCTTCGCAACGAAGTGGACGTACGGGCAGTGCTCACTGGATTATCCGCATACCGGGAACTCGCTGACCGTATGGCTACCGAACAGACCAGTTGAGGTCAGATCGAGTGACTCTACTCACAACCTTCCGGTAGCTCAGTCGGACGAGCGAGTATGTTCAAGTGACAAGTCCTTCCAAATAGTTTGCGTTGCATCATACTGAGGCTGGTTCGAGTCCAGCCCGGAGGGTCTCTAGAACCCTCGTCCCGTATTTTTCTGCGCCCTGTTGAAAAGATCTACGGCGGACACATGCGGCTGTAGCAAAGGAGAAGAGTCCACATATCGGCGGAAAGCGGCTAAATCAACAACACACGCACAAAGCTGTGCACAGTCGTGCTCCTCATACCCTCAAAGCATATCCACCGGTAGCTCAGTCGGAAGAGCATACAGAGTACAATGCAAAACAATCCAGAAATTTGATTCTGTAGGCGCTGGTTCGAGCCCAGCTCGGAGGCCTGAGAAGTTCGAAAAAACACTCATATTTTGCATGAGAAGATCGAGCTCATAAAGACGAGCTCTAAGGTCTTGTCAGGTAGAGCTATAACATGAGCGGAGGTTGTCAGCCTCAGTAGTTGGTATTTGGAGAAGAGAGAGAAAGAATAAAGGAGCGTACCACACTGAAAAAAAGAGGTGGCCCTAGGATGGCTATGTAGAACAAAGCAAACCGCGAAACGCGCACATGATACGAATCATCATGGCGTACCTTTCATCCCCAGGTAGCTCAGTCGGAAGAGCAGGAAGAATACATATCTGTTGACGCTGGTTCGAGTCCAGCCTGGAGGGTATCCTATACTCGTCAAGATCATTTTGCATCAGTCATGGGTCATGGTTTTTGAACGAACGTCGAGCAATTGCACTTAACTTAGTGACTCGGAAGCCGTACATGGAACTGGGAACTATGATTCCTGCACATACCACATCAACGCACAGACCTCCGGTAGCTCAGCGGGAAGAGTGAACAGAGCATAATCTGTGTGTAAAATTGACGTATCTCTGTGGACGCTGGTTCGAGTCCAGCCCGGAGGGCCTGCTGAACCTTCGTCCTGGTTTTATTTTTGCGCCCGGAAAGAAGGAACCTACGGCGGACGTACGTCTGTAACAAAGTCGGAAATAAGTGGCAGAAAGAGGCGGCTAAATCTGCACGAAGTTGTTCACAATCAGATTCCTCGTAGCTTCAAAGCATGTCCCCCGGTAGCTCAGCAGGAAGAGCATACAGAGCACAATGGAGGATGTTGCAAGCCTATTCTGTAGACGCTGGTTCGAGTCCAGCCCGGGGGGTGTCTATCCAGGCGAAGTGCCCTTTTTGCCACCATACTAGTCGAGACGGCGTTTGGTGTGCAGAAGCTGGGTGGGATTGAGGCATCCGTACCCTGTATAGTAAGCGCAATCAGTCGCGTGTAGTGGCTCATGATCCAGATGTCCGTGAGGAGACGTCCTTACTGCTAACCCTCCGGTAGCTCAGTCGGTAGAGCGACGGGTCAAAATCGATGATATGTTCGGAGGTCGATTCGAAACCCGTAGGCGTTGGTTCGAGTCCAGCTCGGAGGGCATATAGTGCTGACGTATTGATGCACTAAAATTTTGTATGAGGAGGTCGAGCTCATAACGACAAATTCCAAGTGCTTCACGTTGGTTTCAGCTACAATATGAGCGGATGTTGTGTCTCAGTAGTCGATTTTTGGAGAATCAAGAATAAAGGAAGGTACCGCCAAGAGAAATAGGTGGTCGTAGTAGCTAGAACAAAGGGAGCCGTCAAAGGCGCACAGGAGGAACATCGTAGCGTAGTACGTAACTTTCATCCCCAGGTAGCTCAGTCGGAAGAGCAAGCAGAGAACATATCTCTGTTGACGCTGGTTCGAGTCCATTATTGGGGGGGGGGGGGGGGGAGGG